AATGCTGCTAATTTGTCCATGGGATGCTCTCAATTTAGACACATCCGTTCTACACAGAGAGAAACAAGCGGGATACATCCGTTCTACACAGAGAGAAAAAACAACAAGGTTTTGAGGGGAGTAAAGTGATTAGATATAACCCCAGAGATGATGCTCCAAACAGTTTATTGTTTTTTTATTTGCCTTTTGTTAACGATTTACATATGCAAAGAGAGCAAAAGAGAATAGAGTAAAGAAGCATAGAATAGAGGAAATGGAATACAGATTAGTGCGGAACTACTTCAGGGCGATAAGATTTCCAGAGGGTACTGTCCCCCAAGAGAACTTCTAGAAGGAGATAAGATTTAGATTTATTTAGAGAGTATTTTTATAATGCGTCTAAATTATGCAACCATAAGAACTTCCATCCAATGGGAATTTGGTGGAAAATCCCTCAAGCAGACACCTCGGCAGACAAGGCACTGACACACTCAGGTAAAGAAAAGTGGACAATCCCATGGACAATCCCATCTAATCTGTGGCCTGTCCACCCAAGAGAGCTTTTACTGTACCGTCATTCATCGTGCATGCGATACATACATATATTTTTTCCTATTCCTTCAATATGCAATTTCCGATCGAATAATGCAATCATGAAATTATACAACAATAAAAATTATAAGCCTCCCCCCACTCCGCACACAAAAAAAAAAAACAAAAACAAAAATGCAAATAAATCAAAAGTTCTCAAGCAATTAATTTTCAGCGAAACAACAACAAAAACAACAATAACGAACAGCAAAATCAACGGCTGGAGCTGTAAAAATTTTTATGAATGAATAAAGCAGAATAAGGCAAAACACACAAACACACACGCACACACGCGCACAGAGAACTAAAGAAAAAAGAGCAACAACAGCAAAGCAAACAAAACGCAAACGAAAAGATCCCCAAAAATAGTAAGTGAATACAAAGTGGCATATGCACAGGCAAGATGTGTTAAAAAGAGGGTAAGGTAATGGAGACCAGAAAGAAAGAACGACCCGAAGACACTCCAGAATGAGTCGGTGAAATACTTCATAGAATAGAAGCTCCCTGTAAAGAAATGCCCCACCCCACACAGCATACGCCTTGTGCATACAAAATATGAAACGAAAAACAGGCGAGATGTACACACAAACACACACACACACAGACGCACACTTACTCCTGTATGTAGATTTGTATGAATGAACGAACAAATGACTGAATGAATGAATGAAAAATTGTAGAACAACAACAACAGCAACTACAAAAGTTGTTAACGCACCAATTCCACGAAAGAGACAACCACAAGAAGTGGAGAGAAAGAAGAAGTGGATACCCAAACGAAACAGAGAAGCAGAAAAAAAATTAAAAAGATCTGTGAACATGAAAATTTGAAAGGTATGAAAAAAACTTATATTAAAACAAAAAACTTAAATCAGAAAAGAAACACGAGAGAGCAAGTGTGTGGATTATTTGTGTGTGTTGTTGTGTTGGCAACTCGTTTTCCAGCTCCATTTCCAGCTGGCAACAAATTGTGCGTTTTTCGAGGGGGGGAATGGGGAGCTGGAGCGCATAAGAAAAGGCGGGGGAAAGGCATGGAAGCGGGGGAAGACACAGGCAAGGCGGGAGAGTTCAAATTATGAATAAATAAAGCGAAGAAGGCAACTTTAAAAATCAAAATAAATACACAAGCAAACAAAAAAGGAAAACTAGATTTTGGGTACACAACTGTTAGATACCCTGGAATATCGATAGAGCCTATGAAACAATCACAGAATACTAATCACATTTAAGGGATCATTATGAATGAGGTAATTTAATCAAAATGTTCAGATTTAAAAACAAATGCAAGATACTTTATACTGTCATCCCATCTCTAGGGTACCAATCTATGATATAAGAAAAGACCTAAGACTCGACTCGACAGTGCTTGTCAAGCCACAAGTCAATACAATATATACCCTTTCTTTTTCAGGGTATCGAAAGCAACAACGGATTGCAGTCGCAGTCAAAGCTGAGCTACAAGTCAGCGACGCGCCCACGGACAGCGGCAGAGACAGAGGAGCAGCACAAGCAAAGACAGCAGAGGAGGAGAAGCATGCCGCAGAAACAGAGATAAAAGACTCCAAGACGAACCCAAAAGACAAAGCCGGTTTGCAGGAACTTAGGCACAAGCAGAACACAGAGAGGAAGAGGAGCAAAAGTGCGGAATGGAGCACGCAAAATAAAAGGAAGGAAACAAACATCAAGATCCAACGACAGCAGCAAAAGAGGAAGATTAAGAAAGCGAGAGCGAGAAGAGACAAGAAACAAGATCCAGTCGCTGGATCCCCATCATACATGCATCCCCCCCTAAATCATTCATCAACTGCATTTCAAAGCCGTAAGGCGATCGGTACGTACCCCCCCCGTTCCACAACAGCAAAAACAGAACCAACAAACGTTTTTTGTTTTGTGCGAGTATGAATGAAAACGAACGTGTTTTCTGGCTGAGAGAATCTGAAAGAGAGAGAGAGAGAGCGCGCGCTTTGAAGCTAATGCTGGCTGCGACGCCGGCAGCAATAGGATGAATGAAATGAGCGCCAAAATGAATGAAAGTTGTGGGGCGCAGGCAGCGACGTCGACGTTAGCGTTGGCAGAGCAGATCGCTCTCTGACTGCGGTTCGTTCTCTCTGCTGCTGCTGCTGCTGTTGCTCTCTTTAAGATTTTGGATCCCTCTCTCCGATGTTGGCGCTCGTTCAAAGCATTTTTATAATATTATTTTCATACAAATCTTAGGCCATATTTAATAAGACAAAAAAGATTTAATTTGCTTTATTTATTTGTTTCTTTTTTCCTTGTTTTTTTTTTTGTGGTTATTTTCAAAGTTTATGATTAATGAGAGATGATTAAAGCGCGGACAGCTAGTACATATATTTGTGTGTGTGTGTGTGTGTGTGTGGTGATATATACAAAATGCATACATACATACGTATGTACATTCGTGAGTGTATTGTGTGTGTATGTGTATATAATTAAAATAAGGGCAGCCCTGTCCGTATCTTTTATCCACAAAAATGTAAACTAAATGTACGTGACTGCGCCTCTTGCTCCTCTTCAGGCTCTCCCTCTTCATCAGCCTCTTTTTCGTTTTCTTCTGACTGATGTTCCCCCCTTTTTTTTATCCCATGCCCATTGAAGAGGGGTCTCCTCCCCCTCCTCCTTCACCATCTCTTTGGGCAGCATCTGCGCAGTTGTCGCCGTTTTTGCATGTTTTTTGTTTTAGTGATTTCAATGCCCTGCACTTGTAGATAACAAGGGTATATTTTATTTACGGCAAGGTATGTAACAGGTGCTGGCTTCGACCAGATACCAGAGTGAAATATTTTTTTTTCTACTTTCCAGCAATGAAAAGCAAGGAAATGTCACACATTTTCCTCTCAAACTGAAAGTAAACAATATAATGTTCTTTTCTTTCCAATTACATACAAATATAGGGTATCCCCAAGGTCTCTATATCGTTTTATTCCCCTTTTCTGTTGCCATTTTATGGTCGGCGATCTCTTCTAGCGACGCAACGAGTAAGGGAACTCCTGTGCTTCTACAGATGTGTGTAAGAGAGAGCACGAGCATATTTTCTATATATATATATAGCACTATATGTTCATACATACATATGTATGTATTTGTACATATATTTAGTTGGGCACTGACTTTTAGTCTTGTGTTTTTGTTGTTGTTGCTGCTTTTGTCGCTGCGTTGACATTGAAATTGTGTTTGCGCTTTTGTTGATCTCTACGCAGCGATAAGACATAAATATTGTACATAAATACTTTTTACGTTTATTTTTTTGGGGGGTTCGTTACGAGTTCGGGTTCCGTTCCTTTCTTTCCAGTCTATCCCCAAGATGTTTTTTTTTCTATAAACATTAAAACAGCACTAAAATGGTTTTTACCCTGAGGAGGCTACAGCTGGCAGTAGGCTTTGTGCCTCATGTGGCCTGATGTGTGTCATGGCACAGATACAACAAAGATACAGATACATTTTCATAGATTTATGATGAAAAAATGATTCCCCACTGCTCCAGTTCCGATGGATTGGAAGATCAGGATATATGGAATATGATCTTAATTGATGATAATAGTTCAAGTAAATATTTTAAGTCCAAAGATATATATTTATATATATTTTACTAAGAGAGAGGCATGAAAAGAAATGAGAATAGCTCCTTGAATAATTTTAATCTCTTCACAAAGTTCTTTAGAAACTCTTGGGAATATTGAAGAGATTAAACTCGTTAAAACTTTAATTCTCAGTAAAATTATAGATACGAGTATTGTCGAGGGAGAAGTGCCTTCGGACTCTACTTACGACTTTGGAGTGGAGTTTTGCCATAAGTGTTACTCATAAAATACAGTACAAGTACTTTCCCAGTATTTAGTATTATTATTATCGAATCGCAAGAATTTCTCATTATTAACACATATTTGTTCGGTACATTGTTCCCTCGCTTTGGCAGCAAAAAAACAGCAAACATCAGGGCAAAAGATGCATAACAAATTACCATAAAACGCTGTCCGATACAAGCAGATATACATACATAGATAGATCTGCATATGTATGTGTGTATCTGTGTAATAGATGAAGTATAGTAGACACATGTCAAAGCGTGGCAGCAAAAGCAAGAACAACAACAGCGTAAAAAGAAAGAGTAGCTCTGGGGAGAGACGTCGAGGTTTTTGATACTCTTTAAAATCCAATCATTCTTATTTTGGTTAGCCCCCCCACAATCTACATTGGTTCGCTGTACAAATGTTCCCACAAGCCAAAGGTCGTATTATTTCGGGATATTTTGAATCTAATATAAAACAGATTTATGAAATAATAAATCAAATCAAATTTACAGGTTTCTTTTAGGTTTTAATTGCTATTTAAAATAGAAGTCGTCCGATCTTTCTGTTTTACAAATCATAACACCCTTCTATATCTCTCTTCAAGGGGTATAACAGCGACAATGTTTTGTCACATTACGTATACGATCAGTGGACTGACAAACGGCTGGTTGGGTGGATGTAGGGACTGCCTGAAAAAGACTGCGTGAGTGAGTGACTGATTGACGTATTGTCTGATTGACAGCAGCAGAAGTTGAATGGGAAGAGCATAGGGAGGAGTACAAAGTAAGGTAGCCCCCTGCATATTATTCAGATATTTATTTCGTGCTTTTTCAAATGCAAATGTATTCTTTTTTTTCTTTCACAAAGGAGTGAATGAATGAATGAATGAATGAAAGAGCAAATGATTGGGCAAATGAATGTAAGTTCTCTCTCTTGGCAATTTGCCGGATTTTGTGAGGAAGGAGGAACACTGGGCTGGGCTGGGCGCGCAACAACCGGAAACAAACGACGTGACTTTTCACAGAAATCTATGCGAAATGCTACCGATAATTATGTACATTTTTTCATTCATACATATAATAAATAATAGTACATACAATACAATACATAAGTACAATCCATACATAGTATATCATGTGTTATGGTGCTAGAACAATCCGTCTGCAAAACAATACTCGTATCTTTTCCTTATTTTTTTGTGGATTCTTTCAAGCCACACGCTTTTTTGTTTTTTGTTTTTTTTTTGCTGTGTAGCATTATCTTATCGCCAAATAATTTTGGCTCTCTCTCGTTCTATAGTTCTGCATTTCTCTCTGTCTGTATGTCAGCGCCTTTCTTATCGGGCGGTTCAAAAGGCAAAACAAAATAATAATAACAGTCGCAAGCAAAAAGGTTTTCGACTATGATATATGTATCCTAAGAAATATATATATCATTTCCATTTAGCATCTAAAATTTTATATATTTTAATTTTATTTTATTTCAAGACAATTTTAGTACATTTTTAGTATAAACATCTAAAGTTTATAGTTTTAGATTGTTTATTTTTATAAAATGTATCTAAATATCAAATTGGATAGCTCTAGAGTTTATAAAACCCAAGATCAAACAGTATATTCCATCATCCAGATTATATAAGCGTGGGAAATGCCAAATGGACACTGAGAACAATGACTAATGATGGCTCAATACCCTATAACACATGTAAAGAAAAGCACAGAACTAGAGCAATGCTCTTCCATGAACAAATATATTGTACACATGTATATATAATGAATGTATGTATGTATATTGCTGTGCTTGTGGCAAAAGATAGGGCCATAACGAATCGCGCCCCAACCATATAATTGTTGAACATTCGCATTCGCAGCCAGCTCTTCAACGACATTTTGCTCTTCAATTATTACGGAGTACGGAATTCTTGGAAATCTGTTATCAAATTGGAGCCCACAAAGACCACAAAATTCCATTCAACAAACAAAATGAAAAGCAACACCAGAGACATAATAATACAAATCAAATAAATGAAGTAGTACAAGATATTGCAATTGGGGTTTCTTTTCTGGAAGTGTGTCATCGTGCACAATCCGTAAAATGATATTTGGATGGTTTCTAGTGTACTCACCCAAGGAGGCTTCATGATCTGAAATATCCGATAAACTGCAGATTGTACGCGGCAGATCCTTGCACCCGTTGATGGGCTCCTCTTTGATGAATATGTTTTTCGACTGGAATAGACAAAAATGGAGAGTGAAAGGTTATATAAGGGGAAACGTTTAGATCAGAGACTTGAGAGAGCTTAAAGTTTAAGTGCAACCGATTGAATATGCTACGAAATTTAACAAAACAAATAATGAAAATCAAATTAAATTTCCACCCTTGAAAAAAAAGGTCGAAAGAGAGACAAAGAGCTTGCGATCCCTTTCTGCCATCTCTACAAATTATACCATTCATTTGCTATGAACTATTTCATGATGTTTAAATTACCAAGACACACTGGGAGAGAGAGAGTTGGGGTTCGTCTTTTTCAGTGGTCTCTAATGATCTTACCATTGCATTTCCATAATATATTTCATGTTTTTCCATTTCCAATATGTAATCTAAACATTAAATGTTCTAATTACAGTGAAAAATATGTTTTCGAACATAATCTATAGATCAATTCTCAGCAAGATCTTCCCCTTTCCAGGAACTTCCTTCAGAAGCTCATCATGTGCCTTCCTTTTCTTCAATAGTATCATCAGCCTTAGATCATTTGTTCCACAAGATAATTACTTTTCCAGATAATTTTCAAATCTTATTTCCTTTCTTCCTTCTGCTTCTTCCATATGATCATTATCTTTACAAAGATCATCATCTCATTTCTTTAAAAATATTATAATCTTTTGGACATTTATTCACAGAGTCTACCTTAATACCTTTAAGCAAGATCTCCCCCGTTCCGTCTTGTAGATCATACTTACATCTATTTATCTTTATTTTTAGTATATGTATATGTAGGTACCCTCTCTCACTCCGTGTAATATCTGTCATACAATGATTAAATCCACAACAAGGCCTCCCTCCCGCCATCCAAATTATTGTTTGTGTGCTGTGTGTTTGTACATATTTATAAACAAGCCACTTTTACCCAATTACAAAATAAATGTGCATATGTTCCCTCCTTACCATCTCGCTCTCTCGCTCTCTCTCTCTCTCCGAAAAGTGTAACCAGGGGGCTCGAGTAATCAGAGCCAGCCCCAGAACATGGAATAGATTGCCAGCAATTGACGGGTGCCTCTGTGGACTGCCCCAATGTCCACAGCAGAGCTGAGAGATCTCTCCCCTCCCCTCTGCCCTGAGAGATCTCGTTCTAATAAATTGAATTGTACGTTTGACTTCCATATAGAGCGGCGATCCAGGGAGAGGTCCCACTGTGTCGTCGCTTAATGATAATGGAGGTCAGAATAGTCAAATGAAATGTGTGTATCACACACGAATTTCGATTTGGAACTCAATTCGGGGGCTCTCCTGAATGGCCCCACCCCACATGTCCCATAAAAAGTGCTCTTTTGGTTTTAAGCTTCAGTTACGTTTCGAAATGGAAACCCAAGAAGACTTTTTCTGCTGCTGCTGCTGCTACCCAGACATGATAGAGATCGGATTACATTGTGGGCTGGGCATTTTCCAAGCGACTGCACATAGGGCATGTCCTGAGAGAAAGGATCGTCAGGCCTTTGGGGTCACGGACCGGATGAAAGTGGTCAACGGTTCAGCGGATATGCGCTGAACCGCAGGCACTGAAACGATCCTCAAAAGATCAGCTGGAGCCGAGAAAGAATGTCCCAATGGGAAGCCCTACACATAACCATTGTTCCAGAGGTTTTTAGTTCCTTCGAACGATCGGTATGGGCGGCCTTTTGTCAATCATTTCTATCGCAAGATGCGTCATAAATTAAGTGGCACGCTTCTGGCTTTTATAGCAGACACATTTACTCTCTGACAATAGATTGTTTACACAATAGAATTGCGCCTTTGAATGCCGTAGACACGACTTTATTACACCCTTTCCTCCACGCTTTGAAGATAGATATCACCCAGAGAAGAGCCGCTGGATCGTTGGATCGTTCGGTAATAAATATTTAAAGGGTGTTGAATAAAAAGCAAAAAGCATAATACATAATAATTGCGTTTGCGTTTCGTTAACCAAATTTAGAATCCGCTCGCTTCGACGTGTTTTGCATTCCGGATTGAGGTCTCTCTCTCTCGCGCTGTCATCGATCGATGCAGTCGAGGCTGTCAAAGTGGCATAGAAAACGATGGACAGACAGAAAGACAGGCTATCGATCGATCAGCGACAGAAACGTTTATATATAGAAATTATAGAATTTATGCAGCCATCGATCAGCAGCAGCTCTACGTGAAAGTCCTTGGAGAGTTAGAAATCAATGGATCATCGCTCATCGAGTGTTTGCTTAACGAGATCTTGAGATCTGGAATGATCTGGGACCTAACAAGTTTTCCTCTTGAGATTCTTCAAGAGAATTGGCTTTAAATCTGAACAAATCTGATCAAGCAATGTTTATTATGATCTTTTTCCAATAAAAATCTAATAAAAATGTAAATCTAATTATAAGGTACATATACCTTATCCAGTCATTCAAATACTATTATTTTTACGCTTCTCCTCTCTCCCAGTATGTCCTAACAGTACAGAATAATTTTGTTTCGAATATAATAAAGAAAAGAGATTAATAGGGATGTCCCTTTAAAATGCAATGCCTTACCGCCACTAAACTCGTTATAAATGTAACCTTTCGGTTCTTCTTGAGCCTCATGTTGCTGTTGGAGTTATTGCTATTCAAAATCGATGGCACCACCGATGGATGAATGCTGACTGTGGTGGAATTGTGGCACAAAGTGTTGTGGCTGCTGCTATTTGGCTGCGATTTGAACAGATGACCAGCGTTGAAGCCGTTGAACAGTTCGTTGAGGTTGTGGGGAAAGGAAAACTGTGCAACGGACGACGAAGCGTGTGTTCCACCTGCGGCGGCTCCTCCTCCTGTGGCAATGGTGTTGGATGCGGGGGGCAACGCTGGTGGTGGCAGCATAAACTTTGTGGCAGATAGATCTGTTTTACATATCGCCAATTCCATATTGTGAAGGCATCTGAAAAGGGAAAAAGGAAAACGGAAAATGGAAAAAGGGGAAATTAGTAAACAAATCAATGCAAATGGAAAAGCGGAAAATGAGTGCCACAAATGGATGGCAATTATCGGCACAATTATCGAGCCATTTAGCAGTAATTTTTATTGGACCTCGTTCACACCTCCCGTTCGCACCTTCGCTTCGTGCTGTCTCTCTTTCTCTCTCTCTCTTTGTTTATTCAACAAATTATGACACTTTTGCAACATCAAAGGCCGCCTCCTTTTGAGGTGCACACAGAGCCACAACAAAAGGTACCGCCCATGAGCACACTTTTGGTCTGATATTTAAACAGCATCCAACCATGGCATATATTCTATGGGTTGTAAGGCGGTTACCCAAAGGGTTTTTCAATATATATATATTTCTAATGGGTTCTCCTCTTTAGAGTTCTGTCTCTTTAGAGTTGTCAAATATTTACTCGGGCCTAACAGCGGATGATTATGATGTTGTTTGGGGATTTGGGAACTCATTCAAAACAGAAAAAAAAACATGAAAAATTACTTTGAAGTACGACAAAGACAGAGAGAGAGAGAGATCAAGCAGATAGACAGGAGAACACATCACACGGAGATAGATCTTCTTTTCGTTCTTTATACGATATATTCCATGTGTTCAGATTTTAGGCTAAACAGATTTCACCCTTCAGCTTTTGCTCTGTTCTGTGGTTTCTACGGGAGCTGTTTTTATGATTCTCAATAGAACTTCCTTCTATTTTTAGAGTTCTTCAACTAAAGAATAGTTTTTAATAATACTTAGACTTTAATTTTTTTCAATTAAAAGTCGCACTTGGAGAAAGATAGTTAAGGAGAGAAAGAGACACTCTCTTTTCGAGTACATTTCGAGTACATGCAATAAAAATCACCTTTCGGCGAGAGCGTACATTAAAACCCACACTTTGCCTGCTAAGCCGCTCTGGGAGAGAGCGAAGGATAACGAGAGAAAAAACATCTCCTACAATTATTCTCGCGATTCCCATTTTCCTTTTCTTCTCTAAGTCTACTCTATCTTCCATTATTCATCATCCCACAACAATGGACAAAACTTAAATCCAAATCCGAAAAGAATAATAAATTCGTAGGGAATTTTTATCAAACGGAAGTGCTGGAGCAGAGATAAGCCACCACCAAGAAAAGAACAAATTAAATCTCCAAAGCACACATGAGGGTTCGAGTTCGGGTTCTTATGAGGGTTTCTGTCACACTCCCATCTTTATTTTGGGTTTCTTACACTTCTCAAGGCCCCAGCAGGGCCCCGACAGAGCCCCAGTAGGGGCTCTGGTATTCCTTACTGATGCTGGATGCTGATGCTCCACTATAAATAAATATAAATTACGGTTCCCCGTTGCCACCGAGATAAATCGCAGTAAATTACGCATTAAAAATTACGAGTATATTTACATTAAATACAAGTACGCCTTCCGACTGATAAAAACGTTTTAGTGATAAACAAAGTGAAGGAAAAAGTAATACCGAAAACGGGGGCACAGAACATGCGATAAAATGCAAGTGGATTCTGAAGTGAGCAACGTTTTTTGCTCTATAAAAAGTTCAAAAACTAATGCCATTCCTTTCTCGCTTTTCCAGTGTTGCTGACCAAAAAAGATTCTAAATGATTTATTAGTTTGTGGAAAATATGCATAATCTGTTCTTTGTTTTATTTGTGGAAAATTTGAGTTCAAATTTTGAAATTCACAAACAAGTCTTTAAATTTATAGTAAGTACTTTATAATGAGGTTCTGAATGACTGAATACTAATGTAGAACCATTAGGTTTAATGTATTTTGGTTTTATTTACATATCTAAAATATATTCTATTTAAAATGTGATTTGATATTATATACAAAGTTTAATGGCATTTTTAGAGGTAATGCTAGGAGGCCTGAAAAGTCCATGCCAATACATCATCCATATTTACAAAATCGAATGATGAAAGGATTTTATTGGTACTAATGGAATATAGAAAGAAAAGAAAATACCTTCCTATTTTTCAAGAAGGATATACAAATGTACCTTTTAGGATGCATAAGACTTATTCCACTTCAACCTTTTTCCAATTTTATTTCATCAATTTACAGAAGAAACAGCACGAATTGAATAGAATAATGGTAATGGTAGATATATATTCCTCAACAGCATCTTTAAATATTCTGAAACCTTGTGGAAAAACTTTACCCATATCTACATACACTCGGACATACATATGTAAATATGCACATATATAGAATATATAGATATCAGCTGAGTAAGCTGATCTACAAAGAGAGTATCTGAGTATCTTGCAGGCAAGTGGTCGTCTAATTAGATACGTTATGCAAATACTCGGGGTGGAGTGGAGAAACTGTCGCATCGGTGACGATTGTTGAGTTAAAGTTTTCGTCTCTTCCTAGCTCTCTCTCTCCCCCTAGCTATCCTTCTTCTTCTGTGTTTTGGTGACAGTTATCTAGTGGCCTTATCTACAATTATCTACATATACATATACATACACACACACACACACACATATGTATGTAAATCCCCCATGAAATGTCACCATATTCGCGCTGTGGATCTAAAACTGAAACAAAAGCAAAGAAAATGCTTTGCTTTGGACATGCTCGAAGCTTGAAATACCCTTAAAAAACATTAAAATATTGATAGAATCGTTAATGTAACAATTTACCCTTTATATGTATACTCCTTCAGTGTCCCATCTACAATCAAACTCTCTGGCATAACTAATATACCTCATTTACTCTAGGGTATTCGAAAATGAAAAACAGTTGCATAAATTTCAGCTTTTGAGTTTGCGAAATCAATTTTTGATTTGATTTGCTGATTTTCTGTGTCCCCAGAAGCGGTTGCCTGAGATCTGTACCAAAAGACACACATGTCATACGATATATCCACGATATACACTAGCATTCTCAATTTAAGTTAATCAACATTTAAATGGATAATAAAATAAAAATCAACAAGCGAGTGCAACAGAGTGCCACTCCGCCTTCTCATTCATTCGCAGTGAAATCATTGATTGAACAATGTGGAATACAGAGATCATACGAATGCAGCAAAAATATACTCGCAGTACTCATAGATACGATATTACTTGTGTGTTGGCAGATATATATATAGATTGAAGGAACCGGGGGATAGTGGTATTTTACATTTTGTGGTTTTTGGTTTTTGGTAAAAATACTAAATGCAATTTTTCACACACCCAAAAATATATACATACATAATTTATTGACGCATTAAAGTGCTCTGGCCTGGCCGCAAAAGATAATTGGCATAATTTTTGGCACCACAAATGGATTTCTGGTTTCAGATCAGAGAAAATACTAGATCATTAAGGGGTTCGTAAGTGTAATATCATTTGGGGGATGGTTGCATGGGATATTTAAAGCTTTTTCAATGGAAATTCTTTAGCAATTGAAAAATCTTTACTGTCTTTAATTCCTAATCCTAAAATCGTATGGCATTTATTTGAAGATTCCATACTCTGTCGACCATTATACGTGTGGCGCGCCATGCAGCAGCACCCCTCGGTCGAAGCTTGAGACACTTTCATGTTCTAATCCTTCCAAATAAAAAATAAATAATGTACATACAGCCAAAGATCTTAAGATACAGTTTGTGATACGTCTCACTGGTAGAGAGCATATTTGTTGGTCCTAGAAACCTCTTTTCAAGTGCAACACGAAATTTAATAAACGAATGTTAAGTAAATGCATTTTATAATCAATAATTTCAACCATGAAGATCAGTGGTTCCCATAATTGAGGTTTCTTTGCCCCTTGCTACCACTCTCTCTCTCTTTCTCTGTCTCTTCCTCTGTGGATCTTTGAAGACCAGTTTTAAGATCCTTTTTCCATAAATATCCAACATATACAATTACAGTTCAGTGCACAGTTCGTTCGTTGCCCCATGCCACGTTTTGATGATGCTAAAAGTATCAACCTGCTGCTCTGCAGACAGTCTCGAGAGCACAGAGAGATCACAGATTGATCCCAAGACAAGATACAGATACAACAGAGCCACACACACACAAATACACTATACACAGACAGAGAGAGAGAGATCTTCTTCGAGGGCAACACATGTGCGCACAGGCGCAGGCGCAGACACAGGCAGGTCCCGTCCCATCCCGTACCATAGTACCGTCTTGAAAGCGAGGATCATCATTCGTTTAACATCCCTTTTTCAGCAGACATTGAAAAAGAAAACAAAAAGAACAGCAACTAAATATGTATTCTACCGTTACGTACACACACGAAAAATTGCACCCCTATTTGTGTGTGCAGCAAAGGGAGGGGGGGAGGAGTGTGAGCGGTGTGTGTGTGCACCATATCGAAAGATCATATTCGTTTACAATCTGTTCCTCCTTCAAGCAGATGCTGCTGCTGATGCTGTGCCCCATACGCAGACTCAGACTCAAGACACACACAGAGATACAGCCAGGGACCCGTCTGAGATACAGATACACGTTTCACTGGGAGAGAATCTTCCCATATTCCATTTTTTTTGCTATTTTTCCAGAGAAAACATATGTTCCCCCCTCCGTATTCTCCGATTTTCATGTTGTTTCTCTTCTAGTTTTTGTTTTTTGGTTATCTACGTTGTGTCGTCTGGGGCGGCGATAAGGTTTTTTTTTTGCGCGGTTCTGCTGTTAAGATATGATGTAGTTCCATGATTTCTACAACCTTGCGACTCTTTTTTTAAGAGCTAAAAATTGAACTGACACTCAAATGAGGTGCCTGAGTTCATAACACATTCAAAATATACTTTATTTTGCGAATTTTTTTAGGAGAAATCTTTGCCATATTTTTAATGAGGGTTTTTTTCCATTATCTATCACTTTTTTTTGGTGGGGAAGGGGACGGACTTCGCCCATTGATAAGAATAATTTGTTTAAAAATTCACAACAAAATGAGGGAATCGCCAGAAATTTGGGTTTCGAATCGATAAGAAAATAGAGGCATATACATACATATAACTAAAGAATGAATGAAGCTCCAAGGTTACTCTTTATCGATATATGGTTTTATTTATAGAAATGTCTGGGGTAATCAATGGCAGATTTTCCCAAAATGAATTAAACAAGTATCGTAAATATGGAAGATGGGAGGTACTTTCCCTGTTCTACCCCTTGTTAGATCTGCCCGATTCGATTCCCTAATCCGGAGATTTGTTCGAAGCTAAGATCAAATGTAATTATGATTCGTATAGATTCCCGCAGGAATGAACCAATTATCCCATAGCCCTTGACCCTTGTTAGATCTTTCCGAAACGAAACTCTTGTTGCATTCCTCCCAAATGATAATCCCATACGAGTATCACTTTAATGATATATTTGTTCTATCACATTCACACATTTGGGATTGGGGTATTGGGGGAACCTCGCTCGCGTTGCAGATCAATGGCCAAGAAAAAAAGCAATCAAAAATGGGTTCGGTTCGGGACCGGAAACTGTAAGAGGAACACAGTAGTAATTTCGATCGCTGGTTCCCACCACAAGGGTTGTGGAAGTACGTCCACACAGATACACTGTCATTCTCTCGCTCTTAGCCATGAGTATCGGAATCGGTGGCAACAACCAATTCAAATTCTGTGGCAAGCAACGAGTTTTATAGGCAGCACAATCCTGGACTGAATCGAGCGGATAGTTAAGATCGCGCTGGGAAACCAGTTTTCCCCCTAGACTCCGATTCCAATTCCGATTCATTCAAGAAAACAGGCAACAGGCACACACACTCATACACTCGCACACTCGAAAAGGGTTTACAGGGGGACTACTGTTTTTCAACACTTTTTACACTCACCGGCGGTGGGGGGGTTAATAAAATAGCGCCGGGTATAGACAAACGCCCCTCAAAAATGTGGTAGAAGGTAGAATTTTCGTGTGCTTCGGCTCTATTCTCTGCCTCTGGTTATCCGCTTCTCCGTGGTGTTCACTCTTTTTATTAGGGTATCTTCAAATTAATTACAGCTTCAAATTAGGCGCATAATCTTGATCGAAGCAGGATAGCTATCTCTCTCTCTCCGTCTTTCGTTATGGCTGTATGTGTCGGTGTGTGTGCTTAACCCTCTGGAGGGGATCAGCAGGTTGATTAGGGCCCGTAAACGCGAAACCGTGGTTAGAGACAGAGAGGGAGACAGATTTACGTGCCTGAAACAAAGCGCACGAAAGGAAACACACACACACAGAGAGAGCCGAGAGCCTCGGATTTAGGTTCAGCTTATAAGAAGGAACGTTGGTTGACAGAGCAAATCGAATGGATCAGAGGAGTGCGACCCACGCACACAGAAAAACAAACGCGAAACACACTCACGCACAGATTGATGTATTTTTAAGCGATTTTTGTGGTTTTTTGATAGATTTTTTTTATATTATTATTTTGTTTAACCGTATATCCACCGATCTTGCGGCAGGGGTTTGTTTATGTAAACTTTTTATATGGATTTTGTGATAGATTTTCTTTGAAATTTTTGATTATTGCACTCGCGATCACTGTTTTTGTTTGTTTTTCCAACACCTTAACCGTTATGTGCTGCCGCCGACCGAACCAAAAGAGAGCGAAAAACAGAGTGCGGCGCAGCAGAGGCAGCAACAGGCGCAACAGCAGCAGCAACGCCGGCAGCAACAGCGACAGCGACGCCGACGCGTTTCTCTGCCACAAGTGAGCGGAGAGAGCAAAACTCAGAGAGAGAGAGAGAAGGCAAGAAGAAGAAGAAGCGGCGCAACAACTGCGCCCCAGACTTAGTGTTGTTGGACACTCTTTCCCCCCACTGATAACGACAGAATATAACAAAACGAAACGAAAATCGAGAGTATTTTGCACTATGCATAAGTGTGTGTGTGTGTTGGTCCGTATGGGTATGTATTACATACTATGTACATATGTACATATGTTTGTTCAGATTTGGCAAATCAACTTTTGTCAAACGCACAGCAACAACATAATCAAGGAGAGCACAGCGAACGCGTGGGAGACGAGTCTGAGAGAGCGGCTATTTCCACACATATACACGCGCAGAACGCTTGGGCGCAGTATGAGCAAAAAAGAAAATCAGAAAAATCAGAATTACATATTTAGGCAACAAAAACAAATGCAATATGTGGCGGGGACAAATGAAAAAGCAACAACAAAATCTGCGTGGTCAGAACTGTGTGTAAGTGCAAAAAATTACATACATACATACATGATTTATGAGCGAGTGTGCGTGGGCAATCATTTTAGCAAGCATTGGCACAGTGTCGCACAACAGCAAAGTACTGGGTACAATTTGGGTGATGTAAGAAATGATAATGAAGATTGTTCGCTGTTTTCACCGATCTTTTCTAGGAATATAATTTCCGAAAACTATTATGGTTTGTTTCCATTTCCATAACCACCAATGACAACCACTGTGCATTTGAAAGACTCTCTTTGCCCAGAACTGGGACGGGACTGACTGCCGCACACCGAAACAGGTTTATGTGTATGCACACATAGAGATACAAAAACAACAACAAAATAAGAGCCTGTGTTTTATTTCTTTTTATATTCTGGCAACGCATTTCGCATAAATTACATACACACACGAGCATAAATGCATGCATATGCAGGGGCGGCACAGCCAGCTGCACTGCACCCAGAAGAGAAAAAAGGGCAATAAGATTCGAAGCGATCCCTTTGGGCCGGGGGCAGAGGCAGCCTTGCATAACGATACACACGTGCAACAAATATGGGGTTGCAGCGACGAGATTGTCAACTTGTCCTGTAATTAAATAGCTGCACACAGGGTACGGCACGTATCCACCGGTCGACAAGTGCATGGCGCATAGCGAGAGCGGATTTCGAGAGAGCATGCGCAACAACGACACTCTTCTGGACTCGCAGTCGCTGTCGCTGCCACTGCTCTCTTTTCTGCGACTGCTGTTTTACTACTCGTGTAGGTGAGCCGGATTTTATGAATGAATGCGCTGGTGTGCGTGTGTAATTCGGTTTCGGAGAGGTAGTAAAAACTGGAATGGAAAATGAAAAATAAAAAATAAAAAGAACTGTAGTGCGCACACACATGTCCAGCAGAAGAACAAACTCAAGTGGTCAGCATGTGGCCGCTTCTTGGACATACTCGGAAGTACTAAACGCACATAAACTGCTAATAAATCAATTACCATGAACTGTAGAATCTATTTTTAAATGCAATACAATCGGTTGGTCTAAGGCGCACCTTGGGACTCCTGTCGACTATGATAATAAAAAATGCAGCAGCGACACCTGTTGTTCGTATTTAAACGCAGAATTCGTTCTGCCTATCGCACAAAAATACCGATATTAAAAATTATACATCGATATATCAATATCATCTCCAGCAATACCTTTTTGGCGGCAAATCTTTTATTTATATTTATTTTTCGTTCTGTCGCAGAAATGGCTGCATTTGGCAAAGCCAAAAGTCTGCAAAACACTGGGAGATTCGTAGGCGAAAACAGAACTGAGGGGTAAGTGGCGAAAGTAGAGAAAAAGGGCGGTTTTATCAGCGGTTTTTCCTGCAGCGATGACTTTTACAACGAGGCAGGCTACCGACAGTCGCGGGAGAACGACAAAATTGACTCGAAGTATGGCTTCGATAGAGTCAAGGATAACCAGGAGCGCACTGGCTATCTCATCAATATGCATGCCGTAAGAATTAAACCATTAAACCATATTCAGAATCCTTCTACAGACTCCAGGACTTTCCCCTCAACAGAACGAAGTGCTGGATGAGGATCGTCGGTTAATAGCCGCCTTGGATCTGTTCTTTATACAAATGGATGGCTCGCGCTTCAAGTGCACAGTGGCCTATAAGCCCTATCTGCTGGTTCGACCCGATGACAAAATGCACCTGGAGGTGGCACGCTTCTTGGGCCGCAAATACTCTGGCCAGATAGCCAGCCTTGAGCACATCTCCAAAGAGGATCTGGATCTGCCCAACCATCTGTCTGGCCTGCAGCAGAACTACCTGAAGCTCTCGTTCCTCAATCAGACCGCCATGACGAAGGTGCGACGCGAGCTAATGGCCGCCGTGCGGCGGAACACGGAACGCCAGAAATCCAACACGTACTACATGCAAATGCTGGCCACATCGCTGGCCCAGTCGTCGGCCAGCACGGAGGAGGGCCTGGGCAAGCGGCAGCAGGACTACATGGACTGCATCATGGACATACGCGAGCACGATGTGCCCTACCATGTGAGGGTCTCCATAGATCTGCGCATATTCTGCGGCCTGTGGTACAACATTCGGTGCAGAAGCGGCGTGGAGATGCCCCACATCTCCCCGCGGCCGGATATACTCGACCGACCCGAGCCCGTGGTCCTGGCCTTCGATATAGAGACGACAAAGCTGCCATTGAAGTTTCCCGATGCCCAAACGGATCAGATAATGATGATATCCTACATGATTGATGGCCAGGGATTTCTGATCACCAACAGAGAGATCATCTCCTCGAATGTGGCCGACTTTGAGTACACCCCAAAGCCGGAGTTCGAGGGTAATTTCGTGGTCTACAACGAGGACAACGAGATGCAGCTGCTGCAGAAGTTCTTCGATCACATCATGGAGGTGCGTCCCCACATCATAGTTACCTACAATGGCGACTTTTTCGACTGGCCCTTCGTGGAGACGCGTGCCGCCACCTATGACCTGGACATGAAGCAGGAGATTGGCTTCTCCAAGATGCGGGATGGCGTCTACCTGAGTCGCCCCTCCATCCACATGGACTGCCTCTGCTGGGTGAAGCGGGACTCGTATCTGCCTGTGGGCTCCCAGGGTCTGAAGGCGGTGGCCAAGGCCAAGCTGCGCTACGATCCCGTGGAGCTGGATCCCGAGGAAATGTGCCGCATGGCCGTGGAGCAGCCTCAGGTGCTGGCCAACTACTCCGTGTCGGATGCGGTGGCCACCTACTACCTCTACATGAAGTACGTGCATCCGTTCATCTTTGCCCTGAACACCATCATTCCCATGGAGCCCGACGAGATCCTGCGCAAGGGCTCGGGCACTCTCTGCGAGACGCTGCTCATGGTGGAGGGCTACCACGCGAACATTGTGTATCCCAACAAGCACCAGGCGGAGCTGAACAAGCTATCCAACGAGGGCCATGTCTTGGACTCTGAGACCTATGTGGGTGGCCATGTGGAGGCCCTGGAGTCGGGTGTGTTTCGAGCGGACATACCCTGCCGCTTTCGGCTGGATCCCACAATGGTGAAGCAGCTAATGGAGCAAATCGATGGAGTCCTGCGCCATGCCATCGTCGTGGAGGAGGGCATACCCATGGAGCAGGTGCTCAATCTCGAGGAGGTCAAACAGGAGATTCTCCAAGGCCTCCAAGGTCTCCACGACATACCCAATCGCCTGGAGCAGCCGGTCATCTATCATTTGGATGTGGGCGCCATGTACCCCAATATCATTCTGACGAATCGCCTACAACCCTCGGCAATGGTCAGCGATCTGGACTGTGCCGCCTGTGACTTCAACAAGCCGGGTGTACGCTGCAAGCGCTCCATGGACTGGATGTGGCGCGGGGAGATGCTGCCCGCCTCGCGCAACGAGTTCCAGCGCATCCAGCAGCAGCTGGAGACGGAAAAGTTTCCATCGCTCTTCCCAGGGGGGCCGACGCGCGCCTTCCACGAGCTCTCCAAGGAGGATCAGGCGGCGTACGAGAAGAAGCGCCTGTCCGACTACTGCCGCAAGGCGTACAAGAAGACGAAGATCACGAAACTGGAGACACGCAACTCGACCATCTGCCAGAAGGAGAACAGCTTCTATGTGGACACGGTGCGCGCCTTCAGGGATCGCCGGTACGAGTACAAAGGTCTCACCAAGGTGGCCAAGGCCTCAGTCACGTCCGCTGTGGCCTCGGGCGATGCGGCCGAGATCAAGGCGGCCAAGGGCAGGGAGGTGCTCTACGATTCGCTGCAGCTGGCCCACAAGTGCATCCTGAACTCCTTCTACGGCTATGTGATGCGACGCGGCGCTCGCTGGCACTCCATGCCCATGGCCGGGATTGTGTGCCTCACCGGCTCGAATATCATCACCAAGGCGCGGGAGATTATCGAGCGTGTGGGTCGCCCTTTGGAGCTGGACACGGATGGTATTTGGTGCATACTGCCAGGATCCTTTCCGCAGGAGTTCACCGTGCAGACGAGCCACGCGAAGAAAAAGAAGATAAACATCTCCTACCCGAATGCGGTGCTCAATGCAATGGTCAAGGATCACTTTACCAACGATCAGTACCACGAATTGAAAAAGAATGAGAATAAGGATGGGGAGGGCGCAGACGCCGCACCGCAGTACGATATACGCGATGAGAATTCCATTTTCTTTGAGGTGGATGGGCCCTACCTCGCCATGGTCCTGCCCGCCGCCAAGGAGGAGGGCAAGAAGCTCAAGAAACGCTACGCAGTCTTCAATTTCGATGGCTCTCTTGCGGAGCTGAAGGGCTTCGAGGTGAAGCGTCGCGGCGAGCTGCAGTTGATCAAGAATTTCCAGAGCTCCGTCTTCGAGGCGTTCCTAGCGGGCAGCACCCTGGAGGAGTGCTATGCATCGGTGGCCAAGGTGGCCGACTACTGGCTGGATGTCCTCTACAGCCGCGGATCCAATCTGCCCGACTCGGAGCTGTTCGAGCTGATTTCCGAGAACAAATCGATGTCCAAGAAGCTTGAGGAGTACGGCACCCAGAAGAGCACCTCCATATCGACGGCAAAGCGACTGGCCGAGTTCCTCGGCGAGCAGATGGTCAAGGATGCGGGCCTCGCCTGCAAGTACATCATCTCCAAGAAGCCCGAAGGTGCCCCCGTCACGGAGCGGGCCATACCGCTGGCCATTTTCCAGTCAGAGGAGAGTGTGCGGCGGCATCATCTCCGGCGCTGGCTCAAGGACAACACCATGGGGGATGCGGACATTCGGGATGTCCTCGATTGGAACTACTACATCGAGCGGTTGGGTGGCACCATCCAGAAGATCATCACCATACCCGCGGCCCTTCAGGGACTGGCCAACCCCGTGCCGAGGGTGCAGCATCCCGACTGGCTGCACAAGAAGATGCTGGAGAAGAACGATGTCCTCAAGCAGCGGCGCATCAACGAGATCTTCACGAGTCGCCCGAAACCGAAGCCAGCGCTGGAGGACAAGCAACTGGAGCTGCGGGACATGGAGGACATGGCTGGCAAGGAGATCGAGGACCCCACTGGTCTGCCAATAGTCACCAAGAGGAAACGAGTCCAACTGGACGAGGGGGAAGGGGAGGAGCAGACGCCGCAGCCCACCACCTGGCGACAGGCGCTGGGCGCTCCACCAGCCATTGGCGAGACCCACGCGAGCATCGTGGAGTGGGTGCGCTTCCAGAAGCGCAAATGGAAGTGGCAGCAGGAGCAGCGCCAGCGCTCGCGACAGGCCTCTAAGCGAGTGCGCAACGAGGAAGCGCCGATCCCCAGGGCACCCGGGGCGACGGCCACTTTGGGCGGGTTCCTGAGGCGAGCACAGCGCACGCTGCTGGACCAGCCCTGGCAGATCCTGCAACTGGTGCCCGTCGATGATCTGGGACACTTTACCGTGTGGGCGCTCATCGGAGAGGAGTTGCATCGGATAAAGCTGACGGTGCCCAGGATCTTCTATGTGAATCAGAGGAGTGCAGCGCCCCCGGAGGAGGGACAACTGTGGCGCAAGGTGAACCGCGTGCTGCCCCGCTCTCGACCCATGTTCAATCTGTATCGCTATAGCGTGCCCGAGCAGCTCTTTCGGGACAATTCCCTTGGAATGCTGGCCGATCTGGCCACTCCGGACATCGAGGGCATCTACGAGACGCAAATGACGCTGGAATTCCGCGCCCTCATGGACATGGGCTGCATCTGTGGCGTGCAGCGCGAGGAGTCGCGTCGCTTGGCCCTGCTCTCCACCAAGGAGCTGGAGAGCTTTAGCATCGAGCAACTGGAGCAGCGACCCCAGACGCAGGTCAAGTACCTGGCGATGGCCAATGCGCGGATGCGAAAGATCTACCTGTACCAGCACAATACGCCCACGGCGAAGAAGGAGATCTGGTCGCTCATACTGATGCCCAGCAAGAAGGGCTACATCTTCGCCCTGGACACGGTGCGTGCCAATCAGATGCCCAATCTGCGGCAGCTCTACGCCGCCGAACGGCTCGCTCTCCTAAAGAATCTCACGGCGGAGGAGCAGGAGAAGATACCCGTTGAGGACTACACCTTTGAGGTGGTCATTGAGGTGGATGTCAAGCAGATCTACAGGCACATTCAGCGTGCCCTGACCACATACAAACAGGAGAACCAGGGACCCACCATGCTCTGCCTGCAGACGGCCCTGGAGGCGAGGAAACTCTCGCTGGCCATGCCCATCCTTTTGGAGTTTCCCCAGGCCCAGATCCACATCTCGGATGATGCCAGCCTGCTCTCTGGCTTGGACTGGCAGCGTCAGGGCACCAGGGCCGTGGTGCGGCATTTCCTGAACCTGAACAACGTCCTGGATCTGATGTTGGATCAGTGTCGCTACTTCCATGTGCCCATTGGCAACATGCCACCCGATACGGTGCTCTTCGGAGCGGATCTCTTCTTCGCCCGCCTCCTGCAGCGCCACAACTTTGTGCTCTGGTGGTCGGCCAGCACGAGGCCGGATCTGGGCGGCCGCGAGGCGGACGACAGTCGACTGCTGGCGGAATTCGAAGAGAACATCAGCGTGGTGCAGAACAAGGCTGGCTTCTATCCGGACGTGTGTGTGGAACTGGCGCTGGACAGCCTGGCGGTGAGCGCGCTGCTGCAGTCGAGCAAGATCCAGGAGATGGAGGGCGCCTCCTCGGCCATCACCTTTGATGTGATGCCGCAGGCCTCCCTCGAGGAGATGATCGGCACTGTGCCGGCGGCCACACTACCCAGCTACGATGAGACGGCCCTCTGCTCCGCGGCCTTTCGTGTGATGCGCTCCATGGTGAACGGTTGGTTGCGGGAGGTGTCCATCAATCGGAACATCTTCTCCGACTTTCAGATCGTGCACTTCTACCGCTGGGTGCGCTCCAGCAACGCGCTGCTCTACGATCCTGCTCTGAGGAGATCCCTCAACAATCTCATGCGAAAGATGTTCCTGCGGATCATAGCAGAGTTCAAGCGTCTGGGCGCCACCATTGTGTATGCGGACTTCAATCGGATTATCCTGAGTTCGGGCAAGAAGACCGTGTCGGATGCCCTGGGCTATGTCGACTACATTGTCCAGAGTCTGCGCAACAAGGAGATGTTTCACTCGATCCAGCTGTCCTTTGAGCAGTGCTGGAACTTTATGCTCTGGCTGGACCAGGCCAACTTCTCCGGGATACGCGGAAAGCTGCCCAAGGGCATAGATGAGACAGTGTCCTCCATTGTGTCCACCACCATGCGGCAGGAGAGTGAAAGAAACCAAGAGCAGGAGAATGTCGACGACGACGATGATGATGATGATGATGATGAGGAGGAGAACAGAGATCCCTCGGCTCATGCTGACCAAGAGCCAGAAGCAGATGATGAGCTGGCTCTAGAGCTCAACTGGACCATTGGGGAGCGTCTGCCCGAGGAGAACGAGTGCCGGGAGAAATTTGAGTCGCTCATCACGCTATTCATGCAGTCGCTCGCCGAGCGTAAGACCACAGAGCAGGCCATCAGAGACATCTCCCACTGTGCCTTTGACTCTATCCTTAAGCTGCACAAGAACTATGGCAAGGGAAAGCCCAGTCCGGGCCTGGAGCTCATCCGCACCATGATCAAGGTGCTCAGTGTGGACAAGACGCTCGCCGAGCAGATCAACGAGCTGCGGCGCAACATGCTGCGTCTCGTGGGCATTGGCGAGTTCTCGGACATGGCCGAGTGGCAGGATCCCTGCGACAGTCACATCATCAACGAGGTCATATGCAAGGCCTGCAATCACTGTCGCGACCTGGATCTCTGCAAGGACAAGCATCGCGCCATGAAGGATGGCATGTGAGTGGGAACCAACGAGTCCATCCTTTTGCCTGTCTTAATTTAAATGACTCTTTCTAGACCCGTCTGGCTGTGCGCCCAGTGCTATGTGGCCTATGACAATGAGGAGATTGAGATGCGCATGCTAGATGCCCTGCAGCGCAAGATGATGTCCTATGTCCTGCAGGATCTGCGCTGTGCTCGCTGCAACGAGATCAAGCGCGAGAATCTGGCCGAATTCTGCACCTGTGCGGGTAACTTTGTGCCCCTCATCAGCGGCAAGGATATCCAGACACTGCTCACGACATTCAGCAAGGTGGCCACCAACCACAAGATGCAGCTGCTCCAGCAAACAGTGCAGCAGGCCATCGATGCGCCAAAATAGGGATTTGTTTCGTCTTAGATTAGGAATATCATTTGTGTCTATCTATTTAAGCGTTATAAAAGTGATCATTTAAACGATTTCCATGTAACTTTTGGGCTGATTCAATCACACACATAGCACTTGATGTTTTCACAAACGTTTCGCTTGTTTTCCGGATTTATTGGTTGCTGTTTGCAAGCCTCGCCTCTGGGACGTCACTCTTGCAACGCCGAAGAGACAAAAGAAAGAAGAACTTAAAAAGAATTCAACTAATTCATTGTTTAGTTGGCGCTCTGGGTGATGGGATCAACCTTGACCTCGGGGAACTTGAATTCGGGGAACTTCAGCATATCGGTCTTGCCATCGCTGCCGAACTGCTTGGCCACACGGTCCAGTTCGGTCTTGATCTCACGCTCAATGTCGGGATTGGAATCGACCAGCTTGCCACCGCTACAGAGGTAGACAGAGGTGATTACTAAGTGATAATGATGAAGATTTTCTCTAGCTAGACTTACCTGCTCTTCTGCTTGTACTCGCGCACTTTGTCGAGGAACAGCTGCTGGATGGGATCGGAGGCCTTGTTCAGGGCTGGGGCAGCCAGGCCAAAGTTCCGGCGAGCCTCCGTGCGGAGCACACGCACTCCAGTCAGAATTGTTTGCGACAGCATCTGCAGGCAAAGATAATTTGTTAATATTTTGCGAATTTCGGCTGCTCTTCTCCCATATGTAACCTTAAAAGGTTATGTAATATGTGCTGTTGTTTCACTAATCGAGCGATCTATCCAATGCTTTCGCTAGCTTGAGTAGTTCACAAAGTCCTTTGGCAGATACTGTCTGGATCCTTTTTATATAGTTTTTATTTTAATTTTTACCTTATTTTATTATTTCTTTAGCAAATTAGAGGTGTGAGGTGTCGAACAATCGAGGGCACTATCGATAGCTCAACTATGTAAAATATACCGTGACCCTCCGAAAAATACCGAAATATACCTTTTTATATACTATTATTAAAATATACCATAAATATACCGACGGACATGACATATTCCTAGATTTTAATGTTCGGTTTAATATTACTAGCTAGTTGGCCCCCTCAACATTAAACAAATAATTTTATCCAATTCCTCAATAAATTTTGTTCAGGATTGGCTAGTCTTCGGAACTCTTTCTTGTTGGATTGTTTACATAAAAAGATTCAAGCAAAAGCGTCCAAAGCGTCGATTTTTGTCGTCGATACCAACCACATTAGAAAGTAAATGAGAGAAATAAATTTTGAATTCCAAAACGAAAAATGTCGGTATTTTTTGTGCGCTAAATGGAGTTTGGCGGTCATTTGAAAAATAAAACAAAATGAATTAATAAAACAATAAAAACCCATTGTTTGGATGATTTTTTAATATAGATAATATGATGAGATCCACGGCTAACCGGGCATAAATAGAATTATAAAGTTAAATTAAGCTGTTAAAAGGTGTCAGCGAGTAATTGCTGTACATTTGGGCATGTTTAATAACAAAAAATACACTCGAGTGGATCCACTTTACCAGGATCAAACCCTCTTCTATGTCTTGACTCGATCCACAAATCCATTTTAAAGGTTTTTTTAAAGCCGACAGGTATTCGAATATTTGAATGTTTAATGATCTACTGTTTAATAATACTCAGTGACACCCAAGGATGCTGCAATTTTGACGGCCAAGCTGCAGCCCCAAGCTGACACCAATATACCCCAGCAGGGCAAAGATGATGATGTTAATGGTTTTTTGATATTTTTGAAAAAATATTGTGTATATATACATATGTGACCGAGCGGACAAAATCACAAAATACCATTTCTATCAAAGTATGACCATAGGGCACGGTTATTTACAGTTACGTTTATGTTATGGCGTTTATGGCTTGATTTGCTGTTGTTTTTGTGCGTAAAAGATGAAGCATCTGTATATTTACCAGTCAAAATTGGCTCCAGGAGAGCTGGAAGAGGGCATGATTATATATATCATGCCAAATAGAGTAAAAACTGAAAGATCAATTAAAAAGACTTGCAGCTTTGAAGTGATGCCAGCAGACGCCGGCGCATCCTCACCATGAAGGACTTCATTTTGGATATCATGAACCAGCAACGAAACAAGCTCTTCACCGATGCCTAAACTACATGCGGGTAAGTTTTTGAGGCTATATTATCAAAAATTGAGCGGCCGTAGCGTGTGAAGGGGTTAGATAAAGGATACATAAACTTCATGAACGAACTTCAGAACTTCGATGGACATGCATTCTACCTGCAAATCGATGAATCGCATGTAGACCAGCTCGGGGTAAATATAATTTAAATATATTCCATTTATATTTCTATGTTTAATTAGTAAGACAAGTTAGTATGTATATTAGGTTTGTGGTCAAGTGGATGTGTGTGTGCGTTACAGAGAAGGAATTTATTTCCTTTGGATTGCACACATTTTGTGTGATTAGTTTTTACTGTAATTTTTGCTGTTATTTTAAAGAAAATACTTTTTAAGTTTTAACGATGAAGATGGTTGGCGATGGTTTGTCTGTGTGACAGAAAGTTTCGGAAGTATTTGTGCTGTGAACAATGAGCAGTTGATTGCTCAAAAATTTATTTTAAATGACGGCTCGCTTCGACTGCACTCCCCTTTTTATAAGAAATTGGCAGCGCCGCCATTTGAAAAAACGGGCAGCAGTGCTGTCATTTTAGCTTTTCTCAGGCTTGACTTTTATAAAGTGACATTTTTAAAAGTGGATTAGCTTGTAAAATTTGCATATAGCTTTTATAAGCTGTTAAGCATTTTTAAAACAATATTTTTAGATTTAAATCTAAATAAGGTCTCTTCAGGATTTTATCGTTGCGTAGAAGCAAAGACTATGCAATACAAAGATGTTGCACGAGGAGCAAATTCTCGTTCAATTTTCGTTTGACGTTTCTTGGTACGGGCGCGCGGCGTATTTCTTCCATTCTCTTTTAGGCTAGCCTTTGCCTCTGCTTTCGGCTTCGTCAATGCCTCGACCCGCGTCGAGTCGAGCGACAGAATACACCAACAAAATATGAAGGGCCGGACAACAAATTGTTGACGGCAACTGGTCAACAATTTGTACCTGTTGTTTTTTAGTATCGTGCAGTTGATTGGTGGTTCGTACACCCACAATACTGCAAAATTAGTTATCAAAATTGGAAAACGATCTGTGGATCGAGTAAGTGCAATGCCGAGCATCCGCAAACTGAACTACAACGAGCGCGCTCGCCTTGAGAAATGGCTGCAGAACGAGGACATCACCCTGAACCCCCGTTCGCGTCACGACAAATACTGTGATGTGCGATACGTGGCAGAGATCCTCAAGAAGTGGCATCCTTCAATAGAGCTGCGCTGCTACACTGCAGCCAGCAGCTTCACTCGTCGGCTGCAAAACTGGCAGGTGTTCTCGTTCCGGGAACTAAAGAAACTGGGCCTCCGACTGAAGACGGAGGATCTGAAACAGCTGGCTGCTTTGGCAGCGAGCGAGAGCCGAAAAATGGGAAGCGAGGTAGTAAGCTACGCTTTAATTCGTGTACACGACTATCTGAAGCGGTCACTGGTTTGGAAAACAAAAATCTATTATTCACAATTCTTTCGACATCCAAAGTATACAATTTGTACCTGTTGTTTTTTAGTATCGTGCAGTTGATTGGTGGTTCGTACACCCACAATACTGCAAAATTAGTTATCAAAATTGGAAAACGATCTGTGGATCGAGTAAGTGCAATGCCAGGCATCCGTAAACTGAACTACAACGAGCGCGCTCGCCTTGAGAAATGGCTGCAGAACGAGGACATCACCCTGAACCCCCGTTCGCGTCGCGACACATACTGTGATGTGCGATCCGTGGCAGAGATCCTCAAGAAGTGGCATCCTTCCATAGAGCTGCGCCGCTATACTGCAGCCAGCAGCTTCACTCGTCGGCTGCAGAACTGGCAAGTGTTCTCGTTCCGCGAACTGAAGAAACTGGGCCTCCGACTAAAGACGGAGGATCTGAAACAGCTGGCCGAAGGCAGGCCAGGAGCAGTCGACTGGCTGCTGTTCAGCCTTATTGGCAAGAATCGATAGACCGATTGTTTGTACTTTTCTTTTCTAATTTTGGAGCGAAAGTTTGGTTGGCGATGGTTTGTCTGTGTGACAGAAAGTTTTGGAAGTATTTGTGCTGTGAACAATGAGCAGTTGATTGCTCAAAAATTTATTTTAAATGACGGCTCGCTTCGACTGCACTCCCCTTTTTATAAGAAATTGGCAGCGCCGCCATTTGAAAAAACGCGCAGCAGTGCTGTCATTTTAGCTTTTTCCGGCTTGACTTTTATAAAGTGACATTTTTAAAAGTGGATTAGCTTGTAAAATTTGCATATAGCTTTTATAAGCTGTTAAGCATTTTTAAAACAATATTTTTATATTTAAATGTAAATAAGGTCTCCTCAGGATTTTATCGTTGCGTAGAAGCAAAGACTATGCAATACAAAGATGTTTCACGAGGAGCAAATGCTCGTTCAATTTTCGTTTGACGGTGAAAAAGTAGTGCCCCGCCCTAAGCCAGACCAGCATCGTTTGACCTGGGCGTTTCGTCAGCCTAATGTAGGTGGGGGCCGTTTTCTTGGGCCCCGCACCTCGCCATAACTTTGCCATAACCTCTGCGCAGGTGCCACAGCCTACCGTGCTTACAGTGAGCCACGCTAAGAGGGACATACCTACAACGTCAGAGTTCCACGTTGTCTCAAGAGAAGTCGATGCCATCACATAGTTTATAATTTTTTTTCTTTATTCTATAAGTACATTTAATATATCATACAAATTTTTCCCAATTTAAATATGGCATATTAGTTGCAGAGGAGAGGGAAAGAATTGTGTTAAAAAAAAAAAAGAAATTTAACAATAATATGCCTTTGGCAGGAGCCAACAGGGAACAATAATACCTTAATTCCACAGCGTCATCAAACCAACCCCCAGCGAAAGGCGCCTTTCTCCGAGGAAGTACTGTATGCATACCTACATGCATACCCATCTGTAAGTGATAAAATATAATTTTTTCCCGGTCCCTTTTGTGCCTTCTTCCCGCTAGCCGAATTGGCATGCGCCTAACAGCCTAAGCATACGCTCTAGAGCTTTAGCGGTGGGTTTGCCGTTGGTTTGCGCATTCTATGCATTTGCCTACATGGAAAATGTAAAACGAACATTACAGTAAACAACAACAACAAAAATCCTTTTTGTTTCTTCTTTTTCTTTTGATTTAACCAATTTTAATATGCCGCTTAGTTATTTAATTGAATTAATTTTTAGTTCATATTATCCTACCTTATCTTTATTTAATGCATATACATATTACCCTTCGATATATTTTATATTCTTCTTTCCTTATCAATATTATAATAGTGTTATATTTTGTTCTTCCCTATTGGATGCTCAACAATTCTGAACCATTTTCGAAATGAATATGATGTTAGTAGTTTTAGGATTTGCATTGTTTATTTAAATAAATTTAGCTTTGATATGAATTCGTGCTAGTTGCGCCTAATTTGAGGGGGGTCTTGCGTCGTGTAGGGAACATGTACATACATAGGAATTGCGAAATAGACTTTTTTTTGGGATCGCCATAAATTTTCTTTGGATTATAGCGATCATGGAAGGGAGGGCAGTCGTGGTCGCGTTTACATCTGCCGCCACAAGATAAATGTCTGGATGCTTGAAGTTAATCCTTGTTCTTTCTGTCCTTTTTCTATTTGTGGAATTATCCGAATTGTCCATCGCACGCGAATTTAATGATTTTATGTACATAGACGAGCGGATGAGCAGCGGCTCCTTCCCTTTAGCCACCCCATCACCCGACTGCAACAAAAACCGGAACTGCGAGTGCCCCGCTAAAGCTCTTCACCTTCCATCAGCTCAACAGCAACTCAACGTTGCATACAACAAATCGTAGATCAACCAAAATTTGGAGGATTTGGGTGCACAAATAATGGCAATACCGCTCGACGTGCCTTTACTGACCCGAAACTCTTCGCAGAAATCACTGGCATTGATGTTAAGCTGATCACAAACCTATGGACAATATATATGTATATATCATATATATATATCAAGTCAGTTCCCATTAAATGTGGCTAAGTTTCAAACCTTTTGCTTTAATACTGCGGAGACTATTATTGACCAATGACAGTTCATAAAATCTTGGTTCATTCAAGCGAAATAAAAGAAAACACGATTCGCATACAATAGGCGCATACAAATTTTTTTAAAAGTCCCTGAATTTTTATATTACAGGTGTCCCGGGTAAAATTTGTTTGGAAAAGCTATCTGTAATAATATTTTTTAAATATCTTTTATTATTTTTAAGGCGTACCACGCCCCCTGAATATAATAAAATATCCCCAACATTCGACTATAAAGATTTTTTTTTTATTATTTGGAGCAAAAAAATTAAAATGTGATTTTTCATTTAAAAAAAGGCGTTGCCACGCCCATTTTTTCAAGATACCTCCATTTTGCCAATATAAACTCATTTCAAGAAAACTAAACCAAAAAATATTATTTCGTTTAGAAGTTATTAAATATTGCCACAAAAGGCGGTCAAATTGGCCTCGGAGTTTTTCAGGTTTGGTTGCGCAAAAGCCGCATTTAAGGCACACAAACCGTCTTGGAACATCCAAAACATCGTGAACCCATGTTTTTTTTTTGCAGTCAGCATTCGGAACAATCTTCAAGCCATTCCTTACCCACATACAGTGTCAGACGTGGAGGCCAAATAAATCTTTCAACTAATCACGGTTGAAGGTAAATGATTATCAAAAAAAAAAAAAACCAGAAGGAACGTGTGAGTCGCTTCTGGGGACGCAACTCTACTTATACCCGTACTCATTCAGCATTTACATTTTTGAGCTTATAATTTTTTAGAATTTTAAAATTAAAAAAAAAATTTACATTTAACATTGTTTTGCTACATCTGTTATCTAAATCAACATTTAAATGTATATTTTACATCTAACATGTAGATTATAGATGTACCATTTGTTTTCTACATCTCCTCCGCTAGGGGTTGTTCGCGCACTGAACGCAGCAGAGTGTGCGAGCGAGAAGAGATGGTAGCATGTCTCTGGAAGGGGGAGGCGGAGGAAGCAACTGAAAATGAATTTCTTCATTCTGGCTATAATTATAATCCGATCTGATTCAGATATGGTAAAAATGGTCATTCTTAAAATTGTGCCTGACACAGATTATCGTCCTTTGAGGTGTTGGAAGGGGGGCGGGGCGAAATTTTGAAAAACACTTGTAGCAGTTCATTAGTCTGGAAACAAAATTTGGTTGCTCCAGCTCTTTTAGTCTCTGAGATCTAGGCGTTCATTAACAGACAGACAGACATAGAATCGGCTATTGATGCTGATCAAGAATATATATAATTTATGGGATCGGAAACGTTTTCCTTCTCTGCGTTACACACATCCACTTGTGCCACAAATCTAATATAACCCTTAACTCTTTTTGAGTACGGCTGTCGGTTGAATTTTGTTGAGTATTGTAATTTTGCGAAACGTAAGGCAAAATAAAGATTGTAATTTTTTTTAAATGTATAAACAAGTTTTTTGAACACATACATTTTAAAATAAAGAATTCGATTTACCTCATGACCTAATACCAAAATTATTAATCCATAAAGCTCACACAAAACCCTCTTAATGATCAAGTATCTTACTTTAGGTTGGGCCCCGTTTGCACCGGGGCCCTTTCCTACCTAGCTACGCCACTGCATGGCGTCCATGTCCATACACACAAAAACGCGTTTGAAAGTTGTGAAATGGACAAGGACAATATTTTCGCCTTTTTATTAAATTCCGCACTGCCCCAGCCGGTAGAAGTTGCCCCGGGAGCGACTCCGCGGAGTTATCGTGTCGGCGGCGGTGGTGGCCACTTCCAGCAGCCAGGAGCTGATGGATGTGTCGACGGAGTTTTGTGCGGGAGGTAGTGCGCAGCGGGCAGCAGCAGAGTTGGCAGCAAGTTCGGATCTCGCACGTACAGTGGCCAAAATCAATGACATGAGGAATGTCTTCCCAGTTCCACCGGGGGCATCCAAAAAAAATAAGCCGCCATTTCCATCATCAATTGCATTAATCAGTGTATCATAGACTTCCCTCTGCTTAGGATTTAACAGAGGTACATTCGTTTGAACTGATTGGATTAGTTCATGTGGATCATATTCACGTTCACGTTCCAATTCTCTATTAAATGCGTCATTCATTCAGCGATCTAGCGCTGGCATTCTTAACCTAACTAACAAACTGCTGCACATGAGGTAACACATATCTTCGATCAAGGGCAAAGTCTGGTTATGGATCTCCTCATTCACCTCAAGATCGGAATTTCTTGAGCTGACGCGAATTCGATGTAAAATATCTTCTGACATGTTATCTTTGTATTTGTTCCACAGGTCACGTGGGTTCGATGGGAAGCGTGTTGAAATGATGATAGCAAATAATGTGCGTATCTGACTTGGAGATGCAGAAATAATTGCTTCAGTTTGATGCTTTGAGGCAAGCGTTTATTTCGTCGGCAGCAGTAGATCTTGGAATGACTGGTAGTGTTTGTCGGAAATCGCCAGATAATAAAATCATTGCACCACCAAAACATCTCGAGTCATTGCGCAGATCTTTTAATGTTCGGTCTAGTGCACATGATGTCTTCAGAAAAAAAAATAATGTTGTGGCTTAAAGGTCTCAGCAACCAGGCCATAAGCTCCAAAAAAAAAAAAAAATAGTTGTTACACTATTTGACAGGATTGGACAACAAATGTTTGACATGTAATAAACAAATCAGCATCTATTGAAATGATTAAGTATTCATTACACATATCGAGTTTTCATAATTTTTAAGATGTATTCTGCTATTCGGGAAGGAAACAAATCCAACAAATCAAAAAGCATGGCAATCGGTCCAGCCGTTCTCGAGTAATAAGTGTTGTAACAAACACGACTTTCTTTTATTTATATGAGAAAAATATAAAATAATCTCAAAAACATTAAATTTATAAGTTTTTATTTGAAATGAAAAAAGAAGGGGCCCCAGATTGATGGTTGCCCAGGACCCGGTTGAGGGTTGATCCGACCCTGAATAGATCGAGTTTGGTTTTAAAGTTGTTATTTGTTTGTATTGTGTGTATTTACAGTGGGAACTCTGTCGAAAAGAAATGGCAAAATTTAAAAAATATTTTATGAACGCTCTGAATGAAATAAATGTACACATCTAATAGAAAATTTTCCAGAGCTTTAGCGAATCCTTTATTTTTATATATTGTTTTTATTTCCCACCCCCACCCACTCTGCCCATTCCCAATTGGCTGTCACTGGTTTGGAAAACAAAAATCTATTATTCACAATTCTTTCGACATCCAAAGTATACGCAGCTCGAAAAAAGGCACCAAATTGCGGTCAACAATTTGTACCTGTTGTTTTTTAGTATCGTGCAGTTGATTGGTGGTTCGTACAGCCACAATACTGCAAAAATAGTTATCAAAATTGGAAAACGATCTGTGGATCGAGTAAGTGCAATGCCGGGCATCCGTAAACTAAACTACTACGAGCGCGCTCGCCTTGAGAAATGGCTGCATAACGAGGACATCACCCTGAACCCCCGTTCGCGTCGCGACACATACTGCGATGTGCGATCCGTGGCATAGATCCTCAAGAAGTGGCATCCTTCAATAGAGCTGCGCTGCTATACTGCAGCCAGCAGCTTCACTCGTCGGCTGCAAAACTGGCAGGTGTTCTCGTTCCGGGAACTAAAGAAACTGGGCCTCCGACTGAAGACGGAGGATCTGAAACAGCTGGCTGCTTTGGCAGCGAGCGAGAGCCGAAAAATGGGAAGCGAGGTAGTAAGCTACGCTTTAATTCGTGTACACGACTATCTGAAGCGGTCACTGGTTTGGAAAACAAAAATCTATTATTCACAATTCTTTCGACATCCAAAGTATACAATTTGTACCTGTTGTTTTTTAGTATCGTGCAGTTGATTGGTGGTTCGTACACCCACAATACTGCAAAAATAGTTATCAAAATTGGAAAACGATCTGTGGATCGAGTAAGTGCAATGCCGGGCATCCGTAAACTAAACTACTACGAGCGCGCTCGCCTTGAGAAATGGCTGCAGAACGAGGACATCACCCTGAACCCCCGTTCGCGTCGCGACACATACTGCGATGTGCGATCCGTGGCAGAGATCCTCAAGAAGTGGCATCCTTCAATAGAGCTGCGCTGCTATACTGCAGCCAGCAGCTTCACTCGTCGGCTGCAAAACTGGCAGGTGTTCTCGTTCCGGGAACTAAAGAAACTGGGCCTCCGACTGAAGACGGAGGATCTGAAGCAGCTGGCTGCTTTGGCAGCGAGCGAGAGCCGAAAAATGGGAAGCGAGGTAGTAAGCTACGCTTTAATTCGTGTACTCGACTATCTGAAGCGGAGATTGGGGCACTTGACTCCGAGACTGCTTGGGATAATTTCTGACGGCAACCGTGCCAATGGCGATGCCTTTGGCTACGCCATGACCAAATTTCCCTGCCTATAAGATATCACGCACCTAAGAAATAATTTGGCGGGAAATTACGGACACGTGGACCCGGTAAGGCTTTTCATTCGCTACATATAGTCAAGAATATATATAGGAAATTTTTTTTTTCCAAGAAAATATATTACACCAAGTGTACGACGTGTGGACGTATACTGCGTCCACATGAAAAGCACAGATGGAGGAAGCCAAGGGGGCAGTGCGAACGCTCCTCCGGCCACCAGACAGTGACCATCACGGTGTGATGGAACAGGAGTTGGGGCAGCTAGAGAAGATGATGCCTCGCTTTTTCGCGCAATGCCCGAACGCAGAACTCAGGCTCAGTCGCTGTAAGAGTGATGAGCTTTGCCCCATACTATTTACAGCAAAGAGCCAAAGGCCGAAATCAGAGCTGATAAAAATAATTGTAGAACTGCACCAACAGAGTCATCAGCGCAGTAATATTTAGTAGAGCAGTTGATTGCTCAAAAATTTATTTTAAATGACGGCTCGCTTCGACTGCACTCCCCTTTTTATAAGAAATTGGCAGCGCCGCCATTTGCAAAAACGCGCAGCAGTGCTGTCATTTTAGCTTTTTTCAGGCTAGACTTTTATAAAGTGACATTTTTAAAAGTGGATTAGCTTGTAAAATTTGCAAATAGCTTTTAAAAGCTGTTAAGATTTTTTAAAACAATTTTTTTAGATTTAAATGTAAATAAGGTCTCTTCAGGATTTTATCGTTGCGTAGAAGCAAAGACTATGCAATACAAAGATGTTTCACGAGGAGCAAATGCTTGTTAAATTTTCGTTTGACGTTTCTTGGTACGGGCGCGCGGGGTATTTTTGCAGAGCGTTCATAAAATGTGAAAAATGGCGGCCCGCGTCGAGTCGAGCGACAGAATACACCAACAAAATATGATGGGCCGGACAAGCAGTTGCCGAGGGCCCCCCTAGGGCTAACAGAAAATTTTTTTGAAAAAACAAAACTACAAATAATGGATAAAAATATAATACCCACTGATAAGAATATAAAATAATCTCAAAAACATTAAATTTATAAGTTTTTATTTGAAATGAAAAAAGAAGGGAGCTGGCGTGAAAAATGGGGCCCCAGATTGATGGTTGCCCAGGGCCCGGTTGAGGGTTGATCCGACCCTGAATAGATCGAGTTTGGTTTTAAAGTTTAATTTTGGTTTTAAAGTTTAAAAATTGTAGAATACATGGCACACACACATTTACGTAACCTGGAAACGAAACTCAAAACGGTTTCGGAACATAATTATCGTTATCGATATCGTTTTACCCGTTTGAGTTTCGCGTAACTCACGTTTGCGATATCGTTTACGAAGTTTTGGTTTCGTTGTATGAACTGGCACATCTATATACTGTATGGTTGTGACTCAGATCAAAAAACAAAAAGGTCGGTATATACTTGAAAAGTATTAGAAGTATTTGCTTGTTTTTTTGGTATGTTCCGACCCACCTCGAAAAAGATATTAATTTGATATCTTTTGCCAGTAAACACGAAGCAAACATTGCAATAAGAGAACAAAAAACCAAATGAAATATTTAAATAATGAAGACAAATAGAATCTAATTAATGCAGCATTATATAAAGGACAAATATATGGATATTATAATATATTTTTATTAATTTTCATAAATATAAAACAAATATTGCTTTCAAAACAGTTTGTCTTCACGGTGGTCGGCACGGGTGGCGTCGGCTGCTGCTGATATTCAGACACATTACCTTGCCAATAAAATATTGGGGAGCCCAGGATTTGCCTGGGGAAGAGCGGCCCAGCCGAAGAAGTGCATTTTGTTAACTTTAAACAAAACCAAGCAGCGGTCTGAGCAGTGTAACCGTTCGGAATGCAGTGCACACCTCTGGTCACACCACTGGTCGCTCGAAAAATATATGACCTCTGTTTGCTAGCAAACAGTTTTTCGATCTGAGTAATAGGCTTCAAGTAAACAGCGATTGACTTCGGGTTATTTAAATCCGAATAATTTCGGTATTTTAGGAGGGTTGCGGTCATTTTGAAAATCACTTTAATATATACCGATATACCGTAAATATACTTTGGTCGACAATGGGTTAATTCTGTTTATGATCGGAAATCATATTCTTCGATTTTGATATTCGCTTTAATATAACTAGCAATCTAAGAATCTTAGCACCTGAACACATAATTTTATCCGATAGATGAATCAATTTTCTACAAGATTGGCTAACTTTAACAACTCTTTTTAATTAGATTCTTTACATAATACGGTTCAAACAAAAATGGGCAAAGCATAAAACTTAAGTGTGTACCGGAATGTGACGTCACTGTTGCCTGGGAATACCGGTGCAGCTATGAGTATCGACATTTGTATGCCCTATATCTGTACCTTAATGATAAAATTATGTTTTCCAAGCTAATTTGAATTATTAATAATTCCTTTTACTTAGAATGACATGCTTTTGACCTATTCACGCATTTGATTTGTTTGCCTTATTTATATCTCGTTCCCCATACATATTTGTAGTCTCTGTTAATCGTATCGAACAGTGGACAAAAGTGTTTTTGTCTTGAAATTGTTTTGAATATATAATCTGCAATTACGTTTATCATTTATCAATAAAACTCGTACAAATCGTGTTTTCAAATTCTCGTAGGACTTATTATTTACTAAAAACATGATTATAGCTATAGTCTTCAAGTATGCATCTAAAACAGCGTATCTTCGGCGCGTATGTACTCGCCTAGGTCCGACTGGTGGTAACAGACTGCCGTCAGTGGATCAGCGGTCTTGCAGTCGGTGGTGGAGCGTGCCAGAACCCCAAAGCCCAATGGCAAATCGCTCATGGCGTACACCACCACTCCCTGGTACTGTGCTGCGTTTTCGGTGATTCGTGACAGACCCGATTTGGGTACGTTGTTGCCGTACAGGTACTGCTGTTCAAAGGATGGCTTGACCCACACCTTGTGCTGGGCGTACGGCGCCAGATAGTAGAGCGCTGTGATGTGGAACTTCAATTTGTTGGTCTTGGAGAACTTCCCAAAGCAGGTGCCTACGCTGACCAGTTGCTTGCCGCTGAAGCACTCGCTCAGCTTGAGTATCCGCTCGGACACATAGTAGACGCGATCCCGCATCTCTCGGAAACAATAGGTGCCGTCCGGGCGGTCAATCAGCTGCGTTACATTCGTTCCAATGCTGCAAGGAAGCTGATTAATGTCATTCCAATCAAGTGTTTGTCGTACCTACTATTTGTTCAGCTTCTCGAACAAAATCTTGGCACGCTCGTCAGATAAACGCTTCATTTTATTTAAATACAAAAACCAAAAATTGCGGAAACTACACGTGAGATAGAGGTGTCAAACCATCGATGGCACTATCGATAGTATCGATATTTTACTGCTAGCCTCTACTATCGACGGTTTAGCGACTATCATGATAGTATCGAGCTACAGTCGTTGCGCTTTTGATGTGTTTGGATTGGCTGCTATAAAATACGAAGACACATTTGTAAGCAAATCGACAGGTGGCATCTAATTTTTACAATGGACAAGTTCCTAAAAGGTTTGATTGGTTTTTTAATAATTTTTTGAGCCCCGATACTATGACGATAGTATCGATTGTTTTTTCTTCAAAACATTCAACGTTGATATTCCGTTTAATATTACTAGTTAGTTGGCCCTCTCAGCCCTAAATAAATAATTTTATCCGATAGATACATAAATTTTGTTCAGGATCGAATTGAGAATTGAATTGAGAGCGAAAAATGGCAAAACAGTTCACTACGAGGGCTGCAAAACCATAGATGGCACTATCGATAAAAATTTAAAAATCAAGGAAACATCAACAGAACCGAGCCGCAAGGTGTGTAACGTAGAGAGGGAAGGGACACATGTATTTTACTTCGTTCAAATTCAAATTCAAAATTCCAAAAGGCGTTAATTTGGTCGTTTAATTAATTTAAAACAGAATCTAAGGTTAAAGTTAACTACAGTAACTTTTTGGCTTACTTACAATTTCTAATAGTGTATGTGCTTTGGCTAATACTAAAAAAAAGTTTCTTATAACCTACATATTTACAATACCATAAATAACTACACTAGTAATTTGAACTAATCTAAATGTATCACGTATTAGGGGAGTTCAGGCCGTCTCCGAGCGCTTCTGTGTGTAGTTCCGCTCCTTGAGCAAATCGTCCAGCTGCTCCTCCTGATAATAGACGACGAACTGTGCCGCTGACACTTGCTCGAAGATGGCGCAAATGCTCGGCTTCAGGTTGTAGAAGAAGAGCAGCTGTCCCCGCTGATTAAAGTCACTGATCAGGGAGTCGATGACGGTCGCTGTGGTAAAGTCGGCCCCATAGACATGCGAGGCATCGATGACGACGGGCACATTCTGGCGCATGGACTGCTTGTTGACCAGATTCCTAACATAATCCACGGACGGAAAGATTAGGCATCGATCCGGCGTGATCATCATGTAGTCAATGCCCGATTGTGTGGCCAAGAGCTCTGTGGAGAGCTTTGGACGCGCCGCATGATACAGTATAAAGATGACATTAAGCCCGACGCCAATGAGAATACCCCATTCCAGTGGAAGTACCAGACAGGCCATGAATGTTCCCACACCAGGCACCAGATCGCTTTCTGCAATAATTTTGATTGTTACATGAGATGTTTAATCATCTTTTAACCAATTTTAACTTACTCTTCGATCTCCACATGGGCTTAACCACCTTGACCTCGATCATGAACACCACAGCCGATATGATGATGGCCGCCAGTGTGGGACGCGGTATGAAGTAGAAGTACGGAGTGAGGAATAGCAGAGCAATCATCACCAGACCACCAGAATATATATTGCTGAGTGGGGTGCGCACTCCGCTGGCATTGTTGACAGCCCCACGACTCAGGGCGCCGGTTCCCGGAAAGCCCTGGACAAAGGAGTTGAATATGTTGGCCGTACCTATGGCAATCAGCTCCTGGGAAGCATCCACCGACTTGCCATTGGCTGAGAGAGAGTTCACATTGAAAAAAGAGCAGTCTTGGGAATCTTGTGTGGATCACTCACCGAAGGCCTTGCAGATGGCAATGTTCTCCATCAGCGAGATCAGCGGGACCACAATCAAACCGGAGCCCATGCTGTGGACCATCTCCACGAAGCTCTCGGCAGCGCCATTGCTCGTCTCGTTGGCACTCAACGAAGTGGGGGGCCACTGTACGTTGGGCAGTCCGGGCGGGATGTCACCCACCACGCGGAATGGAGCACCATGCTCCTCACTGTGCAGCAGATAGCCCATCAAGCAGCAGACTATCACCAGTATGGCATTGCGAGCAGTGCCCACAATCCAGAGTACCTTGTTCACCACCCGCTGGAAGGTTGATCGCTGCTGCTCATCTTCGGGTCCGATGCGGCAGGAGGAGAGGGAGCGCATCAGGAGCAGCACCACAATGCAGGTGAGGCCCAAGACGGTGTCGCCGGCTCGTGTGTGCTCAATGTTGTGGAACACCTGCGTCCAGATCTCCACAAAGGTGTTGCCCTTGGCCGTGATGCCCAGCACACTTTGGATCTGGGATGTGAGAATGATGAGGGAGACGGCGGAGGTGAAGCCGGAGGAAACCGGACCCGAAACAAAGTCAATGAGAAAGCCAAGCCCAAAGAGTCCCATCAGCAGTTCCACAATGCCCGACAGCAGACACAGCAGCACCGACTTTTGCCATGATCCCTGAGCCGCCTGGAATGTCAGCAGTGCCACAATGGCCGAGGGACCCATTGGCACATCCTTGCAGCTGCCCAGAAAGATGTACACAAAGCAGCCCAAGAACGAAGCATACAGACCGTACTAAGATGGATTAGATCATGGGATTAGATCATTATTCAAAACGGTTAACACAAAGGTTACTCACGGCTACTGGGAGTCCGGCGATTCCAGCATAGGCCAAAGCCTGGGGAATCACCGTCAGGCCCACAGTTATGCCAGCCACCAGATCCCCGACTGCATCCTGACTGCTGTAACGTGGCAGCCACCCAAGGATGGGCAGTCTTTTGTGCAGGGTCTTGCGGTTAAATGTCCGTCTGCTGCAATCCTGTAGCCAGCTGCGGGTGCACTCCACCGTACTCCGCGAGGGCTTCACCTTCTTGCCGTCCTCGGTCACTAAAAGGGCGAAAAGAGAGCAGAGGTTAACAAAAGGTTTTTCTAGCCGGAAATTGCAAGCCATGCCAAAAAAAAAAACCAACAATGAAATTCTTTACTGGCAGTACTCGTAGTTGGTGCTTATTTTTGTTATTTCTTGGCAAGTCGTTGGCTTCATTTTCGACTGTGATTCATAATCACGTACTACCGAGGGTGCTAGGTTTTTAACTACGAGTATCTGCCATACATACATGTATGTTCATTTACATTTATTATTTAATTGTACTTTTTTTGTTCTATGGTTCTCCATGATCTCCGAGAATTTCATTGTCAAGGTTTCTGGGCCGAGTTTATCGGCTGAGAAAACGTGGAAAACAATTGGATGTACGAGTGTCTGTATCTCCCTAATAGACAGCACGTTTCGTATGCCAAATGAAAAAAAAAAACATTTCATTTCCCTGGGAAAAAATTCCTTTGATTGCAATTGAGAATTTTAATAGCTGCCAGAAAAACTCTCTTGATTTGTATATAAAATGATTTGAATAACAATTTCCGTTTTTTTTTCTGTAATAACTGAAAATTATTGCAAATTTAATGGTACCATGAAATTATTGAAAAACTTTTAACAACAATTCTAAATGCTAAAATTGTTCAACTACTTTAATTTGTTTTCACAATAAATCACTATTGAATGGACGAAACCCATTTAGGTACCTCTCGAATCATCACTCTAATAATAGTAATGTATAATTTTTCAAACAAAACTTCATTAATTACAAAATCAACTTATATAAAATATTAAAAAGATAACTACTTAAATGAATACGCAAATAATCATAATTTTAAATTGTTTCCAGATGTTCCCCAATTAAATATATTGTTTCCCACACTAGACTTTTATATTTTTAAGGAAATCCCTTCGTAAGAGACCTTTTCTTTTGACTTGTTCTTTTATTAATCACATTCAAATTCGTATTCTTTCCAGTAGTTATGCTTTATAAAACCCCGCAGTTTATAGAAAAACTCACATATAAACTCCTTGGATCCTTGAGATCCCACACTGTTGTTGCTGCCTCCATTCTGTTCGTTGAGGTTGGTATGCATGCTGATTGTTGAGCACTTGAATCCATCGTTGAAGTAGACGTGATCCGAAGCAGGATTGGACTTCATCTTTCCGCGTAGTGTGCGAAGGGGAGTTCCCACAAATGAACAAAAAAACACTGCCGACGGACTTAGAGTTAATTACACAGTCCAAGTTACGAATAAAATAAATTCAAAACAATGGCTGGGGCTGGGCTGGGCTGGCTGACAGCAGGTGAAACTTTTGCGAGTGCCGCCGCCTTCGGAAATAAAGTTTATACGATCAACAGAAGCACGCGCCGCCTGGTACTGGCGGAGTCATAGGTGGTGCATCTGGCGGGGTATTAAGTAACTTTTTCTAGACGCACTGAAACTGTCTCGGAAATGCTCGGTCCCTCAGTCGGCTCTTCACACGGCAACGTTTCGAACGAAACTGTTTTGTACTTGATGCGAACCTTGTCTTTTATAAAAATCAAAACTTTGTTTTCGCTGTCGTCTCGTTGTGTCGTCATCGTCGCTATCGTTTCTCACCGCATATATCCGATTCGGGCTTGGGTTTGGGTTTCGGAACCCGACTGATCCAACATATTACCTACAATAGTCGTAGATATGCGTTAAACAGATAATCGAGCGTAGGGAAAATGGAAAAAGGCAGCAGGTACGAGGGAGAGTGTCTACAAAGTCCCAAAAATAATTAAAGGTTCCCATTGCGTGTTTCGCTCTCCTCTTTGAAGCACTTAGTGCTCGAATTTCAGAGTTCGGCTGAATAGAAAGGAAGTTGTAAATTCTTTTCGTATTAGTCTGCAATTATTTGTGTGGCTCGGCAATTTTTGAGGCACTCTCTCAACACGTGAGCGATTGTCACTTGATGTTTTGTTGTTGTTTTGCTCTCATATTTTTGAACAAATTCAATGGAAAGTTACCCAAAACAAAAGGTGGGGGAGGAGTCACAGATACCGAGATTTTTTTGGGAGTTTTTTGTGTGTTTGAAATTTTCCATTCATCGGGTTCATTCGAGTCATTTCTTTGACTTTCAAACGAGTTCTAGTCGGGGGGTTACCATGGAGGATGGGGCAGACCAAGTGTTAACTTCTCCAAACCAGATTCGACTGGATCGCTCTGCTTCCGTTGCACACCAAATCACTGTATAATGCGTGATGATCAGGTCTTGCATTATGATCATATACGTATGTACGTACATATAGAAAAGGCAGTCAGGTACGCGTACTCGGGTTTTGTCTTATTTTCTTTTGTCTCCATTTCGATTCTTTGCTTCAATTGGTACGTCATTTCATTTGTAAACCGGCCAGTTTTAATGTTAAAATAAGTAACCCTTTTGGCATCAATATATAAAATATATATAATTATTTATATAAAATTTGTACTGATTTCCGGCTCAATATATACAATTGTATATGTTCAATTTCAGGGTGATTGTTTATTGTATGTACGAGTATAGCGACTGCATCACCATTCCCTGCTCTATTTAACATTATTCCATGAACTTCACAGCTTTTTCCAATCCATCCTAGCCCTATTTTAAGATTGCACATTAATGCAAAGCAACTTGCCATCGAAACCGCATAAACAATTAATTGTTTACCTATGAAATATTTGTCGCAGTATTCTAAACATTTTTAAGATGAACTTGACACGCTGGGAATGGGGTTGGACCCTTCTCGCTAGATGAAGCCGCGGCGCAAACAAAAGCCGATACCAAAAAATGTCATGGATAAACAAATACATATACTCGTATATTATTCAAATGCTGCCTTTGGTGACAGCTTGGGGTCGAATCGGTTTCCAAGGGAAATGCGAGAATTGAGGCTACACATAAAATGTGCCTTAATATTTTTTGTAGAGATCCGTTTGTAAATGCATCTGATTTGGAATCGGTTGTCACATAACGATTGGGAAAACTAGAAAAAATGCATATTTAATATTAGTTTTGGGTGGAAACTTTCTATGGACCTCGGGTCGGGCGTTATTTATAGACTTTATAGTTCAGCTGAAGTTGATTGGGTTTGTTCGTGTTATTTTCATAAATTATGGCGATAAAATTGCTAATTTATGGCATTTTTTGAGGCATTGCACTTGGAATTCAAGATGAACATCAAATCTCAAATAGACTTTGCCAAAAAGCTTCCTAGACGGCCACTGAAGCGGTGACAAATGGAAATATTTAAATTAATTGAAACGGGCTTCATGTGACTAAAGGCCATAAATATGATTGTCTTTAGAGTCTGGCCAAGCTCACAGGCAAAACGGTAAGCGTATCGGTCTTGCTACCCTCTCTGCTAAATTGTGAGGTATCTAAGGATGGAATGGAACTAGGAGATGTAGAAACAGAGATCTGTCAATAAATATAAATTTCCCCTAAGCCATTCAATCCAATGCGTCATGCGTATAAATATAGCTATTTTATTTATGTTTCTTAGTTCATTCAATCCCTTACAGACTTTATTAATAATGATTAAATACGTTTCACTGAATCAACCCCTCACCAAAAATTGTGCTGAGTATCCCACAAGTCCACTCACCCACCCTTCCCACTATCTTACACGTTTTGAATAAATGTTTGGGGACTTTTTATGTTGTTGTGCATTTCGTTTCCTAAACGCAGTCCAATGACTTGAATACGATACGAGTATAATCAGTCAGCTGGCCGTAGTTTATTGGCCAAAACACATTTATTTACTTAGAAAGAGATGTCAAGACGCCGGCAACAGGTTTCCATTCATTCAGATCCCAGTGCCCACAGATCTTGAGGCGCAGAGGCAAAGGCAAAAGGTAGAGGTATGTATATCCCGCCGGTTGCTGAAATTTCAGCTGATTTTGGATGTTGTCAAACAAGCTGGTGCCCGAGATAATGCCGTGAATGCTCAAGTTATTTGAATAAACGAGTATGATCGTGTACTCTAAATGCCTTTTTCCTTTGTTTTGGTTTATTTTTAACTATTATTTCGAGACACAGAGAGACAAACAGCTGGCGGGGGTGTGTTGGGCGTTTTATTCAATTTGTGTTAATTGCAGTTTAGTTGAAGCTTCCCCCTAACGTAATAATTGTACCCGTACTCGAATTTAATTAAAGTTTCACACGAATTTGCATATACTTTTTTTTTAGAGTGCCCCAGACACGTGTGCAACAGATATTCACATATCACAGATTTAATGAGAAGGGAAGCTGTAGATCGATCGTTATCATGGCAAATATATTAAATATTCATCAGAGCTATATATGTATCACACGAATATTGTTTGGATATAAAATATTAGATACGGCTTTGCCCTTTGTGTTTGCCATAAAAATTCCTGAAACAATTCACAAACTTAAAATTGGCATTCTTGTTTTTTACAGAAAACCTCAATAACATTATAATCAAGTTAATAAACCGAACGATGACTAACAGGAAGTTATCCACTTAATCGCAAAGTAAATTTTTGTCGGTTTTTGTTGACTTTTTTCCCCACATTTTTCGAGCGTTTGGTGTACGACTAAAATTACAGGGCCAATTGCAAAATATATTTCACATGACTTGAAAATTGCCACAAAGGGCGTAACCTAGTCGCAGCGACTGGGCGTGGTCGAACGGCGTGCAATTTGTACAGAGTCAAGCAAGCCGCGAACTGTTGCCCATTTCAATGCGATTGTCTTTCGATCTTTGAGCCATTTCTAGACTACGATGCATGGCCTAAAGCTGTATTTGGTAACGCACCATTGGAGCCGGGGAAACAGGGTATTTGGAAGGTGGGGGCTTATCATGCGAAAATTACGTATACGCTAGGGCATTCGGCAGTACAGCGATAGACACGTGCCAGCTGTGCTCTGGGCTCCGCATTCAGGTGCATTTTAGTTTGTTTTTATGGCAGATAAAACCGTAACTTACTTGCTTTTATGAGCTATTTAGGAATGTATTATTCACATACACTGCAATTGTAAAAGAATACTTTGTCTATGAAGCGATGTAAAAGTAGCGTTCTAAATATATAAAATTTGCTATCCTAAGGTAGTTAGTAATCCCAAAGTTTTTCCTCGCTTCAAATACCATATTTCATTTTTATTTTCAATTTCCGAAAGTGCTCTCATTTTAATGGTCGTTAAGTTAATTGCGGAACGTGACTGTAAAAGTTTTGGTAATAATTTGAAAGCCTGAATAGGTTGGATACCAATTTTTTAAAATGAGACTTATGCAGATGCCCGCATCTGTGTTGATAATTCTTTTCCTGAAAATTGTGCTAAAAACCAAGTCTACACTGCCCCCAAAATAATGTTGCCGTTTTTGGCAAGTACTACATGAATGGCTCAATTGTTAATGTTCAAAGCATGCCAATTGGCTCCCGCTAAATATGGATCTTGTATACCCAGAACTCTGTTTGAAATTCGTGGAACCCCACACAAAAACAATCGGTCATAAATGGCTGCTTATGTGGGGTATTAATCGCAGGGCAAGCAAATTTTTAACAAATCTTTCAAGTCTTATAAAAGAGGTTTCATAATCTGTATCCAACTCCGTCTGACAGGCAGGATGGATATTTGCTGCCGGCTTCTGTTTGATTTAATTTGAATATTTATGAGCTTATTGTTTTGACTCGGCAGGTTTTGGGTTTGTGATAAATTTGCGGTTTTTATGCAAAACGCGTTTCACTCGTCGCCGATTACGCAGCAAAGAAAATCACAACTTGAATCAGTGCGGATTCTTATCTATTCCATAAAGATCAAACATTAAAATAACTTAAGACGATGTCATTGAGGTTTTTATATCTTTTGTTGAATGCAGTCGACGCGTCGCCATTGTCTGAGACTAAAGAAACTACCTAGAACCAGTTCATACAGCATCTATACTCGTACTCAAGTCAACGTTGCGATTCAGAATATTTAAGAGGGTTCCACGCTCATTGTAAAGATGCGACTCTGCTTAGTCGCTGGATTTGGCATGGTCTGTAAACAAACTGCGACTATATCTTTGCCTTAATCGTTAGTTAATCGACCAATTTAGGAAATCATCGTTTTGAACACGTTCTCGGGTTTCCGTCACGTAATCTAATTAATTTCCCCTGCCGTGTGCAAATAGTCAACACGTAATGTGCTCTTTTAAGTACCATAATATAATATTGAGTAGGAGCACTAAAAATGCACAAGTTCTTGACTTGAGTTTCAAATATTATTCTTTGGTTTTGGTATAGGCAAATTTCCAGACAAATGAATCAATGATTCATTTAATTGACACCTCATTGAGGGGATTATAAAATTAGCACATCTAATGCCATCTCTCGTTGCGAATTAGCATGTGGCTTCTGCTTTGACGGAGTCATAAACAAATTGGTAATCGAGTTACGCTAAAAGTTAATCGACCGTTCAAATTGCGTCAATTGGGATTGGGTGGGTGAAAAAAAGTCGCTAAAAACAGAAGATTGCCAAAATATATTTAAAACTTTCGAAATGCGAATTTCCCTGACAGTCGCTGTCTCTGTCTTCTTTCTGAGGGTGTCACTGTCTTTTATCTGAGGCTGTGCGATTTGTAGAGTCTGATGTCAGGTCTGAAAAATGTCATGGGCTTACCCCTTGGGCGCGGTGATGAGGGCGTTGATACCCCAATTACAATTGGAATGCCAGCTGTGGTTTTTTGTTGTTCTCTGTATTTAGTTGAGGCCCGAAAGTTTTATTGTTTCGCCTCGATCAAATGCCACCGGAAACGCGATTTCATTGACTTTGGCCCGCGTCAAACTTTAGTTTTCTAGCGCATTCTAATATTATTTTATTGAATATTTATGTGCACACTATTTCGAATAGTATTTTTGGCGACCGCCTAATTCTTATGCAAATAATGCACTAAAATATCACACACACAAACTCGCAATCGTTGCAGGTCGATCTGATCTTCGTTCTGTCTCCGCTTCCTTTTCTGTGCGGTCTCTTTCGCGCAATCGCTTTGGCTCAGCCAGCTGAATCGGTAAAGTACACAAGCCTAACTGTTGTTTGGAGCCCAATCGGTTCGGCCGCCACCTGTTGGCAAAGGTATATTAAATGGAAGGTATGTCGGTTGCGCTTCAACCTCTCTTCGGCTTGCAGTCGATTTCATGCATTGCGATTAAATAGAGACTACCTCACCTAATATGGAACATAACTGCCTTTCGGCAATGGAGCGTATAATGTAATTTCAAGCTTAGCTTTGGGAAGCTTTTGCTCTCTCTCTCTGTTCTTTCTCTTTTTGTTTGAGGTGAGAAATTTGAAAGTAAACAGCGAAAGGCGTTGGCATTACAAACGCTATTTACATGCTAATAACATCTTGTAATATATACACTAATCTAGTTTAATCAATGTCGATTAGGTATCGATTAAGGTTAGATAACGTTTCATTTTAGAGCGCTACGAATGCAGTTCAATGGAATACATTTCACTGGGCATCCCTGAATACCAAATAGTTTGGGAAAGGTATGCAAGCTTTAGAGGCTTACCGCTTTGAAGAAAGTTTCTAGAATCGATAAGGAAAATAACTCAATGATCTCACCAATGGCAGAATTTAAATACAGCAGAATACAGCGATTAATACCATGTTTATCTAATGTCTCATCATATATGTATGTAATTAGGGTATGGAAAATATGGCTACCTTCACTGGTTTGTTTATGATATCGAACGATCAGTGTTCAAAATATATATTTTACGCTCTCCCGAATTTCCAGTGGAGTTCATGTAATAAAGAAGTTAAGTCAAAATATTTGCTGTTTGAGCTTGGCTCGAAAAAAAAAGCCACAGATCTGATTAATAAATTTTGAATTTTCAGATCAGTTCAATAATCGACATTCATGCGCTACTCTACGTTTGAAGGTCTAAATCACCGAATTACAAATGTTTTGCCTTTTGCCATAAAGGATCAATATTATTTTATTAAGTGTCGCCTGATACTGATACTGATTGCCTGTTCAGCTGGAACGCTCTAAACACTCTATTGCCGCTTACCATCTATTATTTAAAATGAGTTTTTAATCGTTTGCATTATGTACGGGTTATATAAAATTTTATTCGCATTCAGTCTTCGAGGCTTCGTTTAATGTACGTGATGGGCTCTACTCTGAATTTTGCAGTCTGCATCCTGGTCTTCATATATTTTGCCGCAGGGGTAAATAGATAGATTCATCCTTCTATAGATCTACGCACTATCGAATCAAGTAATCTATCCAAGATCCCCTCTCGAACGGAGTTTACGAACATCGTTTGCACGTCCTTGGACAAGAAATTCTGCAACTTTGAATATTGTCATCTAAAATCGGTTAACAGGAGCTATAAATACTTTTCGGTGAAGATGCGGCTCTTGAAAATTCCCGTAACCAAAGTAAAAGTGGGTATGCAATATTAGTCTCTGAATAGCAATTTAACTTCTGTGTGAATATTTTTACATTAAGATAAACCTTGGATTGTATCAACGCTTCAGTGGTTATAGGCCATTCCTCTATGATGTCACAATAGACGCCTGCAGATTTCTGAAAAATGAGACATACAATCCTGTCGCCAATTACTTTTACGAATTAATCAGAGACCACTCCAACATGAATCACACATGTCCCTTCGATGTAAGTTCAATCACAAGTTCCATTTGTAATAGATTATATAGTTATATCTTTCATTTACAATATAGCACGATCTTATAGTGGAAAAGGTTACCACTGAGTTTATGAATCATCGACCTAAGAATGTTCTACCCTTTGCCAAAGGAGATTATCTTATGGAGGTGAACTGGATTGGCTACGATATAAATCGGGCTCTTACAAAATTATATTTTACTCTTTCATAATGGAACGGGACTGACAATTCAACTGTAACAACTGGAAAAATAGAAGCAATGCGTTTTTAATCGTTTTTATTATTAAATAATATCATATATAACTGCTACGGACAAAACGTTTTCAATGGGGAAAAAGTTCATAACTGGCGAGGCATCTTTGAGCTGAAATCAAAGCTGCCAGTGCCTCAAATATTATTTTATTGATATACGTATGGATAGATCTTCTTTTTTCATTGGTAATTGTTTCGTTGATTGTGGGCTGGGGCTGTGAGCTCGTAAAGCTATTCCATACAAAAATTAAAATGTTTCACATTTGTAATTGCGATGTTAAGCGAGATCTGAATGCCATCCACATCCACGGTGCAGTGAGAGGAATGTTGCTTATTAAATATGCTTTTCTTTTCTTTTTTTTCTATATAATTGTTGGACACACATACATATAAAATTACAATAAAATTGTGCAGACATTTTGTAATGTTTTTTTTTACTAATTAATGGAATACAGACTAGAGGTTGGTTAGGGGGATCTATAGAAAACCTTTATCAGATAATATATGTATATTGTTCTTTATATCGTATTGTATAACGCGACTTTGGGTGAGAAGCGAATAAAATTGACGGTGGTATATATGAAACTTATACAATAGAACGACCTTTAGGCTAATGGCGATTGTAACTAATTTTTTCCTTCTTCTTCTGTTCATTTGGTGAGGGCGATGGGGGATATGATCTTCATCTTTTTATTGGTTTCACTGAGGCACATTTGATGGATCACTAAAGGGAGTTAAACGCCAAGCTTCGATTCGATTCGTCGTATGACCCGTCATTCCGGCTTCTAGAAATGCTTTCGCATGTGCGCAGACACCACAAAGGGCGCCAGCAGCGAGCAGATCGACATCAACATATTGACCAGACCCTGAAGATTGGCTGTAATTGGAAAGGGGTTAATTGGGATTATTACTCACTATGATTATACATATCCCTACACTGATACTCACCTCCACTGCAGATGTCATGGAGTATGTCCTCCACGTAACCGTTGTCATTGTCGCAGAGACACAATTTGGTCTTGCTGGACATAAACTTGGAGACGCCGATGGTGCGGTTGCTGTTCTCATACTGGCAGACCATTCCGTCCTCACAGTCGTTGTTGCTGTTGCACTTGTGACGTAGTCCTGAAATTATTTGAATGGGTAGAAATCAAGCCAAAGATCTGAGAATCTCTACAAACAAATGGCCAGACAGATGTGATTTGTCATTCCTGCATTCGATTTAGCTGAGCAACTGCTTGTCCCCTCTAAGCACCCTCTTTTAGCTCTGCGGGAATTCATTTCGAACTCCAAGCCCTCGCTACATTGTAGGCATGCAAATGTTGTACGAGACGAGTACGAGTATATACAAGTATAATGCATATCATCACAATTTGCTCTGTATTTTCAGTGCATGTCACAAATTGGCACTGCGGCGATTTCCATTACCATTTGGATGTTCCCTCGGTTCCAGTCACGACATCCTAACATAAATCCCTTCTTCGACATGGCGCTGCCATAAAGGAAAAGCCTCCGTCCACCACCCAAGTAGGTCCTGAATGCAGTTAAGAGGGTACGAAAGCCAGGGGGGGAACAATGGGGCAGACCCTAGGATCCAAGTATCCAAGGAGCCCAAAAGCGGAGGAGCACAAGTGTGAATTGCGCACAAAAACTAAATAAATAAAAAAGCAAACACTGGCCCAAGGAGAGTCGGAGAGTGTCGGAGGTGGCATCTGGTAGTATCCATCTGGATGGATGCTTTGTTTAATTCTCATTTAGGTGGCGACTTGGAAATCACCCATCGCCCCACCGCCTGACTGCCTGACTGCTGACTGCCTGACAACCTGCCACTTGAGGCACATCAAGAAAGAGACACAGCAGCAGGTGAGGACAGAAAGCAGCAGCCTCTTAAATAATAAATGTAATGTGCATGTCTTAGCAATTAGTTGACGTTTTGTTGGCTGTTCTATTTCCAGCCATTTCTAGCCAAGGAAATCTATTCCAAAGCAACCCGAAAATGCACAGAAAACTGAATAATAGGTAACAATCTTTGATCAAATCTAAGAAATAATTATGTGAAAAATGAATTCCTATTCTGGAGTCCCCAAGTTGAACAGAATTCAATCTTATAATCTTATTTGAATTTTGTACCACTGCAGATATACATTTTTATTATTACTTGAGAAATAAGCTTGATTTAAGAACCTTTTCGTATGTTTTTTTATAACATTTTCCGTATAATATCTTACCTTTGAGTACATCCGGACAGTTTCCAGCCGAGGGAGCCGAATCATCGCCGCAGAGGCAACGCATTTTGTAGTCGTTGGGGTCCTTAACACAGCTGGTGCGATCTATCGCTGTACAGTCATCATGGGCACTGCATTCGCGTCCTTTGACTGTTCAAATCAAATGAAATTAAATGTAATTAAGCGATAGTCAAACGTTGAAAGTTTGTTCAACTAATTCCACACTAATTGTGTGATTATTGCCCCACAAATTATCGGCTACTTATCCCATCTATTCCATCTTGTTTACCAACTCCAGCACCAGCCCATTACTAATCCAACCCAACCCAACTCCAACCTGCCACACTTTGTATGTATATTGTTGTACCTACTGGTTCATGCCCCCGACTAATGTCCGTGATTTGGCTGGAAGCGTGGGTTGTCATTGCATTTGAGTGACTTGTTTGATCAATTCCTGATTTATGTGTGCTGCTGGTTCTATTCAATGGGCATGTCATTCAATTGCTGGCGCTCCGCCATAATTATTATTCCATTTATTTATGGGGGGGAATCCAAAGACAATCGAATGACAATTGATTCGCTTTGGCATATGGAAATTATGAATCTCAAATTCTTGATTAACGATTGGTTTTATTATACGGGAGTGTTTATGTTCGTTTATTTCTTTGAATAGTTAAGAAAGTAGCAAAAGAACAGTGACCAATTAATGTACAAGTCTAAAAGTTTTACTACTGAATAGAATAGGTGGAATCCCCCCTTTAACAATATAATTTTTTTCCGCAACGTTCTTTAACATTCAAAGAAAAATATAGTCTTTGTATATGGTTTAATCCCTAGTGCTATAGTGTCTAGGTTTAAATTCCAATAGATCTCAGCCTGAAAAGGGTCTAAACACAAAGAGAGTTTCAACCTTGCCTATACCCAATTGTAGCCCTTTAAATCACCGATTTCCCCAGCACAAATCTGGCGGAAACCTTCCCCCAAAATACCAGCTTGACCTTCCCACAAAATTCAATTCAAATTCAAGTGCCCAAAAGCCCCATCCAGCCCCCTTTCACTTACCAATGGGCATATGCGTGGGCGGCGGCCCATTATTGGTCTTTCCAAAGGTGGTCAATGCCGTGGAGCTGACCCCGAAAAGGATGATGAAGACGCCGAAGAGCATGGTCAGGCTGCCGCATTGTGTGAATCGCTTCAGGGGCTGCATTTCGGATGGTGGCGCGAGGGTAGCTGAGGGGGGCAAACGACAAAGCCAAAATCGAAATCGAAATCAAAACTGACGTCGAAGTTTAGTTTTTTGGAAAGGAGTTCGCGGGTGTTATGTAAAATCGCGGCACACAAACGGTTCGGTTAGTCCCTCTCCCAGGGAATTTCTCACGCACTTTGAAAACTGAAAAACTGCCCAGGGGCTTCAAGTCGGCTTGCTTAAGGTTTTCCTTAGGCTCTTTAGTTGTTTTTGCGAGGCAATTTTATGCAAATTTTCACACCAAAATTGTTTCCGGTAGAGAGAGAGTCCGAAACAAAACTAAACCGCACGGAAGGCGTTGACGCTCAAACGGGCCACTAAAAATCCTTTAAAATTTGTACAACTTGTATGGCTATTTCGTTTCTGTTTCCCTTAGATGTTCTTCTCACGATGAGGGTCTTGATAGCTCGAACCAGTCGGCTGCGCGTTCGAAATGCAAGTGAAGAATTCGCGGCGCACACGGGTCTTAAGTTGGGTTCGACGTCGCTGCCGACTCGCCGGGCTACTTGGCGCTCGCGCACGCTTCTCGAAGGCGCACCAGCACCCAGCACCCTGCACCCTTCAATCCCTCCCAAAACCCATCCACCTGCTCTGACTTTCCCCTTGCTGTTGCTCAGCAAAACAGAGAGCCCCTTACCTAGGCCCCCAAATAACGATTGTTGAATACCCTTTTAGTAAGCGAATTAAGAAGGAGTTTTACTTCCAATATGATCTTTGAGGATATTTAAGGAAATAAGAAGAATTGTATTGGTACAATTTTCATGATGAATATAAACCCAAAATCTTTAAAACCTTCGGGATAATATTATTTAAATATTTTATTTAGTTTGGCTCGCATCTCTCTGGAAACAGAAAATAATGTTGTCTGCTCCACAGAATCTTCACAGTAAATAAATATTCGAACTTGAAATTGATTGCATTTTTCCGATTAAAATGAATATATGTATGTATGTATATGTAAGTAACTGATTATATGGAAGAACCTGATGCTAATCAAAATTCTGAGAAGAACAAAACGAAGCTGATAAGAATGTTTTGCACTCGTTTAAAGCCCCGTTAGAAGAGCAGATTTCTTGCTTAAAATTTAATTTATTTAATCAAGCATCCCAACTGTTGGCACATCATATCCGTAACCCCGTGTTCGTTCCTCAAAATAGTTGCGTTGCGCTGGCTTGCAGGCATCCATAAAATGTGATTCCATGCGGACAGACACAAAAAACACATGCATGCATAATTAAAAGATCCCCAGAGCAGGTGAAGGGTATTCCATCCACTACATTAATGTTAGGGGTGTGTGTGTGTGTGGGGGGGGCCTAAGGGTGGAGCAAGGGTTAGTTCGGGCGTAAAATCTTTAGGCAGATTCTGAACTTGCCAGCTCCATATAATTTGTATATTATACGGGTACGTATGGTCTGCATGGCTCTCCATGGGTGTGACGAGGGGGCAGGCGGCATGCTAGTAAGTCGAATCCAACGCACTTGTAACTTGCTTCGTTGTTTCGTGAGCGAGTTTTTGTTAACGAAGATGGATTTTTATACGCGGTACGAGTGGGACACCAAGGGTATATTGTCAGCATGGCTGCATACTCGTTTCTGAATTCAGGTCGTTCCGGATCGATCTACTTCTGTGCACCCGTTCTACCTACATATGTACATAATATAAGGCTGTTATAAAACTCTACATTTATCTATTACAAGCATATAATGATTTACTAAAAATCATACAGATTTGTTCATTATTGATTTACAGTCAGAATTACCTACAGAAAAGCGCATTTCTCTTTGGATTTTTCTATACCTAAAATTGACTTGTTAAATCCCAATCCTACTACCAATCAAGAGGTAGCTCCCAGTTCGAATCTCGCCTAAAACATTCCCACTAGTACGAGTATTGCTGTCGTTTTGTGTTTAGTTTTACCTTCGTGCAATTTTTTATTGTTGTTGGCACGACCTCGTCTCGTCCTCGTCTTGGGCCCACGAATGTGTGTGTGTGTGTGTATGGGTTTTGCATGCGTGTGTGTATTATAATAATGACGAAGACATTAGAGCCATTGCATAGCCTACTTTTTGGGGTCCGCAGAGTTTTGAACCGCCCCGCCTTTTCCGCCTCATCCCCTGTCACTCTTGGTGTGTGACTCCAACAGCAACACTAAAGCAACAATAAAGTATAACATTAGCACGCACCAAAAGCAACAAAAAACAACAGAAACGACTAGTTAAAGCCAAATACTTATTTTGGCCATTATTCTGCTACTCTCGCTCGCCGCTCGCTCGTTCTGTGAGAGTTTCTACACCCTGGAAAGGAACCTTTGGACTTGACAAGATTTTTTCACACACAGAGAAAGAGTAGCCAACTTTTGGCTACCCTCTGTAAATAAATAAAAACCGTTCAAGCTGCTGGAAAACATCTGTATAAACGAAACAATATTTATTTTTTTTTAACTCTTTTAGCCTAAACAAACTGAGTGCTCTCTATGATGGACACCACATTCTCGGCCATGTCGCAGAGATGGGTATAGGTCTGCATGTAGAGGGCGTCGCGGTAGTACTTCTTGGAGCGCATTTTGAGTAAAACATAGAGCTGGGGATTGTCGCGGCGGTGTTGCCGCAGCAAGGGGCTGGTCTCCTCTTCCGAGGTGGCCTGATTTGAGGAGTTCTCCTCTTGGCCTTCGTCGAGGGATTCAGCATAGAAACAGGCCAGCTCCGACTTGAGAGAGTTCTGCTCCAGGGATGTGACTAGCTCCTCCCACTCATCCAGGCCATTGCCAATGCTGCCCCGCACGTAAATGAATCGGGATCGATCCTTCTCAGTGCTGTGGCCGAAGCATAGGGGCAGGGTCTGATCGAAGTCCCCGGACCCGGCTGCTGCGCATTTAAGGGAGCACTGGACATCAACGAGCTTCTTGAAGTTCTCCTCCCTCTGCTCTGCTTCGGGCAGGCGCAGGATTACCTTCTTGATCGTTTCCAAGCGCAGATCCCAGGCCGGCTCGCGGGGCTTCTTCAAGGCTTGGTACAGGGTCTTCAGGGTCTCCAGATCATCGAAGCGATCGCAGTGGTAGCCCAAGTTCTGCGAGTTGAAGATCTCACGCTCGTCGAAAATGCGCTCATAGGGGCAGAGCAGTTCGTGGGGCTGGATGAGCGGCACCAGAGTGGCCTTGAGCTCTGTTACCTTTTGGGCCATCTGTGTCTTTGACTTGTCCAACACACGGTCCAGCTGCTTCTGCACCTTCTGCGTATACTCCGGGGCAGGCAGGCACTTGCCGTGCAGCTTCAGAAGGATTGTGTCCCGGTAATTGCAGAAGACATTGGGGAAGACCCGCAGCTCCCAGCGCTGCTTCTGCACCAGGCAACGACGTGGCCGGAACAGCACATTCGTTAGGTGAACCTCCCCGGGGAAGAGCGCAAAGTTAGTGCGCTCCAGAAAGAAAGTGTCAAAGTTGGGACCCATGAACTGCGGATTGCGTTTGTAGAACTCCGAATTGGACCACTGGCAGGTTATCACCTGCCGCCCCACGTTCTCCAGGCGAAGGACCTGCTTCACCACGTTCTCGTATGGATGGCACTCGAAATAAATGTCCCAGGTGACAATGTCACGGCTACGACGTTCTGGCTGAATGAAGATCTCATCGTTGATGCGGATAGCTACCGCCGGGATAATGGGCTCTGGCGCAGATTTTTTAATCTGCTCATCCGCCTCCGCCTGCTCCTCCTCCTGCTCCTCGGCCGTCGACTCCTGGGTACTGCTGCTGATGTTGTATAGAGATTCAGTGGACAAGCATTCAATGTCCTTGCCAGCACCCTGTTCCTGGCGATTCAGTACCTCCTGCATGTTGGTGCCCAGCACCTCGAGATCATCCACATTCGGATAGTACTGGAGCACCCGCTTAATGTCGCCGCATCTCTTCTCGATCTTCTCGTCGAGCAGCTTGGAACCAAGCCACTTACTCCTCTCCTTCTGGTGGGAGGACTTCACATTGCATGTCGGTCCCAATATCTCCAGCTTGGTGGCATTGGTTAGCCCAATAATCTCCACATTGGCTGCTCCTTGTCTCTCGGCCAGCGGTAGAGTCTCCACCAGCTTGCTCACCTCCTGGCAACGCTTCGTGTCAAAGTAGGCAGGCAGTTCCACGGGCCTCTTTAAGGCCAGCGATGTGGGATTCATGCGCGTGGCATAGTCCATCAGACGCTGCACAGTGGCCTTGTCCCGCTGCTCCACTGTGGTGGGCAGATTGATCAGCATTTCGTTGGGATTACGACCGATCTTGCGCTGGATCCTCATCTGAGTCTGTGTGCGGTCCTGAAGCGTGTCGTACCAGTGCTTCAGACGCTTGTCCATCTCCACGGACGCTTGGAGATCGCTCTCCAGGGAGCCCTGCGAGCTGGACAGGTTGGCCAGGCCCTGCTTGCTGTCGAATATTTTGTTGACTATATCCTCCACGATCTTTTTGCCATCCTGCTGACTGACCTCCTTCAGGGAATTGGTCTTCACAAACAGCTCGATGGTCGAAGTGGAGCTCAGCTCAACGTCATTCTCAGTGGAGTCGCTCTTCGGCGGCTCGATGGAGGTCAGAAATGAGGCGAGAAAAGATCTCTGTCGCGACATTTTCTAGAAATATTTTAAATATATTAAATGTACTTTAGTTTTTTATTGTATTTTTGTTTAATTTTGTCGTACGAATTTGAAAGCAATGCTAGGGTATTACAAGCTTCGACATCATACGATTGCTTTTCCTTGGGCATTTGCTTATGATTATTTTGTGGTGGTGGTGCATGCACCTAATAACATTTCAGTTTGCAACAAAATTAAGCCTCCGTTGAGGGGCGCTTGTTGCTTTCTGCAAACTGCAACAAAAAGGTTACAGGCCACGCCCTCTAGCCCCCAAAATAAAGCCAATTTCACAAATCACCATTTAGGTGGATATCGAACAGCGAAGCGGCGAAACGGATGTGCACCTATTTTGGGGCAGGGCAGGGAGGGGCAGACAGTGTCTCTCGAGGAGGTTCTTTTCTTTTGGACAAGTCAATAATTTACAGCAAAGTGAAAACACTTTGGAGAGAGCTCTGGCGGCTAGTCCCGGCCCCTGGACATGAAATATTTCCCAATTTTTGCTACACAAATTCTGTTGAGTCTATTTTTGGAATGCCCCCCAAATCAGATTGTTGTGGAAAATGTCAACATTTTCGTTTGAATTCTCGTCGGTTCGGGTTGGTTTCTGTTCTGGTCTGGTCTGGTCTGGTCTGCTCTGTTGTTATGTTGTGCTCACTTATCTGACCCCACAATCTCCTTATAAACGATTGTTTTAATCGCAGCGACAGCAAAAACAATTTGCCCTTAACTAAACGCGCAACATCGCGGCGAATTCATTTTTGTGGCACGCACAGCGCACTGACCCGAGGGCCTGAGGCGGCCCCCATGGAATGGAAACCAGAAAATATTCACAAAAATCGAGGGGATATACGAGTAATTAGGATACATTTCTCACTAAGTGAAAGCACTGTGTAATGAATTGTATAAAAGAGGGCTAAAAGTGTTTTCAAAGTATCTTTAGAGAACCACAAAAACTAGATATTTCCCTCTTTATTTCCATCTTAGAAGAAAAAGCAATTTTCTATGCTTCGATATTTTCTGATTTGATTAATTATTTCTTTTGATTTCTTATTTTAATGTAGAAACTTTTTAAGTCCCCTTAAAAGTATATTTTCTGAATTGTTGTTCTGTTTTCGTTCGTTTTATCTGTCTCCCGTTCTCTGACTATCGTTGAACGTTAGGTATTTATTCGATTTTTTATTTATACTCTCATATATCTTCCGGAATTCCTTGCTTTTTCCCCACTGCACTCAAGCTGACGCAGACCAAATCTGAAATATACTTACCTTTTTGCATATCGTACTTATTGTAATAAAGAATATTTATATTTATATGAATAAATAAATTTCGTTTAATTATTATTCAAAAGAGGGCAGCAGTCCACGCCATTGGACTGGGACTCCTCATGCGGCAAAAGTCCAAGATTTATTTCAGATATTTTTATTCTTGACATTATTGATAAATGTTTTTTCTGGCACTGGCAGCAGCAAAAAACAAAAGAAAACTTGGGAAATTATATAGAAAACTCACGAAATCAGAGACTGCAACGGCAATCGGAGGAACCTAGTTCTCCGGAACCTACTCATACTCCTCGATCCGCTCACCACCCTGGCTTGTAATTAAAGAGCTAATTCCCTTTCAACAATCCGAGCGTCATGTTTTGGTCTTAACTGATGATTAATTAGTTGGGGCCAACGCCGATTGCGGTGGGGTTTCTGTACCTTCCTACGTCTAGGACCGACCCCGGCGATATATAATTTTCTCACGAAATCTCATCGGGGGCTTACTCATGCCTAGAGGTCATCACAATTTTGCTGATTATACGACTAACCACTGAACGGAACCTGGGGCCAGACCGCGTCCAGCTCTCGAATAAATGCCAATTTAAGTCCTTTAATTTCATATTAGGCACCGGGCTCTAATTGCACACTCCACCGAATGGCAGAATGGTTGTACGGGGGGGAGGCCTTTTCCCTACATGCAAGTTTGTTGCCGTGCGTTCCTGGACATGCACAGCCCTTCCCCCCCACCCAGTGGAGGCTACCGAATGTTGCATGCAAGATGGTCAAAAGTACTTGCAATGTCGATAGCCGCCGCAACTTGTTGTAGCCTTGTCTGTGGCCTGACCAAATAACCTTTCCATGACTTTCCCAATTTATCATTAGCCACTCGAGCGAGTGGCACTGCAGGCAAATGCACATGGCAAGTGCTCGTATAACGTATGTATAACGATTCCTTCAAGTTCATTTGCTAATGTACACCTTGATTTTGCATTGGCGACACTTTTGGGGGACTTTTGTGCCTTTGACTTTGACTGTTGCCTCCGTTACGTATACGCAATGTTGGCGGTCCGCTAAGGGCTGCATGTCATGTTGTCCGCGGCGAAAAACAAGCACCTGAAAACATAAAAACAACTACGAAACTACGAAATGCTTAACCTCACGAACATATTATAATAACTCATGCGTGGTTAGGCTTAGGACGTCATTGGCCGGTTCCGTCCCATTCCAGGGGAGGATTATAATTAGAACGTTGGAGTTTTAGAGAAATTCACGAAGTGCTGGCGGCCATTAGGCAGTAGACATTATGTTGGATTAATAGTGGAAAGTGCTAAGTGATTACAAAAGTAAAATTTCTCAAGGGAATGCTACGAATAATGATCATATAATGTGCAGTATAGAGATGCGAGTTAAGGCTCATAGATATCGGTGATCTGGATAGAAGAATATTATACATATAGTATCAAGTATGCCTAAGAATATACAGGAATAATATTTGGGTTCAACATTTAAATCTAAATCTAAAGCAATAGAAAGTAAGAAATAACCACAGTCTGTCAGTTTTCCATCAGGACTGTCCTTTTCTTCTGACACATTCAATCGAAATTTTTTTTGGTTTTCGCACAGTTTTCTTGCGAAACCATCTCCTTACACCCACTCGACCTCTGTCTATACCCATTAAAGACCATCAAATATGGTTTATGATGCCATAAACAATGCACCCAAACAAGTCACTCATTAGAAGAACATGAAATGCAGTTAAACTTCCTCTAGAAGATACGCTGCAGAGTATAGCCTGGCACTCCACCCCCACACCACCCAAAGACCTATATGACGATAACAATGACCTATCTAAAACCAAAAAGAAGAACGTAAGAGTCATTAGTCGGGGCGTCATCATCATCGGACGTTATTCATTATTCAACTCTCGAGACAGCTGAAGAAGGAAAAGAGGCAAAGGCAACACTTTGGGGCAGGCACGGCGCCTTGGCACCCTGTATACCGCCGACCAATATGCAAATTTACGCACATCAAAGAGTGAAAGTTCCAGAGGAGACCATTAAAATACCGAAAACATGGGAACGTAGAACGACGACCAAAAAAAATCAATGCAGACCACCGAAGCAATGCGGTCAGTGGAGGCGGCGGGATGGATCCTTTTCTTCAGTGGAGTAGGCAGGTGGCGATGAGGAGCCCAGCGGGTGGCGGGCTCGCTTGAGAACACGATTAAACCGCTCTGATTATGGGTTACGGCCCGTTTCGTATGGTACTCGAAAATCGCCAAAAAAAAAACTTCTAAAAAGTTGCTCAAGTCCGTGGTCCGAGACTATTGATGACGGCTCCTCGGCACGCAATCCATGACATCACCAGAGTACGAGCACCAGTAGTCGGTGCTCGTTCGGTCTCCGGTTCGGTGTCGGGTTTGTTTTTCTTCTCCAAATATTGCACCTAGCGAAGTGACCCACAATTAGTGTGAGTGCCCCCTACCGCCACATGCCACCCCACAACACACACACACAGGGGCAGGGGTAGGGCTTACATCAGCCCCGGTCCCGTCCCTCGGCAGTAGATGGCTCAAAGCCTGAAGGTAGGAATACTTACCAGAGGAATTTCTCTCTATGCAACCTGCTAAATTATTCTAATAACTTTCTGTTTCTGTTGTTGCCCCCATCAAGAGCACTGAACTTGTGGGACTCCTCTTATGTCTGGGCTGGGGAGGGCTTGGGTTCAGTGAGTGACATTCTTTAATTGGAATTCAAATTAAAAACTTGCACGATTTAATCGCATTTCGCTCATTCATTGTATTATTAAAATGCAATTATTTTGGTTTCGCATTCTGAGGCGATTATTCCGGACATGCAATTTTCAATTGTTTGAATGAAAATCCCATGACCTTTGCGATTAGTCACTCTGAGCCGCCTCTTTCCCTCAAAGAAGCATGTCCTGAATATTCTTCTGGGCTATGCTAGAAGCACAAAGATGTTCTACATATAAATGTGTTTAAGTTAAAGTATTAATTATTATTATGGTTTTTTTTCGAGCCTCAGTACGAGATTTTTCGTTAAAGTACAACCATTGATGGAAATTCGATATGCTATAATATTTAACATTTCTGTTTCTTTATTCAAAATCAGTTCTTAATCTAAATCTTTCGGGATACCTAGGTATCTAAATTATTTTTTTCTAAACAAATAATTCGGAATAAAAACACATTTCATGGGCAATACGTTTAAAAGCAGAAAGAATCAACTTCATAAAAGTTTTATGCATAGGAGAAACCATCTCAGCTGCATTTGTACAGTACCGAAGTGACATTTAATTGAAACTCCAGAAGTACAGTCTGATAATATCGCTTCGATGGCATCTTACCCATAAATAAACCCCCTTGACAGCCACAAACCACAACAGAACAAGTTTTAAGCCCAGAAAGCAAACATAAACCAAAAGAAAAGTTTTGAAAAGATAACACCTGCAAATAGTGCCACCATAAACTCCTAGTAGTAGTACCCCGTACCCCCATCTAAGCCATAAGCTCCTACAAAATGTTTGTTTGGTTCGCGTTTTATCGCGCGGCACGTGTCCTGAATTTACACGAAATGAGTGGCTTCCGTTCTCATGAATGAAAAATTACTTACCAAAGTATCAAACATCAGGTCCCCAGAGCCTGTTCTGGGGGCTTCATGGATTTTCAATTTTTGCACTTAAGAGCTAGGACCAAGACCCGTAGAGCATGTACAAGCCTAATCTATGACTAATTATCAGAGCAACGGGAACAGGAACGTGAATGTAACCGAAAGTCAATGTACCACACAAAAAGGAGGTTAATTCTATGCAATTTCGGATGGGGGCAGCGTAACTTGGCGCCGTGATTACTTTCCTTTGCCAGCAGACGTATTAATTACAAAGCGGAGCACATTAGGTCAACCACTTTCGCTCTACGCTTTTCTGCATAATGCTAATTGCTGGACATAAATGGATCGATCCCATGCACGTGGAGGAAATAGGGGACATTAGATTTGTATATTGTATGCGTGTATGTAGGGGATAACATTTGACAGGGACTTTAGCTAGGATCGTGGCAGACTGCTCCTCAGTTGGAGAGCTGGGAATTGGACAAGTTCGAATTGGATAGATTGGAGCTGTGCTCCGAGTCGGAAAGAGCTGCAGTCGCCTGCTGTTGGTGTCCCGGTTGCTGTTGCTGCTGTGAGAGGTGTGGATGATGGGGTTGCTGCTGCTGCTGCTTGGCTTGAATGGTGGTGCCCGATTCGTAGTTGATGCGGATCCACTGACCCTCGCTGTTCTCCTTCCAGAGTGTGACGTTGTTGTCTCCGCCAGTGACGGCTAGTATGTTGCCGGTGGTCGACCAGGAGATGCTCCAGACGGCATCATCGAATGTGTGCAGGACACTTGATGTCCACTCAGTTAGGTCTGCATTGCTGCTCCAGATGATCACGTGACGGTCCTGCGAGGCCGTGGCTATCTGCGACCGTGGCAGACCAATCGAGGGCGCCCAGGCCACATCGCGCACCCAGTCGGAGTGGGCCTCTAGACGCTCTTCCTCCACCCAGCGATCGTTGTCCTCCCGCCAGATCTTCACGAGATTGTCGCAACCACCGCTCACCAGACGCTTGACGGCCGAATTGCGCGAGGTGGCGCGCTGATCGAATGCCGGATCTGGGCCCTGGGCCGGGCACCACGAAATGGCATTCACCCCAATGGTATGAGCATTCGGTATCTTCTTGGCATCCCAAGTCCCGTACTCCGTGTTGCAGGTGAGCACCGAAATGGAGCCATCAGAGCTGGCGCAGGCCAGCACAAGACCGTACTCGAAGGGGGCGAAATCCACAGAGTTTACCGAGGAGTCATGGTTGCTGTACTCGTAGCTGAAATGTGGCAAGCGATGGCGGCAGCCATTGGAAGATAACGTCATGCCTATGTGTGATTGCGTGCGTTGCGTTTACTTACAGCTTGGTCCAGTCCCTGGGCGTTGTCGATTTCCATACAATCACCTTGCGGTCGTACGAGCAAGAGGCCAGAATGTTGCCAAACTTGGGATGTGCCCATGCCACCTGCCACACGGGACCCTGGTGGCCTTTAAGTTCTGCCAGAGCCTTGTTGTTTTTGCGCGAATGAAAAATTCGAACGCTGCCGTCGGAGGAACAGGTTGCCAGCAGCAGGCCGTAGAAGTCCAGAGCGGCGTGGTGGACCATGTCCTCGTGCTCGGTGTCGATTTCCTGCAGCAGGCTCACCATTTTATATTCAATTTAGTTCCAATTAACGTAAATAAATGCAAGTCGTCTTTTTTTCCGGTGCTTGACGTGGAATTTGTTGGGTCGTTCAGTGTTGGCAAAAACGAGTGTTGTAAAACCAACCAAAATAGTTTTTTTTTCGTTCCACCTTAACCCATATTATATTTCCTCGATTTTGTTATTCGATTTCGTATTGCTATATAGCCACGATCCTCAGCACTGAACATGTAATTTTATCCTATAAATCAATTAATTTTCTACACGATTGGATAATTTAAAGGACTACTTTTTATTTGATTTCTTATAAAATAAGGCTTGAACAGGGCTACATGGTAACTACACATTTTATACATATGGTAGTATTAAAATAAAATACTGACAATTTCCGTATTTTCGCTAGCTGGCGTCCGAAGAAATTGAGATTTAAAATTAATACGATTTATTCTAAACTGTACAAGTCCTCCTCCTCCTCCTTTAGGTAGGAGTTAAGTCTCAACGCCTGAGTCTCGGCCCACAGTAGTCTCGTCATTTTCTGCTCCACTGTCTCGGCATCCTCTGGCGACAACTTGTTCAATTCAGACTCCCAGTATGCGGATATGGGCCTAGACTGGGCAACGGGCCTATCCTCGGGAACGGGCCTAGCCTGAGGAGTGGGCTTAGCCTTAGGAGAGGGCCTAGCCTGGAGAGCGGGCATAGTCGGTTGCATCGGCCTACCTGGCGAACTAGGACAAGCCTTCGGTTTAACTAGTTTTCCCACAAAAACGGTAGAAACTGGGGCCAAGCTCCTGTGGAAAACGTAACAATGCAACATTAAACATCCGCTTAAAAGAATACAATGTATACAATACATACCGGTTCAGCGTGGATTGATGCAAGAATTCCATGTGTGGAGCAAAACGCCACTTCACACTCTCCTTGTCCTTTTTCGACTTGGAGTCAGCCAAAGGGTCCCAGTCAGCATCTTCACTCTTCGCTTGCCCTTGCGCCTTCTTAGCTAACTTCATATGGTACCGGTAGCTGTCCCTCAACGATTTCCAGGCGTTTTTGCAACTAAATACTGAAAGACATGCATCTAATTACATTTCCCACTTAATTTGTGTTTGACTTACCATCTTTATTCATCTCAGCGGCAACAGAGGCCCAAGCGCTTTGCAGCGCAGTGGCATCAAAATGTTTTTTATGCCTCATATCCCATATCAGTATCCTTTTTTCGACTGTCTTGATTAGTTTTAGTTTATCCCGACAATCAAACTCTTCCAGTCGTTTTGTTCGCGTGAAACCCTCGCATTCCATTTTAATTGTGTTGCATATACTTCGCTAGCGAAAAATAGAATACATACAGCGTGGCCGCGCCGATAACGATAAAAGAAATACATCCTCCCCAAAAATAAATACCATTAAATACCGTTTCAGCTTCGAAGTGTTTTTTTGTGGCTGCATGCTGCTTTATGGAGGCCAGCCTGCTCAAGATAGAGCACTGAAAAACTTTGCAGTATGCGTTGCCGATTAAGCTGCACCTTTCAAGCCAATGTTTAACATTGGGAAGTCTTTCGCAATCTTCTCTGTACATTTGCTTGCTAATTTTTTTCCACGGTGAAAGAAAAAAAGGGACCAAGACGAAAAATACCATAATATACCATGATAAAGTAAAACACTTTTTGCTCAATTTTGGCATCAAAAAATACAATACAATTGTATTGCATTGTTTGTTTATTGTATTTCCTAGTGCTACACACTATTAAACTTAGTGCTAAATGAATCTTTTAATATGACATACTAATCATTGGTTACATATGTTGATTTGTTTTTCTTATGCTAATGTTCGTGTTTTTTTTTATTTTAAATTATTACCAACCCTGTTTTTAGCTAGTGAAATATTTCTCAATCTACTAGTCTAGTGATGGGTGGTGTGGTAGCTTGCTGGCGAAATGTTTGGTTGTGTATACATGTTATTTACTATGCGCGGAATTCAAAGGACTCAACAGGCGCCAAGGAGATATATTCATTAACGTCGCCGGCAGCGATAGAGTTTCAATCGATGGTTTTTTTTTAAATATTTGACGGAATAAACGATAGTTCCAGATAATTTTAACGGCATTATTAATGTGTCAAAGCAGCTTGGAAAACAGGAGCACTATCAAAAAGTATTATATTTCATGGATTAACACAAAAGAGGTGGTAGAGTGGGTTAAGTTGGTAGTTTTCTCGGTATATTTACGGTATATTTCGAAAATGAGAATGTATATTTTGGTATATATCTGATGGTTATATTTGATCGGTAATTCCGCGGTCACACTGTATGTTTTTGTTTTAGTGAGCAACATTAACTTTTTTTGCAGCAAAAGAACTCCTGTGGGCAGTGAGCACAGCAAATAGTTATTCAATGGAAAAGCGGGTACATGCGGCTGCAATATGGCTGTTAATGCTGCTGCACGGAGCTGCTGTCGGTAAGAATTTGTTGGCAGACGTATTGTACGGGTTATACGGGTAGAATGAGACGTGTGAAGGCCAGACTTCTGACGCCGCATGCACTTGTAATTGTAGCCTGCTACACCCACGTCTGGTTGACCTAAAGCATGGCATAAATAAGCCACATTGACCAGTCAACAATGCTGACTCATCTAACCCGTCCTTTATTTTTCGTTTCCCCCCTCCGCAGCTCAAGGCGAACGTACGCGCGATAAGATGTACCAGTCCATTGTAGGCGCGGGCTGCTTTCGACGCTTGAATGGCACCCATCAGACTGGCTGCTCCTGTAAGTATAATCTACGGTCTATAAAGAATGCTTTTCAAGCACTGCATCTGCTTCATTGCAGCCACACACGCGGGTTCAGTGGGCGTGTTGCATCTGATTAAGGTCGAGGCGGACTTGGAGTTTCTGCTCGCCAGTCCGCCGTCGCCGCCCTATGCCCCGATGATACCACCGCATTTGTTCACCAGGCGCAATCTCTTGCGACTGATAGAGGCCGGACCCAGCAACATCTCAGTGGTGCTGCTGATCAACAAACCCGAAAAGATGAAACAGTTCTCGCACGAGCTGAACTGCCCCAATCAGTACAGCAGCCTGAACAACAGCGAGACGTGTGATGCCAGCAATCCAGCCACCAGCTGGAATCCCTGGGGCACGGGCCTGCTGCACGAGGACTTCCCCTTTCCCATCTACTACATAGCCGACACTGAGGAAATCACCAAGCTGGAGGAGTGCTTCGAGAAGTTCAACAACTTCAACTACGAGGCGCATTCCCTGCGCAGTCTGTGCGCCGTCGAGGTCAAGTCCTTTATGTCGGCCGCCGTCAGCTCCGAAGTGTGCATAAGACGCACCCGTTTCATCAACAACTTGAGCGGCAGCAAGTACTGTGATCCGCTCGAGGGTCGTAATGTCTATGCCACTGTATATCCGCGCAATATTTCAGCCGATGAGTCGGATGGAACTGAAACCGTTGTGACCAAGGAAAAGTTCATATTGGTCACCTGTCGCCTGGATACCGCCAGCATGTTCGATGGCGTGGGTAAGTGCTGATTTGAGGAAGGTTTGCATTGCCACTAACACTCAATGTATCGTTTTGGACCTGTAGGTCTAGGTGCCATGGACTCGCTCGTGGGACTGGCCATATTAACGCAGGTGGCAAATCTTCTCCGGCAGCTGCTGCCTCCTCAAAGCTCGCTGCCCGATACCCAGCGCAATGTTCTCTTTGTAACTTTCAATGGCGAATCCTATGACTATATTGGATCCCAGCGCTTCGTCTACGACGTGGAGAGATTCGCGTTCCCCAAGTCGTCCGCTAGCCGTGACCCAATCACGTTTGACAACATTGAGTTCATGCTGGACATTGGAACACTGGATGACATAGCCAACATCAAGCTGCACGCCCTGAGTGGCACCCCACTCGTTCAGAAGCTGCTGCAGCAGCTCAACAGCTATGCCCAGTCGCCCCGCTATGGCTTCAATCTGAACATCCAATCGGAAATGAGCTACCATATACCGCCCACATCGGCACAGTCTTTTCTGAGGCGCGACCCAAGGTTCCCGGCTGTGATCCTTAATGCAAAGCCAACCAATAAGTACTATCACTCCATCTACGATGATGCGGATAACGTGGCCTTTACCTATGGCAACACTAGTCAAGACTTTACCCTGCTGCCGGAGGTGGACGACACCAAGAGCTTCAAGGCTGATTCGCTGCAAATGAAAGTACGCAACGTGTCCTCCATTGTGGCCATGGCGCTCTACGAGACGCTCACTGGTAAGGAGTACACGGGCAGCAAGGTGGCCAATCCGGTGCTGACCGATGAGTTCTTCTACTGTTTCCTGCTGTCGGCAGACTGCCCGCTCTTCAAGGCCGCTTCCTACCCAGGCAGTCCCAAGGGTCTGCCTATGCCTCCAATGCGGTAAGCTCGTTATTTCCAACTAACTTAGCACCATTCTTACTAATGCTATTTAAAGGTATGTAAGCGTGTTGGGTGGCCCACAGGAGTCATCTGGGTGGACCTACCGATTGCTGGGCTACCTGCTCTCGCAACAGCAGTCAAAGATACCCAAAGACAACTGCACCGTCTTGCCGCTGCACTTCTTTGCCGGCTTCAACGGTGCCGGGGAGTGTCGCCTGACCACACAGAACTATAGCTCTGCCTTGAGTCCCGCCTTTCTGATTGATGGTGAGTCCTAGAACGAAGTGCCCTTTCATCGATTAACTTTTAATAATTGCGCCCCCTTTGCAGACTACGATTGGCGCTCGGGCAACTACTCCACATGGACTGAATCCACCTGGTCGGTGTTTAGTGCACGCATCTTTCTGCGTCCGTCCAGTGTGCACCAGATCACAACGCTGAGTGTCGGCATTGTGGTGCTCATCATCTCCTTCTGCCTGGTGTACATCATTAGCTCCCGCTCGGAAGTCCTCTTCGAGGATCTGCCGGCAAGCAATGCCGCGTAAGTCTCATCAGCTGCATCTGCTTGCACCATCGCAAAACTCTTCTTCATCAACTTTTTGCGGGAGCCACTCCTACAGACATCTCTCCCCCATAGACTCTAGTCTTTTTCTTTTAATTTGTTTTCATTGTAATATTTATTTGAGATTTATTGTTTTTAGATTGTTTGGTTGAGGCACACAACTGCCCCACAGCGACGTCATCATCATGTTGAGCGACTCATTCCCAAGATATCTGCATGCAAAACTTTAAACGACTAAAGTTTTTAGAGTAGTTAGAGTATGAACCACCACCCTCTCTCTTTGACACGTGTGTGCTCTTCTAGGTTACCGCCCCCAACGGCCTGTTAGTCGGTGCATCGCGCGCGCGCTGCCGGAAGATCTAGGCACAAGGAAGTCACACGGGTAAACGCATCCACTGAAAGTGATCTGAAAAAAATAATCTAACGAAAAGACACTAAATGATATTCTAATTCGTCTTATTTAAACCATTAAGTGAACATTTATTTGTATGTATTTTTGTATTTTAAACAAGTAAATTAGCCACTAGCGACTATTTTGTATCATATATATATATATATATATAAATATATAATAGACACTTAATCAATTACGACAGTAAACACATACACATACACATCCTATATAAGAAGAAACGTTCGTTAAACCTTCCACGGTCCGCTTTGCATTGTATATAGAGACGAAAATATAAAAGTTATAATGTAAACACACTCTCTGCGGATGCCAAGGAACACACATGTCTGTACAAATATTGACAAGATATTGACTGCTGCTATCTAATGCTAGACCCAGGGAGATATTTATTTATACTACCTTCTACATCCCTGCGATACGATACTGAACTTAATGATCTGAAATCATAACTTCATAGAAGACATAGGCGAATAACTAATCTAATAACACGACTTTAACTTATGTACGTTTAATAAATTTTGATAAGGTGTGATCTAAGTGTCCAATTTTGTTGTGAATACAATGAGATATGCATTTAAAATCTCCAAATATATACCCATCTCATTGGATTCATCAAAAGCCCACCTACACGAAGTATACATTTTTATTTTTGGGGCAAAATTCGTATGCAATCACTCAACATGTTTCCATTCACAGCGCTCGTTTCCACGTGTCCATCAGCCAGAGTTCAATTTCCATACATTTATCCATTGAGGGTGAGTCCACCACTTCATTTCCACTCATAAAACAATTAAAGATCATCAAATTTCTCTTTTAAATCAATGTTCTACTACAACGGACTAAGGTCCAGCAATCCGTGCTGACGGAGATTGACAATTGAATCGGTAATGACGCGAGCGGAGGCCTTCGTATAGCCCCCGCTGAGCAGCATGACCACCGGTATGCCTAGGCCACGGAATGTGCTAAACACCAAGCGGTCGCGCTCAATCACTCCCTCGGCGGTGATGTCCATGTTGCCCAGAGGATCCCCCTTGAGGATATCGGTGCCGGCATTGTAGATGACCACATCGGGCCGGAATGCGGCCAGGGACTGCATCAGACAGCGGCCGAGCTGCCGCAAGTAGGTTGCATCCTCGGTGTGGTTCGGCAGCTCCGCGCCGCTACGGATGCTCAGCTTGGCCACGTTGTCTCTGGGATAGATCAAAGCATTGTATATGTCCAGGATGTAGACTGTATCCCAGTTGCTAAAGTCGCGCTCGTGTCCGTTTCCCTGGTGGGCGTCCAGGTCGACAATCATGATGCGGCGTACCCGGCATTGCTCCTGATCGAAGAGACGGACAATCAGCAAGGAGATGTCCGCATAGGCACAGAAGCCGCCGCCCCTGTTCGAGCAGCAATGATGGAAGCCGCCGCCCAAGTTGATGGCCCAGCCATAGTCCAGGGCCAGTTTTCCGGCCAGAATAGAGCCGGCCGCCTGGAAGCGCATCGGTCGCAGATAGAAGTGATTCAGATAGTTGTTGGGAACGAATGCCATCAGCGACACCTCGGCGATGCGGGCCACATTCAGACTCCACCGCAGCGAACGCAGGTATTGGCGGGTGTGAATGCGGCGCAGCTGGTGCTTGGTGAGCTCCTCGGGCTCGTAGAAGCTGCCCTCGGCCAGGGAAAATTCGGCGCACAGAGCCTGCGGAGGGTAGCCTGAGTGGGTGAGTGAGCGAGTTAGCGCCAGGGCGAGGTATACATACCTTGTAGATGTGCTTGCCCTTGGCCGCGTTGAAGGGGTGCAGGCGTTCAAGGCCATGGAAGCGCACTGCGTAGCTCTTGGAATAGACAATCGGCAGCTTACCAGGCACCCGGGCGTCCGCCTTCCTTACCCATACACATCTCGGGCGATCCATTTCGTTGTGGTTCAGCCTCCAAATCAAATCATTTCATGCTCTTCTCCACTGTAAATTAACGGAAAGTGCAGGAACACTTCCGTGCGACACGACACCAGTTGATCTGCTACGCAGCTGGAAAATGCATTCGCCGACGGTTGGGGGTTGAATGCGGGGGCGTCAGCTGGCTGTCTGAAAGCTTCCGAAGCTAAACGAACGTTCTAGGGGTAGCTGAAAGCTTCTAAAGCTAACATTTGGGGGGTAGGTAGTTACAAACATCAGATGCACTTTTCAATCTTTATAATTCACTTCTTACAATTCAATTTTTAGGTTTTTCCGAGGACTCTAGACCATTACAAAGATAGACAGGACGTGCATTGGGAGCCTGCAAGTCGCGATATGTATTAATGAGACGCTTACCACGACGATCCTTCAGTTGCCAGAAGTTCTGCCACTGCAAAATATGTGTTGGTATAAATACCGAAGCTCTTTTCGAGCCAGCCCATTACTCACAATCTCCTTGGGTATGTCCAGGGCGTCTGGAAAGACAAACCAGTCGACTGTCTCATAGCAGGGCGGTGATGTAAGCGAGCCTGTGAGAGGGTACATGAGAGGGTTTAAAATAAGAAGATGCCCTGCACAAACCTTTGTAGGTGAAAAATTTCTCCATATCGATGCCAGCGAAGAGATCTTCCATTGAAATGTTCGCCTTCAGTAGTGTGGAATCGTAGCACTTTCTGATCAGCTTGACCTCTTTGCAAATCTCATTCAGGGCCGGCGACTCCATTTGGGGCGGCGACTCCAAGCATCGCAGCATTACAGCCAATACCACAAAACCATCTGGATGATGTACAGCCTCCTGGTTGCTCGCGTAGGAGACGTTCTTGTGTACAATGTGCAGCTCACCGTCGTACCGCTGGCTGTCTATGGTGTGCTCCGATCCCTGGCTCTTCTCGGAGCCCCAGTGAAAGTGCAGCTGCTGCGCCAAGTAGACCGTCTTCAGATTGGAGCCAGCGAGTGCGGGATTCTGTTTCTCAATGGTGGCTGATATGTCCATGCGTACCGTGTGGCCATTATTCGTCACGTAAGGATTGTACAAGGGTTTCGCATAGTTGAAAAACACGAGCTGTGGACCCTCGTACCTAAGGGCCTTTTGGGACAGAGCTGAAAACAATTGATTCGACAGAGAATATATGATTTTTACTTCATTTTGGAGCAACGGAATGGGTGACTGCTGTTTTCCAGGCTCCACCTGCCAATCCTTGCCCTGCTTATCATAGTTGAAACTTGAAGGATTTGGACTGGATAGCTCAGAGACCTTGGCGAAATATCGAACAACATGAAACATACAGAAAATTTAGGTATACCCGAACAGTAATAATATACTAATAAATTCTAAGATCTAAAATTGTTTGAATTTATTGTTGATTATATTCGAAAAGTGTTCTTAAAGCTGTTTGTTTGGTGGACTTCTGTCTGAGTTCATTCCAAATTGTTTCCTATGGACAGATATACAACTCTTTTTCCCCCAGCGCCTTGGCCTGTCTATCGTCATGGTTCTTTTCGACGATGCGATTGCAGCCAACATAAATGTGCTTGATCAGAAAATAAAGGATCTCGAAGATGGCCACCATCGAGAAGCCCACAAAGATGGACATGATGTTGCCAATGGTACCTGGAAACCACAACATAGTATGAAGACTATATGTATGTCTGAGAATCCAAATAGAGACTCACTGAACACCTCGAACCAGGCATTGTTGAGCAGTCGTATGTAGTACTGGGCATACTGATCGCCGAAGTAGACCCTCAGGACGGAGATATTCGAATCGAACTCCGACTGGTTGTTGCCATCGAGCTTCAGGGTAGCCAAATAGTTGTCAATGGGCAAGGCGCTCAAGGTTACTCCATACAGGACGTCGTTGCACGAGGGCAAGCACTGTGGACAGTACAAAGCCTCCTCGATCTCTCGCTCCAAGCCGGGGATCATATGGCGCTCCGTTAGAACGTTGCGCCACTTGACTGTGGGGATCATGATGAGAGCTCATAGATATAAGAGGTTGAGGAAAGACATCCACATCCACTCACACAAGTACTGATTGATGCAGGGTATATGGCCAAGGGTGCAATAGACAACTCCGTCGAGATTCTCCACCAGTTCGATGGGCATCTGGAAGGGCAGGCAGCGGCATAGGGCTATTACGCTACGAATCCGGCACCTGGTGACGCAGTTGGGAAAGGAGTAAATGGACCTCAGCAGCCGTTGCTGCTCGTTGCTGGATGTCTGGGCCTCGTGGTCAAAGTAGCAGCGTCTCTGGCAGAGATGGAACAAAGTGAAAATCATTTCTGACACATTGTGCGAGTGCTCCCTTAACGTACACCAAACGGGGAGAAGGAGTTCAAGCTATCATCAGTGTCCACCACTCGAGCGTAGATTTGCAGGAAAGTTTCCTCCCGCTGGCCCGGAAACATCTCCAGCGTATTCGAGGAGGTCACTGAAGCGTAGTTGTCAGCACTGTGGATCAGTACAATGTAACCGTCGGTGTTCAGGATTGGGGCGAACTGATCCGAGTGGCTGGAGTTGAGAACAACGGTGAGACCGAGCTCTGAACTGGCCAAGCGATTCGAGAAGTTGCGCTGCTTGAGTCTGGTGGGTAAACCCTCTTAATTTGGTTAATTTTTGTCAAACCAAAACCACTCACCTGTTCTCCATGTTGAAGGTACAGCAGGGACCGTACTGCGTGAGGCTATCCTGGAAGGCAGCCTTGCTGAAGCAGGGAATATCCACATTGGCCAGGGTGCATTTCAGCACATAGTTCTCACATTTGGGCGTCAGCTTAAGAGCCAGGGACATCAGAAATCAAATCAAACTGTGGGGAAACTCTTCCCGAAGCTCACCTCCTTCATAATGCGTCGCGTATCGTAAAATGTCTCGTTGTCCCACGTTCCAAAGACGTCGAGAAATGTTTGAAAGCTGCCAAACTCGTCCGTGTCCACGACGACACCCACATGCACGTAAAACTCCCGAAGGAACAGCAGACGCTCCATATAGTATTCCAAGGGTCGACTTATAGGACTTCTGTCTTGTCTGTTCACAAGAAGATTAATCACACGGGATTAGGGATTAGTCAGAAGAAACTTACAGCTCACTCGCATATCTGAAGGCTGCCTGCCTAGAAATGCGATTGTTGGAGCATATGGAGACCGCCGGAAAGGGCACGTTCTCAACGGGATAGAGCGGATCCTTTAGATTGGTCACAAACGATTGGGCCACAAACTGTTCCCAGGTCAGGGATAGCACCACGATTAGGGAGACGGTTGTGGCGGTGTGCAGCAGCAACCAAATCATTCTGAAGGAAGGAACAAAAGACAAAGTCATCGTTTCTTGAGATATTTTGTATCCCACCTTTGTCCTAGGGTAATATCTGGCGACAATAGTTTATTGTAGCCCTGCAGGGATATGTTTCGCAGCAGATCAGCCATATCCAGGCAAAAAGCGGAACCCAAGGATTGCTTGCGCAGACCGGAGGGTCTCTTGTTTCTCCGGCCCTTGGATTCCTTTGGGTTCTTAATCCACCAAATGGCATTGGATGTGGCCATCGTATTAACCATGCCAAAGTACAAGTTCCCTGGTCCTCCGATTCTGACTGCGATTTCTGGCTGTTCGTTGCCGATTGAAGTTTCTTTGATTGATTTCCGTTGGAAATATATGCCAGGGGGGGCGTGGCTGTTGTTCTTAATGGAAATTGGTCATTAACACGTGCTTAATTAGTGTTAATGTGAGGGTAAAATATGCTCCGAGCACATAGAGTATATAAATGGGAAGTTACTCTTGACTACTTTGACTACTCTTATACTCATTTAAATCCCGACCTTAGACCAACAATGGGTCAGATTTGGCTGTGCTATTGTCATACGAAGTGGACAACTAGACTGTTGGGTTTCAATGCAAAATCCTGAACATATATTTTGCAGCAGATTGATTCGGTAAAAGATATATATTAAAACGTGGATATTTCTTTTCTTTAACATTTTTCAGCAGACCAAATCCATGTATTCTTTACATACACCACCCACTATTCTACGGTCACATTTAACTATACATGTAGATAATAAATAATGTCAAATACATGTACATGAGTTGTGCATCTACTTCTGTCAGTAGTCCCGCTATGATCCCAATATCTCTACAATAACCGATCGGAACGCTATAAAAACTAAGCAGATCAACTGTGAATAATGACAGTATAGATGTTAAGAAAATCAGTTAGCCAATTCTTTGCAGGTCTCTGAGTATTTCACATTTATTTCACACTTAATTCACATTAATACTTTCAGTATTCAGTTTTTGAATCACTGCTTAAATTAGGATTACTTTAGCTTAGCTTATTCTAGAGGAATGTGCAGCGAGTATTTCAGTCCTTTGCACATCTAAAACTGAGTGAAGTCTTGTACACTTCTTAGGCATAGGAGGAGACCTCTGGGACTTCATTTTCCCGCTGGCCAGAAAGGCTGCCCAGGATAGTTTCGAGATCCAACGAAGGCATATGGATTGGGATTTACCACACGGGCAATGTCCGTATAACTGCGTCCGCCGCGTTGTGGTGAACTATAGTAGCCTCTGGCAGGAGAGCCGATAGCGGCCGAGAGAAGGAGAAGCAGGACGGCCATCAGGCTGAGCAGAAATCCTTTGGTGAGTGACATTGCTGGCTGGAGAGATGTTGCCTCAAGAACTGAGCTGCATTGCCGCCGTCGACTGTCCTATTTATATGGATCTGTTCGGATGGGGGTACTGAACCGATCGGTTCTTGCCGTTCTCAGCTGTTTGGCTTATCAATCAGGTTTTGGGCCCACATCCGAATGCGAAATAACTGACTGCTGACTGCTGACTGCGCTGCCCGCGTCGCGTCCCATTCCGCTCACGTAGTGCCCGTCGTAGTCGGCTGATCATTGTGCTTTTTACGATCATTTTGTTTTCTCAATATTTACTGACACGCTGCCCCAAGCAAGTCATTCACACTGAGCTGAGCCGAGCCGAGCCCGGCCCGTTATGCGTACGAGTAGTTCCAGCCAGCGATCGTCTCGTGAATCAGCACATCCACGTATATCTATCTGTGCACCTGATCTTGACTCTAATTGCCAGGTGAATGATTTGGCTGTACGAGCTAGACCCGAAACCCAGCACTGAGACTCTCACTATTTAAATTCTAATTAACAACTCTGACGACTTGGCTAATGACGTAGGTAGGTGCGCCGAGTGCGCCGGGGCCGGGTGCGGGCCCGTATTAGCAAATTCTTGCATAAACAATTGGCATGTCTGGTGCAAACATTCGATGCCAGCATAACATGGATCGACTCTTCCACTATTCCTTCCTGTAATGTCAGCTTTGGCTCGAGATCTTTTCAGATCTGGTTTCGGTTTTTCGCTTCCTCAATGCTGCCAGTGCGCACGGGGGGAAGTCCTAGCAACTGATTCACTTACTCAGCCTGAATCATGGCTACTTAAATGGGTACTTACATATCGGAGGCTATATATACCACACTTGTATGCCATGATGATTCCAGTCAGATGATTCGACTCCACTACACACCACTTTCGGGTCATTAAAATCATTAAAAATAATTCAGTTCGGGGCCTGGGAAATATCTGTAAGTCACTCGGTTAACAAAAATGTCTTGCTTAATAAGGTGTTCTCTGACATTGCTAAAAAAATTAGAACAAGATTTGTGGGAATTTTCAAAAGTTTCTTTTGTATCTCCATTACTATACGAATAGTTGATAGATTAGTTTTAAGTCTTAAAATCTTAGCTTTCAAGATCGTTGGAGTTATTCGAATCATTTCAATGAATTGTTCCAGCTGGAAATGCAACTGAAATGAGTGTGTAAAGTTCCATGGAATTACCAGACAGATCTTGGCTTTCAAGGTCTTTAGGTGTCATCCAGGGGAATGCACTGCAACTATCCCAATAACCGAATGAGCAGCAGGGGGCTCAATCCAATCCACCTGCAAACATCCAAAACGGAGGCACGACATCGCTCATTCGCATTTCCGTCACGTTCCGCTGATGAACGCTGGCCGGGGCTGGTGTTGGAGTGCGAGTGAGTGATCATAAATTTCTATAGACTATAAAAGCGAATCACAGCTTCGCTCAAGTGGTACACATAACACGATTAAGTTATAATTAATTGGCATATCCAATTAGTAGATGGAACTTTCTCTCTCTTCCTCTCCCTGTTTATTTCCAGATGATACATAATATTGCTTAAAAAATAAAACCTAAATAATGATCAACCCCAGAGGACTGAGAATGGGGTACGAGGCAGGAAACGACTGCCCCCAAGACCCACGTAGCCATCGGGCTTCAGGACTCGGGCAATTTCCGAGTAGGTGCGTCCTGTGCGTTGGCCAGAGTTGGGGCGTCTGCCACCGCCATAACCTGCGTATGACTGATACGTTGGATAGCCATAGCCACCAGCATAGTTCCCATAGCCGTAGTTTCCATATCCTGAGCTACCATATCCATAGTTTCCATAGTTCCCATAATTTCCATAGCTTCCATAGCTCTGAGCACCTCCGTATCCTTTTGACTTCTTCCAGCCCTTTAGGAAGAAGGCACTGCTCCAGTCCACACAGCTGGCGATCAGTAGCGTGAGGATCATCAACAGGGGAACTCGGACTCGTATTCTCATGATGGTTTTTCTGTGTGCGCTTCTAACCCGGATCGCTTCTAGTTCTGGCCACGATCTACGCAGTGCTCCTCTATTTATACCCTCGCAACGGAGTTGGGATCTGATCTGATGAGCGATTATGCCGATGGAGATGGTGGTGACACATTGCGGTCTAGCGCTTTTAAATGGTTTCTTTTTCGTACAGTATTCCCATAAAAAACAGTCGGGATCTCTGGAAGATCAGGGGCCAGGCCACGCTCGCACTGGTCAGTGTTGCGACTCAATGGATTATGCTGAATATATATGAGACGAATTGTCACGATCAGCATGCAGGGCACGCACCACCATGCGCCACGCACTGGAAGACCAAGCCAAACGAATGGTAGTTCGGTAGACACCGGACAGCGGACATCCCCATCCACATCCACACAGCAATAACATTCAAAGATCATCAGCAGCAGCAAGAGCAGCAGCTAAGACGAATCACTTAACGCTTGAGTGGATGTATTTTTTGGTTTTTGTTTGTTTATGAAGATTATCGCCACGATGATCGTTAGAGAGCGAGCAAACTCTCTTCTCGGGCTCGGGCTCTCGGGCTCTCTTCTCGCACCGCCAATCGAGAGACGGAGACAGGTATTCGGTGACCGCTCAAGCATCCACGATTATCGCATATGACGGAAAAATTCCCCCCCACAGTTAGAATCCGCCTGTCGCAGTGCTTGGATGATCGTCGGATTCGTCGTTCCACTCAACTCAACTCAAACTCAATCATGACGCGATCTTCGGTTTCTATTCTATCCATCATCTGCCTCGCCTGGCTCGTGAACCGTACGTGCGGCGCTCAGTTGGCCTTTACCTCGGTTGGCAATGTCGCGGCCGTTGCCACTGCCGCAGGACTCAGCGTGGTGGCGCAGGTTCCCGGATTAAGAGCACTCAACGGCATCCTCCATGGCTTCAACAACAACAACAACCACAACAACAACTTTTACCCTCAACAACAGCAGCAGGGCGTCGGAGGATGGCAGGGCATGGGCGGACAGCCCAGACATGGACATGGTATGGGCGGACGCTGGTCTTCATCGGTTGCTAATGCTGCTCGACAGCCAGCTCCACCTGGCTGGCCTCCGGGCTGGGAATGGGGTGGCGGCGGCAATAATAATCAACAAGGATTCAATAATGGACGAGCTCCACCTGGCTGGCCTCCAGGCTGGGAATGGGGAGGCGGCGGCAATAATAATCAACAAGGATTCAATAATGGACGAGGTCCACCGCCAAGACCAGGATGGGGAGCTGGGCCAGGACCAATGAATCCCCCACCAAGACCAGAATGGGGTGGAGGAGGAACGGGACCACCACCAAGACCAGAATGGGGTGGAGGAGCAATGGGACCACCACCAAGACCAGAATGGGGTGATGGCGGAGAAATGAACCCCTTAACAGGATCTGACTACAATCAACCCAATCCCACCGATGTATCTACAAATTGGGACAATCCAAATGGCGAAGGATCAACCATACCACCGTCGCCCATCGTCACTCCTCCAACGACACCCAAACCAGTCGTAGTGGAGCCCACATTCCAGCCTCGACCACCGGCACAGACCACAGAGAGCACTCTCATCGTAGGCACCAATCGTCCGCCGCTGTTGCCGCCGCAGACCACGCCTCTACCTCCGCCACTGCCCACGGTGAGGCCATTGCCGCCACGATCGCGGCATTCCATCGAGGCCTCCCAGCTGCGCGACATCATCTTCCCCAGCTCTTCACTGTACATTCACCGTCCGCAAGCCAGCCAGGAGATCCGCACGGACAACATCGATGAGCGGAGATGAGAGCCGGGGGTGGGGGGGCTAGATTCTTCCGTAGAACAATTACAACTGTTGAATATTTATAGCGCCCAGCGGGGCTCAAGATCGTCTTTGTGCGAGCGGATCGGTGATCTGTAAACAGGTTCGGGAGCCCAAGCACAAAGACCCAGCCTCAGACTCTTACTCTTGACTTGACGAAGATTCACGAATTTCAATTTAATAAATTACACATTGACAAACAGATGGAAAGGTGGAAGGTGGGAAGATTGGTGGGGAGGGGAGTGGGAGTGGGGGAGCACTTATGTCACAGGCGAACGCTAGTAGCCCCGCTGCTTGTAACCGCCAGTGGATGCAGGTGGTGTTCCAACTGGTCCGACTGATCTTCCATAGCCCTGACTGTAGCCCCGATCTCTGTGTGGGTGGCCATAGGGCTCCTGTGGCCTGTGCGGATGGCCATAGGGCTCCTGTGGCCTGTGCGGATAGTAGCCAGCAGACGGAGCCGGTCGCTGTGGTGGCGGATAATAGCCGTAAGCTCCTGGTGGCGGCCCCTGCTGGTACCCATGGCCATATCCTCCTCCGTAGTAGTAGTCGTAGCCCTGATCGTAGCCCTCGTGAATGAGTGGACCCGGTCCGTAGGCGTATCCCGGCCTTGGGGGTGGCGGTGCAGGGTAGTACTGTGGCCGATCATCCAGCACATCGATCAGAGCCCCCGCAATCTTGTCGAAAGTGGGTCGAGCCTTGGCTGCCCCCACGAGGAGTAGCACGACAATAGATAGAGACAGTCTAGCGTCCAGCTGCATCTTTGAGTGCGCAGTAGAATTTGCGATCTTCTCCGACTTCTGCGCGATCTTTTATAGACTGCGGCATATGGCGATAAGCACTCGGAGCGGAGTAGAAGAACCTTGGAACGAAGTGCGAGTACCAGTACGAGTATATACATATAGCAATGCTGATTCCGCTGGGTGTCTAAGTAGTAAACAAGGTCGTCTGAGAAAGCTCTCCTCTCCCTTTATATAAAGTCGATCCCATCGGTTTGTGATATATGCTGGTGAGGAATATACGAAATTATAGGGAATATTCCCATTAATGTTGTGACTCAATCAATAGAAAATTAGCATAGGTCTCCATTTATTTAAAGATATGTGCTTCGAGAGATTATAATTGGGAATATCCCAAGCAATGTTTGGAAACTTTCATTCTACTCTTTCCTCTCATTCAGCTTTGAAAACACTCAATGATGAGCACTCTTATCAGGCCATTGAGCCCCTCATTGATAACCCCAAACACGAACTCGCCCGAGACTCATTCGATCTCTGTTTGAGCTTCAAATACACGCGCTGAGAGCTTTGGCGGCCTAGTCTTGCCGTGACATTATGGCCTGGAGGAGTGAAATCGCGTTCGTTGCCCTGATTGTGGCCCTGATCCTGACCGTCGGCAGCCAGGCCTCGCAGTTAAGTCGCGACGAGAGCCGCGAGGATGAGGAAACCAACTTCAACCTGGCTACCACGCTGACTGGAGGCATCCGCAGCAGTCGCCACCACCAGCGGGCCAATCTCAACTCGAATCTGTATCCGGATAGCACTCAGCCGGGTGCGGGCTACGGCAGCGACGACATCGATGAGCCACATGGGCACGAGCAGGGCGGATACACTCCGAGAGCAGGTGGCTCCAATTCTATCGGCTATGCTGGATCACAGGGTCCTGCAGCGTTTCCCGGGCAAGAGCTTCCGGCTGGGACTTATCCGCCTCCTGGCTACCCGGCCACAGGTTCGCCTCAGCCTCCGGTTCATTATCCCAGTGGAGTTCCAGGCCAACTGCCAGGAGTACCCGCCTATCCACAGTCAGGATCGTATCCCGGGCAAGGGCTTCCGTCTGGAACATATCCGTCTCCTGGCTACCCGTCTCCTGGCTACCCTGCCATAGGTTCGCCTCAGCCTCCGGTTAATTATCCCAGTGGAATTCCAGGCCAACTGCCAGGAGTACCCGCCTATCCACAGCCAGGAGTACAGGCCTATCCACAGCCAGGCGGACACGCCTATCCACAGCCAGGAGTTCCCGGCTACGCCTATCCTGGAGTTTATCTGCCTCAATTCCCCGGCTATCCGCAGCCTGGGGCATATTTTGGCTACGCACCAGGAGCTCCGGGCGGCCCTCCAGTGGTAGTCCATCCTGGGGCAGCTGCTCAGGCTGGAGCTGGTGATTCGGCGCCTTATAACCCTCACAAGAGCAGCAGACACCACAGCCGCTACCCATCGCACGATGCCCGAGATCCAGAGCACTGGGACCACAGGTTCTCCATGAACACCGAGTACAAGGAGGATGGCGTTCACAAGGGCCCCTTTGATGTCCTGAACAACCACAATGCCTTCGGGTATGGCAGCGGTTACGGGGGCGGCTACAATGGCGCCTTCAATTCACCGGCCTTTTGAAATGGAAGGCAAGGCACAATCTGGAGGAGAGTCGTAGTCATAAGTGGGAAGCTCTGTGGCAAGGGACAGCTGTGTGAGTCCGTCTGTCTGCTCTGGCTCTGAATAAACTTGATTTTACCACACACCCAACCAAAGTAATTAGCAATGTTGCCCGGTTCCCAGTTGCACCTTGAGGAGGACAGATCCGTAGCGGCCGAACCGGAAAGAAATAAAGCAACATGCATTCATTTCGTCTCTCCATAGATACATGTACATACATAAGTACGTAGTACATGGACGAGTTGTTGTATGCTTGCACACAACATATTTATTTATTTGTTGCGAGAGAACGAAGGACACAATGGAACAGGAACAGGGAGCTACCTGATGGGCAGGCTGCCAAAAAGGGAGCGGCACAAAGGCAAGACGCAGCCGCAGCGCAGCCGTAGGACCAAGAAAGGTGGTAGAAAATCAACGTCAGAGGCACACACTGAGGGACATGCCAGACAGACAGACAGAACGACGGTGGTGCCCTTTTTAGTCTCGTCTCAATTGCAGCGACAGAAATCGGTTATGTGTGCAGCGGATTGGGACTGGAACGGGAACGGGAACCAAGGACCAAGAACCCTCCGACTTGATGTCTTGCGGCGCATGCGCAGCCTGCCGCGCAAATCCTTAACAAATTTTGGCGCTAAAATGACAGACGACCGCGCCAAAATCAGAGAAGCCAAAGGAAACCAGAACTGAGAATAGAAAGAACACACACAAAAGAGACACACATAGATTATGGGTGATAGTTTTACCTGTTACGGATCGAACCTATTTCTGGAGAGAGTTTAATGTCCTTTGCCGCCGCCATCAGCTGTTCATGTTCATGGCTGGAGAAAGACCTAAGGGATAGCAAGTTAGCTGCCAAAATGTAATAGAGAATGGAAGATTGTGTACTCACCCTTAATTGAAGACTTCTTGCTGCAGCACCAGCTGTAGGTATTGTAGAGATCTCAGCTGATCAATGGATACAAAAGAAATGAAACAGTTTAGTTTGGGTTCAAAGAAAACGATAAGAGATTATGCTTACCATAGACTGTAGCCAGAATCAAGCATTTCCACATTTTAGTTTGAGTATTTCTCGACTCCACACAGATTAATCCATGACCACCCGCATTGGCGACACATTTAGTTGGTTATTTTTCGAACGGACACATAGTAAATGTTTATTGGTATTCTGGCTTGGGGTACATACATAACATGGAGTGCGATTACATACATAACTAGTTCAATATTTGGACAATGACAATGCAACGTTATCATCATTCATGACGTGTCGTATTGGTGCTTGCATGTTAGTTAAGGGGAGGAGGGAGCAGGGAGACCAGACGAGTCCATGAATGGCGTAACAAACAAAAAACAGCAGCATTAACAACATATAAATATACATACATAAGAATACACATAGTAGGATGCAATGAGGGTTGATGGTTCTGTTAGCGGTGCGCGTTTCCAGGTTGTACAGGACACCCGTGCCTCTGTTAGTTGTTAGTAGAGTTGTCCTAGGAATGCATAATTCATATGGCGGATCCATGTCTGCTTTGGTGGCTTACGATATAAGTTTATTAAATGCTGGAATATCTTACATCATAAAATAAAAACATAATTTGTTGCGGTTGGGTGGGGGGGGACTGCTGACTGATGGGACAATGTAATGGGTTTGGGTTTAGTTTTCCTGCCTCGGCTTGATAAAAATAGATAGGATATAGAATAAACTGAACAGTAAAACATAAATAGAACAGCGAGCGATCTTAACATAATATTTATGCAATGCAAACACATGATTATAATGCAAAGGTCACAATAATAATAAAATAAAATATATAAACTCTTGTGAGAATGTGGCAGGGAGAGGGAATGGGTGGGGTCAAAGGATGGGGGGTAGGGTGGATTCGTTTTAGTCTTTTTTCGAGGTGGGTTTTGCTGTTTTTTTGTTGGTTTTTTTTTTGGGGCTGAAGCGTCTTAGTGCCTAACTGAAGCGTATCTTGGTGCTGCTCGTTATTAATTTGGCTAGTAGTTGAGTCCTATGTCCTACGACAGATTGCTCGCGTTCAATTCCAGATCGAGGTTGTTCTGAAAGAGCTCCTGGTTGCTGAGCAGAGGCACCTTGGCCACCTCGTGGAATATCTTGTGCGAGTACTTGTTGCGTATCGTCTTGATGGTGGCCCGCGGCTTGCGATGGAGTCCGGCATTCAGGACGGGCACGACCTCGGCAAAGTCCGCCAGCTGGTAGCCCGTGTAGTGCACCAGAGTCGAGGTCCAGGTCTGTTGCTCCAGATTGGCGACGCCGGCGTGCATGCGCAGGGCCATGTATAGGGCGGCCGATGCCATCTGGGAGTCGCTGAACCCAATTGTGTCATAATCCATCAGTGAGAGCTCCAGGATGTAGCGAGCCAGGGTCAGAGTGGGCATCTGGACCTTGGCACAGCGAGCGTAGCGACGCAAGAAGCGGTAGGAAAGGGGAATGCCCAGATCGTAGTTGATGACGCGCAGCGTTTCGCGCTCCATCTTGACCAGCTCGTCGTGGTTGTAGGCCCCGTCGCAAATGTACAGAAAGTCCTCGATCAGGGGTGGCTGGCGCTCGTCGTACTTGCAGGCAATGAAAAAGGCAGAGGCCCCCAGAAGCTGCAGCTTCTCCTTGTTGATCACTTCGCGGCACAGATAGAGGTCCACGATCTTCACAGCCAGATAAAGGGTCTCGTGGTTGAGCTCGAAAGTCTCCTGCACCTCGACCATCCAGTCAACCAGCAGGGTCCGCATCCACGTGGTCAGGTGGATCTGTTTCGGCATATAATCGTCGATGGGGAACTCCGGCTCGCGTGTCTTCAGATAGTTGAAGATGTCCATGGCGTAGTGCGAGACCTGGAAGGGGTCGTCCCAGTTCTTCTTGTCAAAGTCCTCCACATCTAGTGGGACGGGGCGCAGCGGCACCACCGGCGCCAAGGCAGCAGCGGCAGCTGCTTTTGCAGCCTCCAAAAGGGGCTGTTCAGTCTTTTGTTGAAATTTGGCAGAACGACGACGCGCCGCCTCAAAGTTGCCCGAGAGGCGCATCGAGTCGCAGGTGGAGACGTCCTCCAGGGCAGACATGTATAGGCTATCCTCAGTCTTGTTGAAGTCATTGGAGATGCGACGCACCGGCTTGATGACCACTCCTGGGGCTTGGGGAGCGGCCAGACTCTGCATGGGAGGCAGCAAGACGGGAATCTGGACTTGATTGGCATTGGCATTGGGGACCTCCCCCAAAACGGTCTTCTTGTTGGCCACTGCCTTCGGGCGCAGCTTGGGGCGTGCCAGAGCCTCCTCGAACTTGTCCAACACCTTGTGGCAGTTCTCCACTGCATCATCTGTCTTGGTTGAGGCGCGAGTCATGATTTTGTTGGTGGCAAACACATTTATACTCAGGTTGTCAGTGTTCTTAGCATCTAGCAGGGCCTGCAGCTGCTGGGCCGTGGGCTTCTTGGTCACCAGCTGCTGGTTGGCATCCTCCTCGCCCTGATGCAGCGTCATGATCTTTACATTGTTGGTAAGGTTGCCCAGGGCAGAGCGTTTGATCTTTTCGTTCTTGATCGGACTGTTGTCGGCCTTGCGCTTGCCCCGCGTCTGCATGTTCTCCACGTTGGGGTCAATGTTGCAATTGTTGTTGTTGGCGGCCCGACGGCTCAGGCCCTTGCGTGCGCCCGTGGGCCCCATGGCGAGTAGCGAGTTCATGGCCGCCTGACTGGTTGCGGTGGCCCGGGTGGATGCCTTTGTCGGCGCCATTTTGTAAAAGCCTGTGTTTTGTTGTTGTCACTTTTAGTCCTCCAGCAGAGTCTCGCTTAGCGCTGTTACTTGTAGCGTTGCTTAGTCCTTGGCACGTTTCAGATACTGTTTCGGGTCGGCTTTCTTACAACGATGTGATTTCTTGTTGTTTTCAAGGCGTCGTTGTCACACAAACTCACTAATAATCTTTTTTCACCTGGAGTATGACGCTTGGCCGCCGCTGATCATAACGGCGCTTGAAAAGATAAAGAATACGAGAAAATCGAAAAACAGCGCCAGACCAGACGCGTCTTGGTAGGGTTGCAGATATCAATGTATCGATATATATTTGTCTTTGACAATATATTTTTGGGTGATCTGGCGAATATATAAATATGGATAATTTTGTGGGATATGTCACAAGCACCACCTTTTTAAGTTCAGCGAAAATTAGCACAATTTGTCTGTTGTTTCACGTTGTTAAATCAGATGTGCAGGTGACTTTTGACTCTATTTTTATTGTCATCGATGCACAAGGCTAAATTGCAAAATAAATCGGTACTTTTGTGCGATAAGCGACACCAAACGGCGTTTTATTTTGAAAATCACATTATGGCCGAGTTTAATTTAATGATTGAATAATTAAAATTAAACGCATAGGGTACACGGGTACACATATTGCAGTTTATTAGGCTAATCACAGTTGAATAATTAAATACTATAAGCGGGCGCTTACTTCCACAGCTTGATGACACCGTCGCGCGATGCCGACGCTATGTAAATTTGGCCCTTGTCCTTACACATGAGCAGATCCGTGATGGCGTCCCGATGGCTGGCCGTGGGCATGTCTGGCCCGGATCGGGGATTCTCCTCCGTCGATGTGCGAAGTTGCTGGGACTCCCCGGTGCCCATGGAAATGACTTGCTCCTCAATCACCTGGCTGCCGTCAATCAGCCGGGCACTGAAACAACGCAGAGAGATTTAAATAAAGCAACGAAGACATATGCCATTAATGCTGGTCACTCACCTGTAGTTGAATGCCACATCCGTCAGATTATCATTGGCCGCTGGCACCTTGAGCGACGAGTTCTTTGGCGATGCAATGTCCCAGTAGCGGATGCGCTGATCCGAGCTACCCGTGAGAATGAAAGGCGCTCCATCCACAACTCCGCTGAGGATGCCGCACGTTGTGGCCGGATCATTGAGACTGGTGTTGGTCAGCACCGGAGCGGGACTGGCCCACAGCACCGTCTGTCGCTGACCCGTCTCGATGTTCCACACGGACACCTCGTTATTCGACTGCGAGGCTGAGATCAGATACGACGGCTCCGTGGGATGGCAGGCCACCTTTCGGATCCACGAATCGGCCGGGTGCTTTATCTCTGCAATGGGCAGACGGAATCGTAAATCCCAGCAGATGTGCTTGCCGCCGCTGGTGCCCGTGGCCAGCCAGGAACCGGTGGGATCTGCACAGATTGTGGTGATGACCCCGTGTCGCAGCTCGTTCTGCAGACGCCAGGCACTGTGCTGCATGCGCGTGTCCCAGGCCACAATGCCGCCATAGAGCGTGGCATACACGATGACGCTCTGTGTGGCCTGGTCATAGGCATGCATGTCCACCACGGGTCCATCGTTGTGTTCGCTGGAAGGAGAGACATCCGGTTATGGCATATATCACGGGATAATCCACCCTGATGCTTACTTTTGCTCCAGAGCCTGCTGCAGCGTCATCTTGGCCGAGTTGCGATCGATCCGCATCATCAGTAGGCTGCCATCCTTGCCGCCCACGGCCAGGGACTGTCCGCTATCACAGGCGGCCAGGGCATAGATCGGGGTATTGGCAAAGTACACCTGTCGGGACTTGTTGATGCCCTGGTTGCCGTTCAGCTTGCTGCAGTCCCACAGCCGCACGGTGCCATCGATGCTGCCGCTGGCGAAGAGCGAGCCGTGGGGACGCAGCGAAGCCAGCTTGATTACAGACTCGGAATGTTCGTGCAGATGGGCCACCAGGGTGCCATTGAGACGCCAGTTGGGGGGATACGGCGTCACCAGTTTGTCGTAGCTGCAGCGCTGGGAGATGGCCAGCACATTGTAGCGGCTCTTGATCTTCTGGGTCAGCGTTTCCAGATCTTTGCGACACTCTGATGAGCGCTCCAGCCAGCAGTTGCGCTCCGGCATCGTGTACTCCCCCAAAGAAGTGGCCGCACTGACGGTAGTGGTTGGCACGCCCAAGGCCATACCGCCAGTAGCCGGACTTCCGCCCATTCCTCCGGGCCCCAGTGGAGTGGCCACAGCGTCCGAGGCTGGCGACACCATGGCCGGGGCATGGCCCTCGCTGGATCCTGCAAAGGAATAAGAATCAATGAAAATTCCGCTGGAAACTCTAGGATTTCTGGTCATACGGTTCTCGGCTGGCATTTTGATGGCCTTGTCCGCCAGCGGATATTCATGACAGGCCACCTGCTTGCGGCTGACCACAATGCGTCCATTGCCCGAGGCGGTGTCGTCCAGATCCTGCGATGCCTTGTGTTTCAGGGATATCAAGAAGGGCTTCATGGCCAGCAGCTGCATCTCAATCAGGTCGGTAAGTCCCTCAGAAGTGAGGCGCCGGAAGAGCTAACATTTAGAAGAGGTTGTCATTATTAACAAAGATTAAGAGACTAATCTTCAAATATCACTCACATTCCGCAGCGTCTGTCCCATGTCCTCGTATTGGGGCAGGGCCCCGTGCCTTGTCTGGCTGCGTACTCGTGCGCGATCCTCGAGAGCGCCTAGGAAATGATGGATGTCCTGAAAGCGCAGCACACTGTCGAAGATCTGCCTGGGTATGGGCGGCTGCACGCAGTCCAGCAGAATGTGCGCCTTCTCCACTTGGATGAGCGGCACCTTGAGGAAGGCTCCAATCGCTGGCATAATCTTGCACTGCACATCGATGGCGCTGAGGTTGCGGGCCGTGGTGGCAATCATGCCGCAGATCTCGTGACGCACCCACAAATTGGGATGGCACAGATAGCAGGCCGTCTCCTTGACAATCTCCGTGACAGCGGGCTTCTTGATGTGGCCCAGCTCAATGAGAATGGTCACGGCCCGTATGGCCTTGGCAATGACAAACTCCTCACGATCCGTGAATCCCTGCTGCAGCAGCGGCACCAATATGTCCGATGCCTGCCAGCCCACATATCCGGCCACTCCGGCAATGTTGTCGTAGAAGGCTCCCCGCAGGTTCTTGTCCTCATCGTTGAGAAAGGTCATGATGTGCGAGAGTATCACATCGTTGGCCTTCTCCTTGCCAAAGAAGGCGCACAAGTCGCAAATGCCCGACTCCATCAGCGTCTGCTTCACAATGGGCTGCGAGTCGGTCAGCAAACTGAGCACCGCCTGTCGCACAATGTCATGCAGGGCATTCAGCTCCGCCTCGTAGCGTGGCGTGGGCATCTCATTCGGAGCGTTGCGCTGCGTCTCCTCCAGAAAGTAGACGGCACTCTTGGCCAGCGCTGCTATGTTCCGGGCAAAGGCCACGCGCACAATCACCGCACTCGACTCGCTGGTCAAGTCGCTGATGTAGGGCAGAATGTACTCGGGAAAGACGTTGGCATCGCTGCGTGGAATGTCCTTGACCATGCTCAGGCAGGCAGTCAGCGTTTCGATGGCCTGAACCTGCACCTTGGCTGGTGACTTCTGGGCCAGATTCAGCTGTAAAGCAAGCGCGTGAAATAACAGAAAACACATGACTCAAAAACCCTCTTACAATGTAGGGCAATATGCGATCCAATATAGTCTCCGATGTGGTGTACTTGGACAGCTTCTGCAGCAGTTCCAAGGCGGCAATCTTCGTGTTGGATTGCTTCAGACCCCGAATGCAAGAGGTGACCACCGTGATGATCAATATGAGGCCATCGTGCTCTGGCGGCAGACGACCGCACATTGTGGGATCCTTCTTCTCCTGCTCAGCATCGTGCTCATCCTCTTCGGGCGACAGGTCCTGCGCCTGGGTCAGCACCTTGATGCAATGCCCAATGTCCTTGTGCAGGCATTGGATCTTGTCATCCGGCGACATGATGGGAGTCGAGGAGAACATCTGCAAGTAGGACTGAAGGAACGAGTAAAAGTACTCGGGGAACAGCTGCCCCCGCTCCTGATCCAAGTAGTCTTCGGCGCTCTTTCGATTTAATGCCTGGATATCAATCATGGAGGCCAGCAGATTGCGCAGCCTCTCGTTCTCGATCCCAGCCAGATGCTTCTCCACAAGATCACGCTCGCCCCGCCTATAGGCCAGCAGCTGTGAGAGCTCGAAGGGAGCCGTTCCTTCGGTCCAGAGTTCCAGCAAGGCGCAGCTATGAAATCATCATGAATAAGTGTCTCCTCCCCCCCATTCGGATCGTCAAATGACTTACCCCGCTGAGAATATGTCCATGGCAGGGAGCAGAGTATTTCCCGCATAGCTGGGCGCCAGGCGAATGATCGAGTCCGTATGAATCACCGACATGTTGCCATTGTTCCCATCATCGTCCGATGCCAGGGTCTTCACAAAGCGCTCTGGTGCAATGTAGCAAGTGCGCCGTCTGCTCGTATCAAAGAAGTACGTGTAATCGGCCGGGTTATCTTCCGGCAGATATGTGGGCTTGAACGAGGCGAAGTCCGAGAGCAAAATCCAGTTCCAGGAGGTGATCAATATGTTCTCCAGCTTTATGTCGCCGTGGCAAATCTTTTGCTTGTGGCACTGGTTGAGGGCGCACAGAATCTGAAAGGTGATCCACTTCTTCTCCAGCACCGTGAGAAAGGGGCGTGTGGACACGCGATCGTAGAGGCTGTGCTTCACGTACTCTCGCATTATGTAGGCCGCCTTGTCGATGAGCTGCAACAATTAACAGTTAAGCGGGGCACTCAGGTAATTGAGATTGATGGACAAACCTCCACCCGCTGAAAGGGCAGGCAGTTGACAGCATTTGCCAGCGTTAGAGTCTTCTTGATGCCCTCCAGCCGCTCCTTGTGATCCTCCAGCGGTAGCGTCGGATCATGCTTTACAAACACCTTGACCACAATCAGACCCTCCTCGGTCTTTGCCTTGGCCACTTTGAAGAAACGTGTACTTCCCATGCTACGACGGAACGAATTTGTCAACATGGCAGTGTCTTTTTCCATCAACAGATACTCACTTGGAGCTGAATGTGATTTCACTGCCAAACTGGCCCGAGAAATAGTGTTCCACCGCATAGATCTGTGAAGGGGCAATGCCAACTAGTTGATTGCCCATTTTATTGGCCCTTGCACCTCGTTGTGCCAAAGATTGGGACGAATTTTACGGAAAAACAATTGCAATTATTATTAATTTGCTGCGCACCATAACAGCTGTTCGCGATAACAAGTGGAATCAGGCGATGCAAACGAGACTTAACCCACTTAACACCCCTCTATTTAATAAGATGAGCAAAAGATGAGTTAAACCGTGGAAAATAATACTGTTTGCAAATGCTTCTTGTAGCTCCATCCTCCTCTGTACTTACAAAACAAAAATGACCACCGACATCTTTCCCCTGTAATGCGTAAAATATGTTAAAGTTACATAAACTTCGTGGATATATTAAATACGCCCCTGGTCGAAAATGGGATAACGTTCTATTTTATTGATTGAAGTCGTATTCCACAATTTCGATATTCAGTTTAATATTACTAGCTAGTTGGCCCTCTCAGCCCAAAAAATAAACAATTTTAACCGATACATCATACACCATACATCAATTTTCTACAAGACTGGCCATTTTTCAGAACTTTTTTTCATTGGATTGTTTACATAATAAGGTTCAAGGAATCACACCACGAAAAAGAGGGGAATTCACCACGAATTAATTATGTTAATTTTCTGCGCACCATAACAGCTGTTCGCGATAATAGTATCGATATAAATATCGCATTTGAAACGAGTCCGCGGGATGTGCATTTTTAAAATCGTGCTTTGGTGCTATAAATTCTATATATGTATCACGATTTATACAAGAATATTGAAGTGGTGTGTAGTTTGTAAATACTTTAACGGTATAATTTCTAGCCAAGGAAAGTAATTTGAGAGAGCCAGTATCGGCGTCTTTCCGGGGGCCAAACTTGGTGTTTTGGCCATCAAGCAGATCAGCAAACCCATTGCCAATGTTCCGCCGCTGAACGATGCCATGGCCATCGAGCTGGGGGCCAATCTGCTGGGCGAGTTCCTAATTTTCACCATCGGCGCCGGTCTGCTGATATTTGAGTACACCGGATCAGAGTGCCAGTGCAAGGAATCCCAAGAAGTACGAGGGCGTCTATGACCCTGGTCCTGCGACGCATCTAGGTACTTCCTCAGCGACAAGATTTATTCAACGGCACTGCAAGCAGAATTTAGAGATTAGTTGGGACTTCGTTTACACTGCATCTTAATGCCGACACTTACACAATGCGAATGGTGTTGGTGAAGCCGGAGCCCTGCTTCCAGCCTGTGACAACGACGACCGCGTCACCGGTCTTGATGAAGCCGTTCTTCTTGCCCACCTGGACACCGAACTGGACGCGCTGGTCCACATCCTTCACCCAGTCGTTCTGTGCTGGCTCTGCGCACAAAAAAAGTGATGACTATCAGTGCCATGTGAGGGTACATGAGGGATGTGTACACTTACCCTTGTAGATGAGGGGCACCAGGCCACGGTAGAGGTGGGACTGTCGGGCCGTCTGGGGATTACGGGTAACGGCAATGATGGGGCAGCGTGGGCGGTACTTGCTCACTTGGGAGGCAGACTTTCCGCTGGTGGTGATCACCACAATGGCGGCAGCCTTAGCCTTGGTGGCGGCCTCAACGGCAGCAATGGCCGTAGCATGAGCAGCATCCAAGACGGCTACGCCTTTCACCAGATCGGCAAACAGATTCGCATGCCAGAGAGCAGCTTCGGCCTCCTTGCAGGTCTTGGCCATGGTCAGGACACACTCCAGGGGGTACTCGCCCTTGGCTGTCTCGCCGGACAACATGACGCAGTCAGCGCCATCGAGCACAGCATTGGCCACATCAGAGATTTCAGCGCGAGTGGGGCGGGGCTTCTTCACCATGGACTCCAGCATCTGGGTGGCGCAGATCACGGGCTTGCCGGCCTTGTTGCAGCGGGCAATCATGGCCTTTTGGGCCAGAAACACCTTCTCGGCTGGGATCTCAATGCCCAAATCTCCACGGGCCACCATGATGCCGTCTCCGGCCTCGATAATCTCATCCAGATTGTGCATGCCCTGTTGGTTTTCGATCTTCGAGATGATCTTGATGTTCTTTCCCTTCTCGCCCAGCGCTTTGCGGATCTCAGCAAGAGCGGCGGCATTGCGGATGAACGAGGCAAAGACCATGTCGACATCCTGCTCCACACCAAACTGCAGATCGGACTTGTCCTTCTCCGACACGGCGGGCAAATCCACCGGCACGCCGGGCAGATTCACACCCTTGCGGGAGCCCAGAGCGCCGCCGTTCTCCACCTCGCAGACGACCGTATCCTTGGTCACCTCGCGCACCACCAAAGAGATGAGGCCGTCGTCGACGAAGATGTGGTTGCCGGGCTTAACAACCTTCACGATGTTCTCGTAGTCCACATAGACCACCTCTAGGGAGCCCTTCTCCAGGAAGTCCTTGTTGGTGGACAGCTTGATCGTCTCGCCCTTCTTCAGCTCGATCTCAGCGGTGCTGCTGCCACCAATGAGACCAGTACGGATCTCGGGTCCCTTGGTGTCCAGCGCAATGGCCACGGGATGCTCGTAGCCGAGCTTGGCCGAGTAGTTCTTCACCGCCTGGCGGACATTGGCCACCGTCTGGGCGTGATACTCGTGGGAGCCGTGCGAGAAGTTCATGCGGGCAATGTTCATGCCGGTGGCCATCATCTTCTCCAACATCTCGACGCTGCTCGAGGCCGGGCCGATGGTGCACACGATGCCGGACAGACGCACATGGGGAATGGGCGAGTCGAACTGCAGGCGGCACATGTGCTCCAGTTGGGTATCAGCTGCGGCTGCCATGTCTTGTGGTACTTGATTAGGCTGCAAGAACGAAAAAGACACACGGATACAGATTGGATTAGTGAAAATGCAAGGACTGTTCCCGCGATTCCCTATCGGCATTCGTTACCCGAAACACCCCCATCTTAATGAGTGATAATTCTGATAACTCTTTCATATCTGACGTTTTGAACTGGATGGATGTGCTGTGAATGGTGCGTGAAAGCGTGAGAGTGCGCAAGATAGCCGCCGCCCGTGGGCGGAAGAGCGTTCTTGCATCGGCGCTGACGCTGGCACTGCATCGCCGAAGGTCAGTTCTGCCGACCGAGACCGAGACGAGGGAGGCGACTACTCGTACATTTTCGCAGCTGCAGCCGCAACGAAACCGTTGCATAATTCGTTAATTTTCGTCTGTTCTTGGCAATCTACTGATATCGGGGCCGCCGCCAGTTGCCTGATTATGTGTACATGCACGTAATGTCTAATTTTGTATAATATATTTATGGACCAAAAACGTAACAACACTCTCGCCCCTGACACTAACACTGGTTGGCGTTGGGCTGGGGAAGAGTAAAGTAATTCTCAAATACCTTGAGCTTGGGCGCCTCATCGTACATGGTTACGTTCACCATATTGTTGCCTACTTGGTTAGCAGCAGTATTGAACAAACGACAGTTGGAATATTTTGCAACACGAAAGGCAGTCCCAGGCACAGGCACACGCACAGCAGAAACGGAGACAGCAAAAGCAGAAGCAACCCGAAATAAGGCTAAAATTGTGTATGCCGCCGACTGCTTTGTTCAGGACGAGGAAAAATTTTCGAATGCGGCAGCAGAGAACTTTTTATACCCGTACTCAAAAAAGAGTTAAGGGGTATATTAGATTTGTGGTAAAAGTGGATGTGTGTAACGCAGAGAAGGAAACGTTTCCGACCCCATAAAGTATATATATTCTTGATAAGCATCAATAGCCGAGTCGATATAGCCATGTCTGTCTGTCTGTCTTGTTGATCGCCTGGATCTCAGAGACTATAAGAGTTAGGGTAACCAAATTTGGTTTCCAGACTCATCTGATATCACACTGCTACAAATGTATTTCAAAATTTCGCCCCGCCCCCTTCCGCCTCCACAAAGAACGAAAATCTGTGGCAGGCACAATTTTAAAGATACGATAAAACTAAAACTAAAACGCAGTATCGTAGAGAATGCCCATATCTACCAGACTGCCGAATCTGAATCAGATCGGATCATAATAATAGCCAGAATGAAGAAATTTATTTTCTGTTGCTTTCCCCTCCCCCTGCAGCAGGAAACCAACCACTCATTCTCTTTCTCGCTCGCACACGTATAATCTATATGTTAGATGTAGAATATACATTGAATATGTATATGTAGATAACAGATGTAGCAAAAAAATGTAATATGTAAATTTTTTTTTTATTTTAAAATTCCAAGAAATTAAAAGCACAAAAATGTATATACTGACTGAGTACGGGTATAAGTAGAGTCGCGACCCCAGAAGCGACTCACACGACAATTGAATAGATCGAGTTTGGTTTTAAAGTTGTTATTTGTTTGTATTGTGTGTATTTACAGTGGGAACTCTGTCGAAAAGAGATGGCAAAATTAAAAAAATATTTTATGAACGCTCTGAATGAAATAAATGTACACATCTAATAGAAAATTTTCCAGAGCTTTAGCGAATCTTATTTTGAAGAGAATTTTAGTTTAGGAGATATGAGAAAAGATAACATCCTTTATTTTTATATATTGTTTTTATTTCCCACCCCCACCCACTCTGCCCATTCCCAATTGGCTGTCACTGGTTTGGAAAACAAAAATCTATTATTCACAATTCTGTCGACATCCAAAGTATACGCAGCTCGAAAAAAGGCACCAAATTGCGGACAACAATTTGTATCTGTTGTTTTTTAGTATCGTGCAGTTGATTGGTGGTTCGTACACCCACAATACTGAAAAATTAGTTATCAAAATTGGAAAACGATCTGTGGATCGAGTAAGTGCAATGCCGAGCATCCGCAAACTGAACTACAACGAGCGCGCTCGCCTTGAGAAATGGCTGCAGAACGAGGACATCACCCTGAACCCCCGTTCGCGTCGCGACACATACTGCGATGTGCGATCCGTGGCAGAGATCCTCAAGAAGTGGCATCCTTCAATAGAGCTGCGCTGCTATACTGTAGCCAGCAGCTTCACTCGTCGGCTGCAGAACTGGCAGGTGTTCTCGTTCCGCGAACTGAAGAAACTGGGCCTCCGACTTAAGACGGAGGATCTGAAACAGCTGGCCGAAGGCAGGCCAGGAGCAGTCGACTGGCTGCTGTTCAGCCTCATTGGCAAGAATCGATCGACCGATTGTTTGTACTTT